CCAAAAATTAGTGGTTTAAAGACCTACAGCTTACAAAAAACAAGGCAGTTTGATTTAAAGAGGTGCTGGGTGTCCAAAAAAAAACTTCAGGGGAGAAGAAGATTGAAGCGCGCTCCATGGATAACAGTAGACTTCGATTTCTGTTGACAGTTTTTGATGAATTTTAAAGCCATTTCGATATGAATTTTTTGGTTCCATGTAAAACTTCGCAGGTCCTTCTTTTTTCCGGAGTAACCTTCCCAAGGGAAAACCTACCGAAAATTTGTAAAAATCATGTATTTAGATTTTATAAAATTTATAAAAGACTTCTCGGATGTCGGTAGTGGAAACCGGAGGTGATCCGGAAATGTTTCTGAGCGACTTTCTAGGGACCACTTAAGAATGATGAAGCTACTGAAGTGGTCACTAGAAATGCTCCGACTCGTCGGATTCACTTTTGGTCCCCGTTAATAAGGTCCGAGTTATTTTTAAGGCATGAAAAATGGTCCTGGGGCGAACTATACAGTCTCCTATCGTTGAAAAAACTTCTTTACCCAATTTTCTATATAATTTATTCCCTCTGAAGTATCACAGTCCTCACCTCGATCTGGACTATCCAGTAATCACTGCCTTATCTCGAATACTCCCGCTTACATTTCAATAATTTCAAAAATAATAATAACTACTCGGACCTTGGTGAAGCAAACCGGACGCTTCTCGGCCTTTCTAGTGATCACTCTGAGGGCTACAGTTTGTGAAACTGGCGGATAACTCATAAAGTCTTTCACAGTTATCAACCAAGCGCAAAATACCTCGAAAGACTTCAGTCTTGATGCTAAAAAGCCTTCAGAAGTCATCCATTTCAACAAATTAATCAACAACTTGGAAAATCCTTATCCAGCTTTTTTCGGCCAATTGTGATCCGATTCTTGATTTACCGAACCAATCCGCTGAAACCATCATATAATCGACCGAAGCCAGTTCCCTGTATTGATCAACTTTCTTCCGAAATTTCATTGAAACCAGAGACTTTATGAATCAACTTCTAGCTCAATTGAACTCGGATTTTTTTTACAAGGAAAGATTTAAAACATTTTTTTTAAAGTTATGTGTATGACTGACAAAGAAAAACTATTGATTGATATTGATTAATGATAATTTGAATCCAAAGAAGGAAAATAAACTTGTTTTTCAGGGTTTCGAACTCATTTCTGACCTCGAATCCTATGTTCTCCGGGCAAAGTCGGAATGGTATATAACGGCCGCAGAAAAGCAGCAAAAAGGGTCCTTTTATCGAGCCTTCTATTTTTCTAGAGCTTTAAAGGCTCAAGAGATGATGGAAAAGGGAGAGGCTGCAAAAATGGTGCATCATAGGCGAGAAAATGGCGAAAAGCAAGAAAGGAGCCTTTGTCACCCTAAAAGGAACATTTCTATGAATTTGCCTATGTTGGCGGTCTTATCAATGTTTTTGTTTTCTTTTTTTCTGATTCAAAATCAAAAAAAATTTGTTTTGTATTCATTTCTTCTGAAATGAGCATGCGTATGCTTTTTCCGTGAAAATGGACTTTTTTTATTATTATTTTTTTATCGAATCCCTTTTCCAGAAAATAATTTTTGAACTCAAGTTTCTTAAAAACCAGAGTTTTTTTATAAGTATTTAGACCCGTCAAATTTTTCCAAAAATCCATATCCTTTTTAAAAAATTATTCATGATTATCATGTCCAAAGGAATATATCTTAAGCTATTATATCCCTAAATCATGAACCTATTTCTTTCCTTTAACGATACCAAAATCCGAAACGAAGAATAAAGACCGTCTCTTTTTGTATCGATTCATTGATCTCTGGGAATTTTTCCGTGAGTAAATCCGTGAGAAAAGACGACTGTTAAGAAAATTTTCTTCGTCCCTTTTACCTTATTTAGTGTTGTAAGCTCGAAACTTGAAAGTCTGGTTGATTTTTTCCATTTTGAAATTTAGAAAACGGTTCCCTACAAGCCAATCAAAAGCTCGAAATAAAGGTGTTATTAATATATTAATTGAAACGTAGGTAGGAATGGTAGGTCACCGTTGAACTCTGATTTCTATACTTCATTTCGAAATACAAGATCCCTCAAGCTTCCTCAGCATTTATAGTTGTTTCTTTCTTGATGAATCGGTCCCGATCTTCCAAAGTACCCTCGAAGCGTATCCCACTTTTTCTATTGGAACTGATTTCGGTCAAAAAAGGGTGCCCAGTGAATTAATCATGCCTGTTTACGCTCCTCACCTCCGAAGCATGAAATGATAAATTTCCTCGCCAATTTTTCCGTCGTGCCAAAACTTCTAACCGCGTGGGAGTTGTGGGTGGTTTTTGAGAAGAAGATTTGAAAACTTTCAAGTTTTTGAAACGAAGAACCTTTCCGCCCAGATGAAAGATTAAGGTTTTAGGAAGCGGGTTAGGAGAATTATTACTCATTGGGTTTGTACTTATCAACTTTCGACTCAGTGTTAAAACGTAGGCGTTTCGTTTCGAAACTTGGCTACGGTAAACCAAAGTTCTCAAGCTTCAATTATGGCTTCTCGGAAGTTTCTCGGATTTAATTATTGAAAACCATTCAGAGAAAGGCAGAATTAAAATCTGTCATTTTCCGAAACGATCTGGGAAAATGATGACGAAAAAAATTAGACAATATCCCACAATCCTGTTAAAAACTACAGTATGTTAAAATAAATTCGAGTTCCAGAGTGAAGTTCGAAACTATGAAAATGATACCCCCCTTATCTTCAAGATAAGCGATTCGTGAAGTTTTATTAAAACCTAAAGATTGCATAGTTAGTGGGCGCTAGATCAAGGTCAAATAGCAGAAAATGAGGCCGCAAGTGAAAAAAAAAGAAGATGGTCTTTCGTTTTCTGACGACAGTTTTCATTATTGGACAATTATCTTTTGGAAAAAGTCAGGGTCGCAGTTGGAATGGCTCAAAGTGCTGAAGCTCCTAAAAATCCCAAAGGAATTGCGCACCAAAAAAGAGCGTCAATGCGATTGCAAAGCCTACAACCGCGACGCAACCGCTTCGCTTCGAGCCATTCCATGTGCGACCGAAATGTTTTAAATCGAAGAGTGAAGAGTAAAACTTCTGCTATAAAGCTTATGGAACGACTTTTAAAAATCTCTCGTAGTTCCTCAAGAACCTCCTCATTTCTGAATTTTCTTCTCGATTTATCGATAGGGCGCACATGCTCTCAAGTTCAGCTTTTTAAAATATTTCACTCGAGGAAAAAGCTTTTATCGTAATGGAAAAAGTTCCTGGTTAAAGTACAATTTTTTCAGATTCTCAATGGAGCACGATTTCTCGGGCTATTTTTTCGTGTTTCTTGGATGGATGTAGCCAGTGAACTATTGGTCAAACAACGGTTGGTCAAATTATTTTTCGAAAAATCTTTCTCGGATATTTCAAAGACACTGGGAGCATTGAATGCCTCAAAAACACTGTAGGAACTTGCTTTTCGCTTCGAGACCTTTGCGTAATTATTCCATGCTCCTTTAAAAATCCCATAAAGCAATTTATAGAAAGGCTCAATATTAGTTTTAAAAAAAAAGTTTTTCTTCGCTGACTCAGCTATTTTTAAAACGGCAGCCCTCAATTATTTTATTACTATTTTTCACATCCTATAATCTTAATAAATACCCAAAACTCGGAAAGTTTGAAAATAACATTTTGCTGATTAAAACTGATAGTAGAAAAGAGTAACCATCAATTTTTTTATACTAATCTTTAGAAAGGGGTAATTTTGAAAAATGAAAAAGTTTGAAGTGGGTTCGAGTCGGGTGCATTACTTGAGAATCTGTATTGCAAATTATAATAATGAACTTTCTGATGACTCAAAAGTTTCCAAAACCATCAATTTGCTTACAAAATTTGGAAAAACTTTGATGTTTGTTGCAGAAACTATCCTTAGAGGATCGTAAACAGTACTTTTCAAATGAAAAACAGATTTTATTTGGTCTTGACGATTTTTGCATTTGACCATAATCAATCACTCTTATCAAACTCGTTCCCTTAACTATAAATCAAGGCCAATCAAGGCGATCCAAGGCGTTTTCGTAGCGATCTTCGTATTTTGATCGGAATAAATAAAAGGAAGTTGCAGAGAGAATGATACGCTATCATTGGGAACCAGGAAACCAAGGCGTTCAAAAAGTCAACTTCTCGAAAAAGGTAAACAATCGGTTTGATTCAAAGATCGGGCGAAGATCTACTTCAGGTATTTCACACAAAAATGAACTAACTTGAGTAAAATTTTTAGAGATTCATTTTATTTTTTCTGCAAGTTTTGCTCCATTTTCATAAGAAGTTTTTTTTAAAAATCCCTACTTTATTCTTAAAGGCGCATGAGCCAATCTAAAAAGAGGTCTCGAAGCGAACAGCCGTTCTTTAGTATTATTTTGAGTCATGCAAGGCTTCCGGGCCTCCAAAAAGCAGAGGAAGGGTATTTCAACCGTTAAAATCTTCAAGAATCCTCATTTTTCGCCCTCAATCAGATATTTTGTTCATTTTTCAAATTTTTTGAAGGCTCGAAAGCCTTTCCATGGCTCAAAGTAAAGCTAAAAATGAAGCTATTCGCTTCGATACCTTTTTCAGATTAGCCCATGCGCCTTTAACGAAAACATCAAAATATTGGTTTGTGATCAAATCAAATATTCTAAAACTCCCAATTCCATTGAAAACTCGTTTATAACAATCTCTTATTCAGGAATTTCATTCTTATCAGAATTCTTTCGTGCATGTAGTTTTTCATGTCAAGTTCCGTAACTTCAACCTCCTGATCTAATTTCCACATCTCAACATTGTTTTCTTGCGTTTCACGACCTAGAAATCCTGGGAAAAAAATCAAGAGACGTTCTGGAAGAGACAGCGTCTCTTCGGATTAGGAAATTGACAGTCGTTTTTTTTCTTCAGAGTTTCGGGTGGAATCGGTTAAAGTATTAGCGCTTTTTATTGTTCCGTAGATGTTTTGTGGGAAACTAGTTCAATTAGTCAATGATCGGCCTACTGATTGACAAGGAGACCGGCCGAGGAAAAAAACGGCTGGAATTGATACTATACGCGTATGCTGGAAGAATTGAACATAGTTATCGAGGTATCGTATTCTCTTTTAAGTGTGTCTTTTCTTTCTAAGACCAAGAGAGCCTTTCTCAGAATGTTCCAAGAAAGGATCTCCCAAGACTCTTCTGAAGAATTTTATCGATTTTTTAGCTTTCTTGTTAAATTTAGTACGGTTTCGTGAAAGTTTCTTCCGTTGATATATATTGTTTTCGCTCATGAATTGCCGACTTTTTATACTTTGTCTTAAGATATTTTTTGTTTTGATCCTGAATTTTTTTTTTTGAAGCCATAGACGAAACTCAAACAACCGTCTTTCATGTCACTTCAAAAAATCGGCTCTAACTTCAACTAAAAATTCAAAGATCATAGGCTTAACCATCTACAGTTCATGAACTTGTTTCGCTCAGAAAATTTAAGTCATGAAGTCCACAAATGTATGATTTCTGACCCCACTCCTTCATTTTCAGAGACCAAGAAACCTTGATCCTTACAGTGCCCCTAAATGAGCTTTTCCACGAATAGTTTCTCGGACCTGCCTGGATCAAGCTTTGAAAAGCTTTTAGGTACGTGAAATCGATTCTTCGGTACTTAATTTACAAGCCGTAAACCTTTCAAATTTTCCTCTGTTATCCCATTTACCCCATTTTGCCACCCGGAGTCTTTTAGCAGGTCTTTTTGAACTCCACGAAATCAGCACTGTAAACAGGTTTCGATGGTTCTCCTCGATGAAGCTTCAAAACGAAACATTCTAGCTTGTAAACCACAAAAGTAACCGTGAGACTCCCTAATTGGGCTCAAAATCGGTAGTTATTAATTTTCGATTTTCAAAAAGGGGCGGAGTCAAGAGGCGGCGCCAGAATCTGGCGCGGGCCAGTGACAGCGCCGCCCACACTCTATAAAAGCTCGTCGGAAGTTTGAAATTTCAGTTTTCTTTCAATCTTTATTTCGTTCAAAATATCGAAAAAATCAGGTCTCCAGCTTTCGAATCATATCAATAAACTCCCGCTACCCTTCGTTTTGCCTTTTGATCGACCCCGGTTTCATTAAAACTTTAACTCTACTAAAAGGAAGGTATCAGCTCACTACCTTGAATCAGAGTCAACTAAACTACCGCATGCCAATATTTCGCATATCTCTACGATAACTTCTTTATCAATCGTTCCTATTTGATCCCAACGTTTCCTCTTTTTTCCCTCTAGATGTCTCTTGACTAGTCACAGGCTGAAAAATTTACGCGACCAAAGCTAATTAAATACTTTTGGATTCACTTTGGAAAATCAAATCATTCGATTTTAGAAATGGCTACTCCCCTGGTCAGAAGCGACATCGATATTGAGAGCCAACCGTTGAACACGATGGACCTCAAAATCGCGAGTCGAACTGAAAAAAGCGCATGGTTTCCTCAAGAACCTTTCGAAGATTAAACACGTGAGTTACACGGCCGCATTGGGAATGGCTCTTTTTCGCAAAACTCGCTTAAAAAGATCGTCGTTAGAGCTAGCGAAAGCTATCTGAATGGCTGGCCCCGCCTCCGCTACAACGCCATTGCATTTTTCGAATAACTGTGAGACGATTTCTTGCTTTCAGTTCATCTTCATTGGAGTGATATTCACATTTGCTGTGATCGCACTCTCGGAAACTTCCGATGACGACGACGAATGGATAGAAGACGAGCCTTACAGACACATTTGCATCGACTACCAATGGCACGAAATTGAGTACCAATGCAAGAGGTTCTACAACTCGACGCCTCGCTGCGATTTGACGGGTTCGTTTTCAATTTTTTCCCGAATTTGTCGACTACTGTTATAGCTGAAGAAGACGATCAAATGCTGAAAAAGCTCCAAGCATGTTGCGAGGACGACGACAACTGTTGGCCCCGAGAAATGGACGAGTACTGCTGCCTAGAACAACCGTGTGACCATCATAAATGCAGAAACCCAGTGAGTTATCTTTCTCAAAGTTTAATTCTTGAAAGAAACCATTCTAATAACAACGAGGTTGTTATTTATTACAGATGCCAGCAAATGGGACCAGTCTTGTTGCCGAGGCAATCCTGAAGATACAGTTGAAGCAAGAAGAGGAAAGAGAAGGAGAAGGGATCTTCAGCAAAAAGATCTTGACGCAAAAGCAGAAGAAACTGATTGTCAAGTTGCACAAGGTTCTTGAACACCAGGAACTTCACCGTCGTGAGCGAAATCATGGATAACAGCACTTTGATCGTCTTTAACAACAAAGTTGTTAAACAGCCGAGTAAGTTATAAATCTCCTTATTCTTTGCTTGGCGAAGCAATTTTACCTTTCTTAAACCAAGAATGCAACATTTTCAGCGAAGTTGACCAGCTTTTTGGAGTACAGCATGGTGAATGAACATAGAATTCACGTTAGTTGTTTGAAAAATAAATTCCAAAAAAAGCCGTGAGTTTCAGTTTTTGATCGATGTTGAACAAAGATCGCAACGCGAGCACGCAGTTGTCATCTTCAAGGGATTGATGTGCACCTACCTCCCCATTTGCTCCGACTTTCAAGCCAACTTCAAATGGGTACAGTTACCGCGAAGTTCTCCCCGAATAATTGACGAAATCTGCAGAGTCCAAAGAGGAACGACTACTTCGTGAGCAAATTCAAAAACAACAAGTCCATCGTGAAGCCGAATATCGACGATTACCCGTTTTGGGGCGGAGATGAATGAGCTCGCAGAATTTCAAACCGTAACGCACTACAAACACATTTCAAAAATGGAGCTTCGTCTTGATCTCGGAACAAAAAACCAAAGAGAGTCGCATGAATCAATCGCCGTTAACTTTAGACGAAATTTAATATGGAAATTTTCGCTATCGCGGAGAAGACTTGATTCAAACGTAATTATTCTTGTCTTAAGCTATCGGCGAATGAATTTCTGCCCAATCAAATACGAAAGGTACTTTGCAAAGTCATTTTTGAGTCGCAGACTGCTGATTCGCTTATATTGTATCATATTTGTTGCACGTAAAAACTGATAAATTGGCGTCATAATAAATATTTTTCGTTTATTTGTGTTCTTTGAAGGCCAAGTCAAAAGTAATTCAAAGCTTCTTGTTCAAAGGTCATGAACAAAATATTAGAAAATATGAGCACAAAAGAAATCGTTCTGTATTTCTACAGGTCGTTTGAAGGATATAATATCAAAAACGCCAAGAAAATATTGGAAGTACAGTAAACTGGATAAAAGAAAAGAAGAAAAAAAGGTCCAAAACTCGCCAAGAAATATGATGAACATGGTAATCGAGTCTACTGGTTTGACGCTTCTATATAGTATTCTCAAGACTCAAAATTGTAACCTTATCAGTTTGTATTTTGATATCGAATTACTTTTTAACAGCGTTTGTAATTGAGATGAAAGAACAGGAAAAGGAAAAAGAGAATCGTACCCGATTTGTTGTTGCTCCCTGTATCCATGCATGTTGTCAGCGTGGAACATGTCAGGGGACGATTCGACCACTTCTAAAGGCAGAAGTATTGATATTCAACAATGAAAAAAGAAAAACAAAGACGAAAACGTATAGAGCATATTATATAGAGCAACTTTTCTGCAAGCGCTTCGAAAACTTTTGAATTAAATTCTGCGTTCAAAGCTAATTTGAAGATTTTGTTCTTCCTTGATTTTGTGTGGGTGAAATAATTTAAAACGAATGCATGCGATAAGAATTATCATGTTCATATATAACACTTCATCTCGCTTGTTAATTTCCTTCTTTTTTTTTGAAACAGGGACAGAAAAATTTCCGAGATTTCTGGTCATGTTTGAACGGCCGTTCCGTTAACGGAATTTATCGAATAGACTAAATTTGAACTTTACGCGTATGCAAGACAAAAACAAAATTCGCATATATTTAAACGAATAAATTAGAGTTTTGAAAGAATCAGAACCGCCAGAAACACTTTTGATCCGTCTAACGAAAAAAAAGATCATTTTTTGATTGGCGCTGGCGGCCGTCTTCCATCGCTCATCAGCAATCCCTTTCCGTCCTTTTTTTATTTTTGGTGTGTTCTATTTGCTTCTGCCGTGTTCTAAGTAATTTCGGCGATTGCCCAAATAACTCCAAAATGTTGAGTTCCCGCGCAGAAGTTACAGTAAAAATGCATATATATCGTTGTAAACAGGACTCACTTTTTCCGCGCCTTCCCAGAATACCAATTCCGCCTATTTCCCGAAATCATTTCAAACGAATAACGCGCCTATTTTAAAATCGCCGAAATTACTTTGAACACGGCATTCGTTTAAGTGATTTACTCATGTACCTCACTTGTAAAAAAAATTATTTTTTACTCATCTCTGTCTTCATTAACTTTTTTAGAGCTTCTAGCCTTTTTTGAATCAGAAAAGAGTGCGTGAAAATAAATGTTTCGAATATTCTAAAATCCGCGTCACTGTAATCGTTTTTCCGTTTTTTTTTCTATTGATTTGATCCACAAAAGCGATTTTATTTTAGTGATGGAAGAAAGTCCTTCAAATGAACGAGCTGTTGAAAATCCACGAAAAACGGAAGATGTCATAGATTGTATCCTCCTTTTGCTGGTTTGTGGATTTCAAAGACGCGTGAATCGCTTACTACACAGAACGGTCGCGGCGACCTTATAAGATTTTTATCCTTGATAATGATTCAAGCGCGGCATACGGTAGCTTCTCGATTAGAGCGCAGAGGCGGGATCAAAAGGAAGTTAGAGAAAACTCATTGGTTGGTTGGCCGCGCCTCCATGCGGCTTTGCTGCCTCCCTCCCCCCTTGGGCCAACGCCGTTTCGTGTCTGAAGCCTGGTGAAAGCTGCCAGGAACAAAAATACGCGACAATGTCTGGCTTTCCGCCGATGTAACGTGTGTTCTTCGTTCAGTCGAGTCACGTGTTCTTTTTCGAACATTTCGAGCCAGCCTCAAACTCGCTGCGCTCTATCTTCAACAAAAGATCAAAAGCTACTTAGTGTTTTAATATTTATTGTCAGAAAAAAAATCAATGAAGAATTTTTATTTGCTTTCAGGCATTGGTTGCTATAGTGTTTGCACTTATCGGTATTTATGTGAATTTGCGCCATTCTCGAGATGATTTCATATCAAAGTGTATCGATTCACGATACCACCAAATCGCGGATCAATGCAAGAATGTTTCCAACTCTAGGCCTCGGTGTGACTTGACCGGTTAGATTTTTTTTTAATCCGTCGATTTTTCGCATTGCAGCTGAAGAAGACGTGCAGCTGCTGAAGGAGCTCCAAGAATGCTGTCGGAGCATTAAAATTTGTCCGCCCCGAAGCTTCGAAAAGTACTGTTGCGAGAAGGAGCCTTGTTCTCTTGAATGCAAAGATCCCGTGGGTTACTTCACGAAAACTAGTTTGGAAGCAACTCTTTTGAAAGAGTAACCTGTATATTCCTTTCATTCCAGATGCCTGCAAATGGGAAAAGTGTAGTAGTGCCGGCGATCCGAAAATTGGTCCTTGGTACATATGAATCGACTGGAAAAAGAGTCTTCCGCGCGGAACTAATGAGAAAAGTGCAGAAGAGACTGATATACAAGCTCGATAGAGCGATCAACAGCAAAAGAATCGATGAAGTGCTGAAGATCATGGCGCATTCCGTTTTAATCGTCTACAACGGTCAAGTTGTTGAAAAACCCAAGTTAGTTGTGATACTTTAAGTTGATTTTGTTTTTCACAATTAATCCAGTCAAAATAAGCTACAAGAGAATCTCCATTCAATTGAAAATTTTCTTGCAGATAGACAACTCATACTTTCAGCAAATAAAAGTCTCCATGTTAGTTGTGGGAAACGAGTTCGAAGTGTCGCGAATTACGAGCTTAACCGTATAACAGTAAACAACGAAGATTGAAACCTTCACTGGTTTTCTTCAATTTCTTATCACATCGCATTACTAATGTTTGCAATGACATTGAACACGAATTATTCGCAGAGGAATACAAGAAAAAAGTTAAGGACATGTTTTTAGTGTATGCAGAAAATGTTTGGCGTTAAGCTTATTCTTTCAAGTGTGCACAGATTCGTGCCATAACCAACTTGGTTTAAATATCTACTTATTATGGTTCTATGTTTCTTTTCTTACACAAAAAATATTTTTTTCTTTACAAGTGAGGTTAGTTAATCCACCTAGTGGTCTCTTTCCCTCCCTGAAACATCACCATACCATCTCGATGTTGCGAAAATAAATTTATTGATTGATTGATTTATAAGGTAAATGAATGAGCTTTGTCTCTACATCCGTGAAGCGCAACATTTTTTCCCATACGTTCATGGAGTTTTTCAGAAAAGATGTCCGAATTCATGGATTCGAGACTGTTGGAAGAGCGGAAAATTTACGTTAGTTTTTTTATCAAAAATTTCACGAAAAATGGTCTTTTCAGTTTTTGGTTCATGCTGTATACAAACCGGGTTACGGGAGCGCAGTCTTCTTTTTCAAAGGATTTATGTGTTCTCAGCTTGATTATTGCTCTGAGTTCAGTTTGACCTACAAATGGGTACAGTCATCAGGAAAACAAACTCAAAAGTACTCTATGTAACTTGCAGAATCCGAAGAAGAAAAACTTCTTCATTATCGAATTCAAAAACAACGAAACTACCGTGCAGCCTGATATCCACGATTACCCATACACCAATAAATTGATTAGGTGAGATTTGATACATTGAAGGCTTTCAAAAACTCTTTCAGAACTAAATAATGTCTCGATCTCATCGATGAACCGAAGAATTTGTTATCTAATATTCACAAAAAACCATTAAAAAATTGATTTCTCGCTGATATTGTGCTATTACATGTTTTCAACTTGCTGATTTTTCGTCACAATGAATATTTTCTTCTTACTGTGTTCAAAAATTTTTGTTAAAATTATTTTTAAATTCATTAATAACGAATTCTGGAATCCCGTGAACAAGAAGAAAAAGTGGTCGCGCAAAAACTTTTCTCACACTAACAGGTTCTTTGAAAATCCTTCTTTAACGGTTCGAAAAAGCCTTTTTTTGAAGTTTTTTTCAAGCTTCCTAAAAAAAATTTCGAGTTTGCAAAAGTTATTGCGCGCAGAATTAATCTGATTTTTAACTATATATATATATGATTTTTAACTATATATATATATATATATATATATATATATATATATATATATATATTTATTTATATATAATTTCTTTTTTTAATGTAATTTAGTCATGATCAAGTTTGGACTTACATCAAATTTTTGAACCCTTTAGCATTTTTCTTCGTCCCGATTTGTACATTTGACGTTTTCGGAATGTAACAAAATTCTCAAAAGATAACAGTTTTTCTGAAGAATTTCCAAAACTTTTGAAAAGGTGTCTTCATTCGTACCTTAATTTATTTTCTGATCCGCTCATAGAAAATAGATCATTTTTTGAATGGCGCCGGCGTCCGTCTTCAATCGCTCATCAGCTATTCATTTTCGTCGCTTCCATTTTTTGATTTTCTCTTCTATTTGTTGCTCTGGTTTTTTAGCCCACCTGTAAAATATTAATTTTTGATTTAGAGATTCTAACAGACATTTTACGCATTTATGCAGTCTTCAGAGGAATTCTCTGCTGAATCATATTGATTAGTTGTTACGAAAAAGTATGCGAAAATGATTCGATGAAAAGAATATATACAAGTGTCCGTTTCCTTTCTTTTTATGCGCGTCCTATTCTAAGTATGACATTTTAGGGATGAGTCGTACGCCTCGAAATGAGGATATTGCTCTAATGGATATTAATCCTCTGGATAGTCGAATCCCTACAAGGGATCAAGCCGTGCAGAGTTCACCGGAAGAAAATTCTATCAATATCTTTTTCTCCCGCTTTTTCTTCCAGCAGGTTTGTACCAAGACGCGTGAGAATGGATTACCACGCGGAACGGTTGCGTATAGTCTGTTCAGCTGAATCTGATCAGATTTAAATTATCAAGCTCCGCCTCCTAATGACGCGATGAACCAATCAGAGAGCGAGCCATCCATAGAGCGTTTTCGAATGACGTCATTCTACGCGACATTCAAATTTGCAAAATCTAAACGGACTATAGCGATTATTAATAATATATTATTATTATAGCCCCGTTTGTCACGATTTTTTTCTTATGAGCTACAAAGTCTTTTACTTCGAGAGGCGCATCATTCTTAATAATATTAGAGTGGTCCCTATAGGGATTGAGAGGAAAAACGACCCCTGTAAGGGCCGAACAGCATGCCTAATCTAGAGAGGTTATGAAACTTAATTTCGGGTGAAGCCGTAGGACATTTAAAAAACCAGAGCGAAAAAAACTTCCGTGATAGATCATGTTAGCGAGCTATAAATTTTCAAATCCCTGAAGCAACGTCTTTTTACACATTTTACGGAGTTAGAAAGGTCAGAACTCGAAAAAAAGCTCTGTCGCGCAGAAGAGAATTTTTCTGGGATGATGATTTTCCGAAAAAAAACTGTTGCGAACAAAGTTTCAACTAAATTTTAAACGGGAGTTGAAAAATTTTTTCTTAAGAAATGAATCTAGAGAGAAAATATTAATCAGCCCCGTCCATACATCGGCTGAATCCCACTACAGCCTTTTTGCCCCGCAGTTTGCGAGGGGCAGGCCACGCTCGGGGCGGGATCCAGCCGACGTAAGGCCCCGCCTCGATTCGACTTCCTCTCATTTCTCTCTTTCTCTCACTCTCAATCGCATTACCACTTATCTAACATGGCCATGTCCATATGGAGCGTTGAAAGATCGCCCAACTCTTTCTCTGCTACACATTTCGTCGTTATCTAGCTGCGAGAGAACAATGGATTAGTGTAGGTCAGAGAAAGAGTTGCGGCGATCGTTTGACGGCCCATTTCAGAGTTCGGTTCTTGAAATAATGAAATAATTAACTCGTCAAACGATTTTTTTTTTCCGAAGGTCGCTATTGCTTCTTTGCTGATGATTTTGATTGTTTTGCTTGTTTTTATCTATGCGATTCATACGGCTCGTGTGGATATATCGGCTAGATGGCTTCTCGGGACGGATGAGAGTACAAACTTCTCAGAAGAAAACAAAATGACAGAACTTGAACCCTACAAACCAATTTGCCTTGATCATCAATGGCATGAAATCGAACACGCTTGCAGAAATTACTACAACTCTTCGTCTCGGTGTGATTTGAGTGGTTCGTTTTCGAAGAATTATTAGAAATAGTTCTGTTCGTTTCAGCTGAAGAAGACAAGCAATTGCTGAAAGAGCTCCAAACATGTTGCGAGGACGAAGAAAACTGTTGGCCCCGAGAAATGGACGAGTACTGCTGCCAAGAAGAACCGTGCAACAATCATAAATGCAAAATTCCAGTGGGTCATTTTTCTCCGAGTTCAATCCTTGAACGAAACCATTTTGAAAGTATCGAGTAAATTCTATTTTTTCAGATGCCAGCGAAAGGAACCAGTGTTGTTTCCGAGGCGATCTTGAAGAAAATGTTACAGCAAGAAGAAGAAAGAGAAGGAGACGGGATCTTCAGCAAAAAAATCTTGACGAGAAAGCAGAAAAAACTAATTGTCAAGTTGCACAATTTCTTGAACACCAAGAACTCCACCGTCGTGCGCGAAATCATAAATGACTTAACTTTGATCATCTACAACAACGAAGTTATTCGACCACCGAGTTAGTTGTAAATCTCTTTTTCTTTGCTCAGCGATTCTTACCATTCTTGAACCAAAATGCAAAATTTCAGTAACGTTGACCAGCTTTTTGGACTTGAGCACGGTGAAAGAACATAGAATTCACGTTAGTTTTCCGAAAAAGTTTCACAAGAGTCGTGAATTTTCAGTTTTTGATCGATGTCGTTGAACAATTATCGGAAGAATGGCACGCGGCTGTCGACTTCACAGGATTCATGTGCACCTCTCTTCCCACCTGCTCCGAGCTTCAAGCAACCTTCAGATGGGTACTGTCACCTCTAAACTTATTTTTAATAATTGACGAATTTTGCAGAATATTAAGAAGAAAGACTACTTTGTAAGTAAATTCAAAAACAACAAGTCCAACGTGAAGCCGAGTATCGACGAATATCCATATTGGGCCGGAGAGGAATAAAAGTCCCGTCGAATCTGACACATTCCAGGCTTCTAAAAAAATTTTTTGTCCACAATGATGTCTCGATCTCATCGATTAAACGTTTCAATATTAACCAAGAAGAAATATTCGCAAACCAATTTTTCTATAACCTCTCGCATGCTGAGCAGGGTAACCCCGCCGTGCTAACACGGGGTCTCCGCGGGTGCCCCCGTATTAAACCCGTATAAGCCCAGCTGATAGAACTTTTGGCACTTTTTAGCCCAACTGAGACCCCGCTTTAGCCCAGCTGGGTTACCTATTTTTCTTACACCCGTTGTTCCCCCGTTTTAGCCCAACTGAGACTAAAATAACCTCAGAAACACGGGTTTAATACGGGTACACCCGTTGAGACACCTGCTCAGCATGCGAGGATAGTCTCCATGATCTACCTTCGCCGCGAGAATGACACCGCCTGTTCGCTGTCCCAAGCCTGCCGTGAACGGGCTATATAGCTGATTCATGGCTGGCTTGAGCCATCGAAAAAAGGGTCCTGACACGATTATGCACGAGATAGCGCCTGGCTCGTGGAGAGCGCAGACAGGACACGCCCCCTTATCGTCCCATGCTGGCCGTGAATCAGCTATATCGTTTCCACCATTTTTCGAGGTCTTCGGACTCGAATCACTCGTACCCCGAGCTGTGCGTTGGGCCGAGGTTGGCTTTTGTACCGTGTTCAATTTGATTCCGCGAAACGCAAAATACCCGTTAGAGAAAGGAAAAGATCAATAGATTTTGGAGAGTCAGAGATCATTTTGCATTTCGCGGGATCAAATTGAACACGGCATTGAAAAGGTCCTCGCATGCTGAGCAGGTGTCTCAACGGGTGTACCCGTATTAAACCCGTGTTTCTGAGGTTATTTTAGTCTCAGTTGGGCTAAAACGGGGGAACAACAGGGTGTAAGAAAAAAATAGGTAACCCAGCTGGGCTAAAGCGGGGTCTCAGTTGGGCTAAAAAAAGTGCCAAAAAGTTCTATCAGCTGGGCTTATACGGGTTTTAATACGGGGGCACCCGCGGAGACCCCGTGTTAGCACGGCGGGGTTACCCTGCTCAGCATGCGAGGTCTTTTCCTTCGTACCGTAATATGTGTTTTGATCCGCTCTTATAAGAGCGGATCAAAATCACTAGAAAATAGATCATTTTTTGAATGACGCCGGCGTCCGTCTTCAATCGCTCATCAGCTATTCATTTTCGTCGTTTCCATTTTTCATTTTTTATTTTCTCTTCTATTTGTTGCTCTGGTGTTTTTTAGCCCACCTGTAAAATATTAATATTTGATTTAGAGATTCTAACAGACATTTTACGCATTTATGCAGTCTTCAGAGGAATTCTCTGCTGAATCATATTGATTAGTGGTTACGAAGTAGCACTAAGAATAACTGACGAGATAAACGCGAGCTCGGTGGCGGTACATTGACTAACTCGCAAAAATGTCGCTTTTTTCTAGGCGCGACCCCGCATTTTTCTCGGCGCCATCTCGCATTTATCTTGCATTTCGAAAATTTTCAAATTGCGAGAGAAATTCGAGCTCGCGCCTAGAAAAATGTGAGCTCGCGCCCAGACTAATGCGAAACCGGCGCGAGAAAAAAAGCGAGATGTTTGCGAGCTCGTCAATGTACCGCCAGTGTCTCGCGTTTATCTCGGCAGTTATTCTTAGTGAGTATGCGAACATGATTCGATGAAAAGAATATATACAAGTTTCCGTTTCCTTTCTTTTTTATGCGCTTCCTATTCTAAACATGACATTTCAGGGATGAGTCGTACGCCTCGAAATGAGGATATTGCTCTAATGGATATTAATCCTCTGGATAATCGAATCCCAACAACTGATCAAGCCGTGCAAAGTCCACCAGGAGCAAATTCTACCAACAGCTTTTTCTGCCGCGGTGGCTTGATTCAGGTTTGTACCAAGACGCGTGAGAATTGATCACTACGCCGAACAGTTGCACAACGTGTCTTATCACTAGAGCCCATCACTAAGAATAACTGCCGAGACAAACGCGAGACTCTGGCGGTACATTGACGAGCTCGCAAACATCTCGCTTTTTTTCTCGCGCCAGTCTCGCATTTTTCTGGTCGCGAGCTCGCATTCTTCTCGGCGCGACCTCGCATTCTTCTTGCATTTCGGAAATTTTCAAATTGCGAGAGAAATGCGAGCTCGCGCCTAGAAAAGTGCAAGCTCGCGCCCAGAAAAATGAGAGACCGGCGCGAGAAAAAAGCGAGATTTTTGCGAGTTCGTCAATGTACCGCCACCGACCTCGCGTTTATCTCGTCAGTTATTCTTAGTGATTCCGTCCCCATTTGTCACGTTTTTTTTTCACTTATGAGCTACAGATGATTCACGGCTAGCTTGGGACGCAAAAAGGCGTGGCCTGTCTGCACTCTCCACCAACCAGGGAGGCGCCGCTATTTCTAGACCAGGGGCGTGGCTTTGCCTCACCGTAATCATGTGCGGTGGCGCGCACATGCCTACTTTTCCTCAGTCATTTACTTTATATTTCCTCATTTTTTTTTTCATTTTCTTTTTCATTCTTTTAAAGGATTTACTTTGGGACGCGCAGCATTCTTACGAATACTGGTGTGGTACCTTTAATGACTGAGGGTGAAAAAACTCCCTGTAAGAAAAAAAAATTGCAACGCTATAGCTGTTTCACAGACACGATAATGCACGAGACAGTGCCTGTCTCGTGGAGAGCGCAGACAGGCCACGCCCTAACTAGCCAAATACAAACTACATGTGTTTCACGAAAAAATCTTGTGATGAATCTCGTCAGCGAGCTAAAAAATATTTCTCTTTCCCTCTCTTTTGAAAAACAATTCAGTTCTTCGAAAATAAAAAAAAAATGACTTCGTCAAAGAATCTTTTTTTCAGAAGGTCTCCTTCGCGTTTTTACTGATTTTTCTGGCTTTTCTTGTTTATGTGATTTATTCGGCTCGTCAGCCTACTTCGCTTCCTTTTTCGTCTTCTACGTCGCTTCCTGCGACGGATCAAAGTACACACTCACACTCAGAAGACGACGAATGGATAGAAGATGAGCCCTACAGACACATTTGCATTGATCATCATTGGCATGAAATCGAATACGGTTGCAGAAAATACCACAACTCGACGCCTCGCTGTGATTTGAGCGGTTCGTTTTCGAAACATTCAAACAGTGGATCTTCGTTTCAGCAGAAGAAGATACACAATTGCTGGGAGCGCTCCGAGCATGTTGCGAGGCGGGACAAGCGTGTTGGTCCTTAGCAATGCACAAGTACTGCTGCCAAGTGAAACCGTGTGACCATCATAAATGCAGAAACCCAGTGAGTTATCTTTCTCAGACTTTGATCCTTGAAAGAAACCATTTTGAAAGCAATGAGTAAATTTTATTCATTGCAGATGCCAGCAAATGGGACCAGTCTTGTTGCCGAGGCGATCCTGAAGATACACTTACAGAAGCAAGAAGACGGAGGAGAAGGGATCTTCAGCAGAAAAATCTTCACGCAAAAGCAGAAAAAACTGATTGTCAAGTTGCACGAGGTTTTGAACACCAAGGACTTCACCCTGGTGCGCGAAATCATGGATGACAGCACTTTGATCATCTACAACAACGAAGTTGTCCGATCACCGAGTTAGTTATAAATCTCCTTATTCTTTTGGCGAAGCATTTTCACCCTTTTTAAAACAAAATGCAAAATTTTCAGCGAAGTTAACCAGCTTTTTGGACTTGAGCACGGTGAAAGAACATAGAATTCACGTTAGTTTTCCGAAAAAGTTCCAAAAGAGTCGTGAATTTTCAGTTTTTTATCGATGGCGTTGAACAATCATCGCAACAAGAGCACGCGCCTGTCGATTTCACAGGATTCATGTGCACTTACATTCCCATCTGCTCCGAGTTTCAAGCAACCTTCAAATGGGTAAAGTTATCGCACGAATCATCCAAAATCATCGACAATTTTTGCAGAGTCCAAAGAGGAACGACTACCTCGTAAGCAAATTCAAAAACAACAAGTCCAACGTGAAGCCGATTATCGACGATTACCCATATTGGGGCGGAGATGAATAATAGTTCCGTCGAATCTGACCCATTCTAGGCTTCTAAAAATTGTTTTAAACTGAAATGATGTATCGATCTCATCGAATGAACGAAACGTTTCAATATTAACCAAGAGAAAAATAATCGTATATCAACTTTTTGACATCGTTGTACTATTTGTTATGTTTGAATTGATTATTTCCCGCCGCGATATAAATTTTTCTTATTATTTCAACGTTCTTACGCAGGAATTTCCATAAATTTACGATCAAGAAAAATCATTGGTCTTTTTTTTAAAGGAAGGCTTATCGGCTCGACCCTTTTTCGAGAAGGTCTTTGAGCTTTATTCGTACGCAGGCAAAGTCCAAATGACCTCAAAAAGAAGACCTGAAGCTCCTTTTCGTTCCTGAAAAGGTGTGAAAAGTTTCTCGGCGTCTGTTTTCCACCTTTTTTCCTCCTTATTTTTTAAAACTCCTTGAAAGGTCCTTATCAGAAAAAGATCTAGAAACAAAAAGCGCTGTTGAGGCTTTTAAAGGCCTTTTTTTTCCAAAAGCCCCTTTTTAGACCTTTTGGACTTTGACCGTGTACTCCGAGCTGTGGGTTGGCCGAGGTTGAAAAAATCGGCACAAAATCGCTAATTATTTTATTTTAGTTCATAATTTACATCACGTATTTTTTCTAAATAACACATTCCGATCACTCACTTCCTCACTGACATATTCTGTAAAAATTTCGAGACAAAAAGGTTTGAAAAACGGCAAATTTTCGACCGCTTCGCCACCCCTGTTTGAGGCGGCCGGCCGTATTATTGTAGTTCAGATAGGTTGTTTGGTATTAAAGTTGAAGCTGGTGTACTTTTTGTGACGTGGTATTGTATTCTAGAGAATTCTGTCCTCAACGGCTTGCAAAAAATTAAAAAAAATTGTCTAACTCCGAAACTGACGGCGCAGTACTGACCGGCTGCCGCAACTCTGCTCGTACCGTAGTCTATTTCCTCTCTTCCATCGCTCATCAACAATCATTTTCGGTTTTTATGCCGTGTTGAAAGTAATTTCCGCGAAATTCAAAATTATCTCTGTCTCTCCGAAATCTATTTATCTTTTTCTCTCTCTGACGGCTATTATTATGCCGTGTTCAAAGTAATTTCCGCGAAATGCAAAATGGTCTCTGACCCTCCAAAATTTAGTTATCTTTCTCTTTCTCTGACGGCTATTTTGAATTTCGCGGAATCACTTTGAACACGGCATTAGTTTCTCGGAATTACTTTGAAACACGGCATAAGGTCTTGTTATCCTATCATTGGTTGAGGAAAAAAAAAAGCGAGCGATTTCGCTATTAGTGTCTCCCCCGCTCACAATGAATATTTTCTTCTCACTGTTGTTTTACATTTTTGTTAAATTCATTAATACCGATAGACAAGAAGAAAAGAGGTCGCACTAAACTTTCTCACACTAACAGGTTCTTTAAAAATTCTTCGTTAACGGTTGAAACGCCTTTTTTTAAAAAAATTTTTTTGAGCCTTTATAAATATAAAAAAAATTATAAAAAAACTTTGAGTGTGCAAAATTATTGGGCGCCGAATTAATCTGATTTGAAATATGTACATTTTTTTAAAAATTATAATTAAGTCATGAACAAGTTTGGACTTACATCAAATTTGGAGCTTGAGCCTCCCTTTACCATAATTTTTTCTTCGTCCCGATTTGTACATTTGACGTTTTCGGAATATAACCACATTCACGAAGGATAACCGTTTTTGTGAAGAATTTCAAAAACTTTTAAAAAGGTCTCTTCATTCGTACCGTAATTTATTTTCTGATCCGCTCATAGAAAATAGATCATATTTTGAATGGCGCCGGCGCCCGTCTTCAATCGCTCGTCAGCTATTCATTTTCGTCGTTTCCATTTTTCATTATTCATTTTCTCTTCCTTTTGTTGCTCTGGTTTTTGCCCACCTGTAAAATATAATTTTTGATTTACCAATTCTAGCATACATTTTACGCATTTATGCAGTCATAAGAGAATATTCTCTGCTGAATCATATTGATTAGTTGTTACGAAAAAGTATGCGAAAATGATTCGATGAAAAGAATATATATCAAGTGTCCGTTTCCTTTCTTTTGCACGTCCTATTCTAAGTATGACATTTTAGGGATGAGTCGTACGCCTCGAAATGAGGATATTGCTCTAATGGATGTTAATCCTCTGGATAATCGAATCCCAACAACTGATCAAGCCGTGCAAAGTCCACCAGAAGCAAATTCTACCAACAGCTTTTTCTGCCGCTGTGGCTTGCCGCAGGTTTGTACTAAGACGCGTGAGAATTGATCACTACGCGGAACAGTTGCACAACGTGTCTTATCACTAGAGCCCATTCCGTCCCCTATCGTCACGTTTTTTTATTAACTTATGAGCTTAAAATCCCTCGCTTCGGGACGCGCAGCATTCTTACGAATACCGGAGTGGTCCCTATAGGAACTGAGAGTGAAAACACTCCCTGTAAGAAAAAAAAATTGCAACGCTAAACGTGCTGAAATATAAACCAAAGCTGTTTCACGGCTGACTTGAGCCATTGAAAAAAGGGTCCTCACACCGTAATGCATAAGAGAGTGCGTGGCTCGTGGAGAGCCCAAACAGGCAACGCCTCCCTTAGCGTCCAAGCTATAGTCAGTTCAGATTTCTAATGTCAAGCAGCTAACTCCGCCCCCAAGGCTACAATATCTTTCGCGTCAATATTTATCTAGAGATGATCATGAACCTTCAATCGGGCTGCATTTTTTGACTTCGTTTTCTATCTTTCAGATCAAAAAAGAACAAAAATCGTCCCAATATTGACGCGAATGATATTGTAGCCTTGGGGGTGAAGTTAGCTGCTTGACATTTGAAATCTGAACAGACTATAGCCGTGAATCAGCTATAGGACTTTCCGATGCTAGAGCAAGTAAAATCTTGTGACAGATCTTGTTAGCGTGCCATAAGTTTTCAAGTCCCTGAAGCAACGCCTTTTTTCCATATTTTACGAACTTAAAGAGGTCAGAACTCGAAAAAAAAAAAGCCCTATCGCGCAAAAGAGAATTTTTCTGGGATAAGGATTTTCTCAAAAACACTAGTGTTTTTGAGAAAATGCACTGTTACAAACAAAGTTTCAATAAAGTTTTTAAACGGGACCTGAAAAATTTTTTCATATGAAACAAACCTAGAAAGATAATATTGATCAGCCCCGCCTCGAACCTACTTCGTCTCATTTCTCTCTTTCTTTTAAAAACCAGTTCAGTTCTTCAAAAACCGGAAAAAAAGACCTCGTCAAACAATTCTTCTTTTCAGGTCGCCATTTTGGTTCTTCTGATCTTTTTGATTGGTCTGATTTTTGTTTATCTGATTTATCCGGCTCGTCAGCCTACTTCGCTTCCTTTTTCGTCCTCTACTTCGCTTCCTGCGACGGATCAAAGTACACACTCACACTCAGAAGACGACGAATGGATAGAAGATGAGCCCTACAGACACATTTGCATCGATTATCAATGGCACGAAATCAACTACCAATGCAAGAAGTTCTACAACTCCACGCCTCGCTGCGATTTGACTGGTTCGTTTTCGAATTTTTTTTTTCCGAATTTAACGACTACTGTTCTAGCTGACGAGGACACGCTATTGCTGAAGGAGCTCCAAGCATGTTGCGAGGACGACGAAAACTGTTGGCCCCGAGAAATGGACAAGTACTGCTGCCATGAAAAACCGTGTGACCATCATAAATGCAGAAACCCAGTGAGTTATCTTTCTCAGAGTTTGATCTTTAAAAGAAACTATTCTAAAAACAACGAAGTTGTATTCATTGTAGATGCCAGCGAATGGAACCAGTCTTGTTGCCGGGGCGATCCTGAAGATACAGTTAAAGCACGAAGAGGAAAGAGAAGGAGAAGGGATCTTCAGCAGAAAAATCTTCACGCAAAAGCAGAAAAAACTGATTATCAAGTTGCACAAGGTTTTGAACACCAAGGACTTCACCCTGGTGCGCGAAATCATGGATGACAGCACTTTGATCATCTACAACGACGAAGTTGTTCGATCGCCGAGTTAGTTATAAATCTCCTTATTCTTTTGGCGAACCATTTTCACCCTTTTTAAAACAAAATGCAAAATTTTCAGTGAAGTTAACCGACTTTTTGGACTTGAGCACGGTGAAAGAAAATAGAATACACGTTAGTTTTCCGAAAAAGTTCCAAAAGAGTCGTGAATTTTCAGTTTTTGATCGATGGCGTTGAAAAATTATCGCAACAAGAGCACGCGGCTGTCGATTTCACAGGATTCATGTGCACTTACCTTCCTCTTTGCTCCGAGTTTCAAGTAACCTTCAAATGGGTAAAGTTATCGCACAAATCATCCCAAATCATCGACGAATTCTGCAGAGTCCAAAGAGGAACGACTACTTCGTTAGCAAATTTGAAAACAAAAAAACCGTCGTGAAGCCGAGTATCGACGATTACCCATATTGGGGCGGAGAGCGACATAAGTCCCGTCGAGCCTGACGCAGTCCAGGCTTCTAAAAAAAATTTTAAAACCATAATGATGTCTCGATCTCATCGAATGAACGAAACGTTTCAAAATTAACCAAGAAAAAAATAATTGTAAATCAACTTTTTGACATCGTTGTACTATTTGTTATGTTTGAATTGATTATTTCCCGCCACGATAAAAAATTATCTTATTATTCGAAATTTTTCTTTCTGCAGAACCGAACCAAGGACCCTTTTTTCAATTTTAAAACTTATACCGGCTGAGTCAGCCTTCACACCTGTCAGAGTTCACTTTTTTTTTGTTATCAAATGACCAACAAAAATTACAATACAATACAATACAATATTTATTGGTTGTCAGATGGTATCGACTAGGCGGTGAAAAAATTGCTCTTTTGAGCGGCACTAACACCGCCTTTGGCGAAAAAGAAGTCAAAACGTGTAGTCGATTGAATGGAAAGCATGGTCTTACGGTCCATCGCCTCGCTCTTCCACAAGTTGATCCCTCAGTTTCGCTTGTACGGGCACGGCGGTGATGGTGGGGCTCGGGCACGGACTCCGTGTACACTCTAGGGTAGCCTCGGCCGACTGAGAGAGCTACCACTTCGAGTGAAGAAAATACACGGGATTCACTGGGTTTTTTTTCAAGGATATATAACATAAGGCTTATCGCCTTCATCCTTTCTTGAAAAGGTCTTCAGACTCGAAGTACTCGTACCGGAATTTATGTTTTGCGGTCTAAAATAAAATACGGTCCTTCTACCGCCTTCGGCTGCGTACTCGAGATTTCTAATTTCGCGCCAAATTTTGTTTTGACGTCTCCCCATCCCGTTTGGGAACACCGTGTTCCATCGCTAATCGGTTAACCCTTTTCGTCATTAAAGTTTTGTTTTCCTTTCATAAGTTCATGAAATTTTTTTAAGGAGCAATGTATAGCCCGTTCACGGCTGACTTGGGACAGTGAACGGGCTGTTTAACTTGCGCGGCGATGGTAGATCATGGTGGTTATACATGCGCCTTTAATAAGAGACTCTTCTTCTTCTTCTTCTTCTTACGCCTTTGTACCGCTTGAGCGGCGTCGGCACCCCAAGTCGATTATAGTCTGTTCAGATTTTGAATGTCAAGTCGTCGTTCAAGCTCCGCCCCTAATGGTGCGATAAGCCAATCAGAGAGCGAGCCATCCACAGTGTTTTGAATGACGTCATTGCACTTGACTTTAAAAATCTGAACAGACTATAGCCGAGGTCCTATCCTGATATCAGTGGACTGGCTCCAGTGACATATCCGTCCTTGTGTGTGACAGCTGAGGATTACGAAGCCGTGGTTTCACGAGACTTCACACTTTGCGATATACCTCAGAGCGTATGGCGATACCCTTTCTCGATTTGCCTATGTTGAAGGGGTCGAATATAAGTTAGGAAAGGAAAGATGGAAAAAAAAGCCAATGAAATTTCGAAAGGCGACTTTTCCGATTTTTTCATATCGCTATAGTCTGTTCAGATTTCAAATGTCAAGTCCTCGCTGAAGCTCCGCCCCCTAATGGCGCGATAAACCAATCAGAGAGCGAGCCATCCACAGAGCGTTTTCAAATGACGTCATTCTACTTGACATTCCAAATCTGAACAGACTATAGCGAGCTTTCTGATAGAGAAGTTTCCGATAAACCCTTTTACGACTTTTTTTTATGGATGAAAACTTCCTATATGAAGTAGGCAAGTTATTCATGATTAAAACACAAAGAATAGGAAAAAAAAATGTTAATAGATGTTTTATAAACCGAAAAATGAAAGGGAAAAAAGTCGGAAAAGTCGCTGTTCAAAAATTCGCTGGCTCTTTTTTCATATTATAGCTGATTCATGGCTAGCTTGAGGCGCTAAGGGGGGCGTGTCCTGTCTGCGCTCTCCACGAGCCAGGCGCTATCTCGTGCATCTTTTCTATATCATTTCGTTTCTTTTTTGCATTTTTTGCCTCTCAGGATCCTCAAAAAACTTTTCAGTTTTACCTATGTTGGCACATCGGTCGTTTATTTAGCACCAATGCTTTTTCAAATCTTACCAAGTTTTCCAGGATTTTATTGGCTAACGCTGAAACAAAAATAGCCACGCGAGAAGCAATGCCAGACTTTCCGCTAGAAATCTCGAATGTCAGGACCTCCGACTCAGGTACCTAAGAGATAGTAGCCGGTCGCATACAAACGACCGCCGATTACGATACGCTGATTGATTTTCTTGTGTTTCGCAACATTTTTCGTTTTTTTTTTCTCGAAGAAAAAGTCATTACAATTGCTCAAAAATTATTATAAGCTCCCCGAATTCCTAGAAACTTCAGAAGAACAGTTTCTTTTAATTGTGGAGTTTGAAAAAAAATTTCAGGGGTTCGAAAAGAAAAGTGCGGCGTGAAAGAGCTGTGAGAGCAAAAAAAAATGTTGGCAACTCTCTTTTCTCAGAGCGCTCACGGGAACACCCGCTTGGGAAGCCAGGGCGCGAGCTCGCCGGAAGGCTCTCGAGATCTCGGGAAACAGACGTCAGGCATGCTGGCAAAAAAGTGGATTCTAAAAAATGAAAAGTAGTTTCTTTATCTTTGATTTTAATTTTTTTGTTCAAAATAGTTGGATGATTTTTTCTCCTCGTGATTGTTTGCAACTGTGATGTAGGTGTAGAGCAAGGCCTCTGTTCGCGTCCTCAAGGACGTTGCAGTTGGCCGGTTCCATTGTAACAGTGTACTTTTTTTTGCTTCGTTTTGATATTTGGTTTCTTGAAGTAATTTGTAAAATAGTGATGTTCCATTCGTTTCTAGCTTTTTTTTTCAAAAATAGTTCAATTTAGTGATGGAAGATAGTCCTACATATGATCGAACTGTTGGAAGCTTCCGGAAGTCCACGAAAAACGGAAGATGTCAATACATTTCCAACTTCGTTGCAGGTTTGTATCAAAACGCGTGAGAATGATTCACTAGGCAGAAGTTTATATTCATTCCTGTTTTCGCCAAATAATTGGCCCCGAAATATTCCAAAGAGCTTTCGAACATCTCAAAGTTGAAAAATTTTCCAAGCGCGGCGTACGCTAGCTTTTCGACCAGAGTGAAGAGGCGGGCACAAGAGTAAGTTAGAGAAATCGATTGAGTAGTCCGGCGCCTCATCACTCCCTCCTCCCTCTTTTGCGCCAAAGGCTCGTCGTGTGTGAAGCCTGATGAAGGCTGCCTTTGGCGCAAAACACGTGGTGATGTCTGCGTCTCCGCCGATATAACGTGTGTTGTACCTTCACCCAATTTTGTGGACTATATCGCAGAGAGAGTAATGCTATACCGCGGGGGAGCCGCGAGCAATATATAGTTTATTCACTGCCATTAGCTATATCGCTCGCCTCTCGCTGCGACCTCGCAAACGTCTTGCGCTATATCGCTTTCTGAAAAATGTTTTTCTTCAAAAATATTTTTTTCGTTAATTTGATTCATTTCATCATAAAATTCAAAAAAATAAAGCAAGAAAATGTTTTTTATTTTAAATTTTTTTGAGAGGGAGCGATATCGCAGCGAGACTTTGATGAGGTCGCAGCGACATGTTGACAATATCGCAGCAAGAAGCCTGGGCTATATCGTCTGCTGCCCGCGGCGATATCGGCAATTATGTTGAGTGTTGTAAAATTTTTTAAAGCTTCTTGTATTTTTGAATCAGAAAAGTGGGTGAAAATCAGTGTTTCGAATATTCTAAAATCCGCGTCACTGTAATCGTTTTTCAGTTTTTCCATTGATTTGATACAAAAAGTGACTTCATTTTAGTGATGAAAGAAAGTCCTTCAAATGAACGAGTTGTTGGGAATCCACGAAAAACGGAAGATACCGTAGATTGTCTCCTCGTTTTGCAGGTTTGTATATGTCAAGACGCGTGAATCGCTTACTACACAGAACGGTCGCGGCGACCTTATAAGATTTTAATCCTTGATAATGGTTCAAGCGCAGCATACGGTGGCTTCTCGATTAGAGCGCAGAGGCGGGCTCAAAAGGAAGTTAGAGAAAACTCATTAATTGGTTGGCCGCGCCTACATGCGGCTTTGCTGCCTCCCTCCCCCCTTGGGCCAACGCCGTTTCGTGTCTGAAGCCTGGTGAAAGTTGCTTTGAAAGCTGCCAGGAACAAAAATACGCTACAATGTCTGCGTTTCCGCCGATGTAACGTCTGTTCTTCGTTCAGTCGAGTCACGTGTTCTTTTTCAAAAATTTCGAGCCAGCCTTAAACTCACTCCACTTTGTCTTCTAATAAAGTTCAAAAGCTACTTGGTGTTTTAATATTTATTTTTATGAAAAAAATTTATGAAGAATTTTTCATTTTTTTCAGGTAATGCTTTTTATAGCGATCGGCTTTTTCGCTATTTTTGTGCATTTGGGCCGTTCTCAAGATGATTTTACATCAAAGTGTATCGATTCACGATACCACGAAATCGCGGATCAATGCAAGAATGTTTCCAACTCTAGGCCTCGGTGTGACTTGACCGGTCAGATTTTTTTTTTAATCCGTCGATTTTTCGCATTGCAGCTGAAGAAGACGTGCAGCTGCTGAAGGAGCTCCAAGAATGCTGTCGGAACATTAAAAATTGTGTGCCCCGAAGCTTCGAAAAGTACTGTTGCGAGAAGGAGCCTTGTGCTCTTGAATGCAAAGATCCCGTGGGTTACTTCACGCAAACTATTTTGAAAGAGTAACCTGTATATTCCTTTCATTTCAGATGCCTGCAAATGGGAAAAGTGTAGTAGTGCCGGCGATCCGAAAATTGGTCCTTGGTACATATGAATCGACTGGAAAAAGAGTCTTCCGCGCGGAACTAATGAGAAAAGTGCAGAAGAGACTGATTTACAAGCTCGATAGAGCGATCAACAGCAAAAGAATCGATGAAGTGCTGGAGATCATGGCGCCTTCCGTTTTAATCGTCTACAACGGTCAAGTTGTTGACAAACCTGGTTAGTTTTGATGCTATAAGTTGTTTTTGTTTTTCACCATCAGTCCGGTTCCCCTTTTTCAATTCAAAAAAGTATGATTTTTTTTTCAGATATAAGTTAAATGAATGAGCTTTGTCTCTACATCCGTGAAGCGCAACATTTTTTTCCCATATGTTCATGGAGTTTTTCAGAAAAGATGTCCGAATTCATGGATGCGAGACTGTTGGAAGAGAGGACAATTCACGTTAGTTTTTATCAAAATATTTCAAAAAAAATGGTCTTTTCAGTTTTTGGTTGATGCTGTATACAAACCGGGTTACGGGAGCGCAGTCTTCTTTTTCAAAGGATTTATGTGTTCTCAGCTTGATTATTGCTCTGAGTTCAGTTTGACCTACAAATGGGTACAGTCATCAGGAAAACAAACTCAAAAGTACTCTATGTAACTTGCAGAATCCGAAGAAGAAAAACTTCTTCATTATCGAATTCAAAAACAACGAAACTACCGTGCAGCCTGATATCCACGATTACCCATACACCAATAAATTGATTAGGTGAAATCTGATAAATTCAAGGCTTTCAAAAACTCTTTCAGAACTAAATAATGTCTCGATCTCATCGATCAAACGAAGAATTTGAACATTAACCAGGAAGAGATATTCGCAGATCATCTTTTCGACAACTGTGTACTATTTGTTATGTTTGAATTGATTCTTTTCCGCCACAATAAAAATCTTTTATTATTTCAACTTTTTTTTGGTGGTAGGAAAAAAAGACCAGCGAAAATTCAAACGGCGACTTTTCTTATTTTGTCATATCGCTAGTGAACTTTCCGACGGAGAAGTCCCCGGCGAATTTTTCCCGACTTTTTTTCTCGATGCACTCTTTTAATCATTAAATCTTCCTATATAAAATAAGCAAAAAGTTTAATAGAGGTTTTATAAACCGAAAAATATAAGAGAAAAAAGTCGGAAAGATATTCGTCGGAAAGGTGGCCGTCGGAAAGTTCCCTAGCGATATGAAAAAATCGGAAAAGTCGCCGTTTGAATTTTCGCTGGCCTTTTTTCATACCACCTTTTTTTGCAGAAATTTTTTTATCAAATGACCAAAAAAAATTTACTGAGGTTCATGAAACAAAGGCTTAACATTTTTTTGAGAAGGTCTTCAGACTCGAATTACCCGTACCGTAATTCATGTTCTGATCCGCTTAATAGAAAATAGATCATTTTTCAAATGGCGCTATAGTCCGCCTTCCAACGCTCGAGCGACCAGCCGATCGGATATCTCATTCCGTCTATTTTATTTTGGTATCTTCTTTTTGATTCATCGTTTTATTTTTACTCCATAGAGTCCATACCTGTACATTGTCGAAGTTTCACCTATTAGCTAAAGATATTATTCAAAAGTTGACGTTAAAAACACAGAAAATGGTTAGTTGTATACAACATGTAGGTATTCCTTTGTATTTATTCAGTCTTTAGAGGAATCGAGAAGAAAAATTTTTAGATTTGCAGTCTTTCTTATATACCGGTTAGTTGGTTAGTTGTATACATACCGAATACGTTCACGAAAAAGACAACTTTATAGAAAAAAAATTATGTGATCTTCACTTATTTTGCAGATAGCTTTAAGGAATTAAAAATTTTCACACCAGTATGGTGTATATTGAATGGAACTCATTATAAGTTTTCTGAAAAAGTTTCAAATTCCTACGACTCGAATCACTCGAACGGAAATTTATTTTTTGATCCGTCTAATAAAAAATAGATCATTTTTTGATTGGCGCGAGCATCCATCTTCTATACCGCTCATGAGTTCAAAGGCGATCCCTTTCTCCCTTTCCGCTTTTATAGTTTTGTTATATATACTAAATCGCAGAATGCGTGCAATTTTTCGCAGATTTCTGCCGAAGGCAATGCAGCCTGCCCGATTTCGCCAGAGTGTGTCTATCGAACAAGTCATTTGCGGGATGGTGCGAGAGGCGACAGACTCTCCCGGCGGAAAACTTTCCCGCTCCCTCAATTGATGCTCTTTTTCCACTCGCGCTCCCTAGTTTATGGCGTGTTCATCGGAGAAACGGAACATGTTGGAACAACGCAAAAGCGTGTTCATGGACCCACTTAATTTGACTTATGTTTTTTTTGGAGCAGTTTTCTTGCGTTTCACAACGATTTTCGTTTTTTTTTCTTCCAAAAAAATTCATGCGATTGCTCACAAATTATTTTAAGCTCCCCGAATTTCTAGAAACTTCATGAGTTTCTTAGCAGTTTCTTTTTCTTGTAGAATTCAAAAAAAAATTTTTGAGCGTTTGAAAAAAAAAATGCGGCGTGAGAGAGCTGTGAGAGCAAAAAAAAATGTTGGCAACTCTCTCAGTGTCGCCTTTTCTCAGAGCGCTCACGGGAACACCCGCTTGGGAAGCCAGGGCGCGAGCAAACGGAGATGCAGGTTTATAGCAGGGCCTCTGTTCGCGTCCTCAAGGACGTTGCAGTTGGCCGGTTCCATTGTAACAGTGTTCTTTTTTTTCGCTTCGTTTCAATATTTGGTTTCTTGAAGTAATTTGTAAAATAGTGATGTTCCATTCGTTTCTAGCGTTTGGCTATTTTTGAAACGCCTTATTGTGCTAGCAAGCATGCTTAAAACAAGATAAAAAGGGGTGTGTGAATTCCGATGTTTCAACTGTAAAAAATCCGCTTTATTTTTATCGTTTTTTTCAGTTTTTTTCTATTGACTCATACAACAAGCGTTTTTTTAAGTGATGGAAGGAAATCCTACAAATGATCGAACTGTTGGAAGTCCACGACAAAAGGAATATGTCGATAAATTTTCAACCCCGTTGCAGGTTTGTATCAAAACGCGTGAGAATGGTTTACTAGGCAAAACGGTCGCGAAACGGGTTTTTACATCTGACGAATTCTTGGCATCCGTGAACGAGAATTTTTTTAAGATGGTTATTTCTGATTTTTTCAATAATTTTCAAGTAGTATTTTTGAAAATTGGGACCGGTTTTTAGACTTTTGATACCTGAGTGCGCCAAATAATCGGGTTGAAGTTTTTCTAAAGAGCTTTTGTAAGCCTCAATAGTTGGATAATGGTTCAAGCGCTGCGTACGCTAGCTTCGACCAGAGAACGTATGCAATAAAACGGAAAATGATTTACCGCCATTTTTCTGAAACTCGAAAATGGCTACAATTAGTCTTCTTAGACTGGTATTCTCCCTTCTTTATAAAGATAAATCCGAATCTTCTTATAAAGCTTTATTGCACCAGAAAAAGTTGAAATCAATGATATCCTAGCGAGTTTCAGGCATTTTATATTTTCGGGAATGACAAAAACTCATTTACCACTTTATTTCATACGGCCTCAAAGTGCATAAGTGCATAGGCGGGCACAAGAGTAAGTTAGAGAAATCGATTGAGTAGTCCGGCGCCTCATCACTCCCTCCTCCCTCTTTTGCGCCAAAGGCGCGTCGTGTGTGAAGCCTGATGAAGGCTGCCAAAGCAAAAAAAAAAAGACGCGATGCCTGCTTCTCCGCCAAAGTAACGTGTGTTCTCCGTTTCATCGAGTCACGTGATCATTTTCAAACATTTCGAGCCAGTCTTGAACTCGCTGCATTCTGTCATAAAAAAAGTCGAAAGCTATTTAGTGTTTCAATATCAATTCTTCGAAAAAAAAAGGTGTGGAAAAATTTACTTACTTTCAGGTAGTGCTTCTCGCTTTTCTCGTTTTTCTCGGTATTGTAGCGTATAAGGAACCTCCTATGAATGAAACTAAACACGCATGTATAGAGAGGCAATACAAAGAAATCGCTGGCCAATGCAAGTACTTTCTCAACTCGACGCCTCGGTGTGATTTGGACTGTTGGTTTTGATTTCAGTGATTTTTTGATGGTACGACAAAATCTCAAGTCCGCAAATCTCGAGGACCGTAATCTTGTGTACGCAGATCTAAAGTCCCATAATCTTGGAAACCAAAATCTTGGAAACCACAATCTTGGAAAGCAAAAATCTTCTCTTTTAGTCTTCTTTAATGCACTCTATCTACTTATACTCTCTTGTTTGAATCACCGAATACAATTTCTGAAAAAATCTATTCGCAAAAGCGTTGGTTTTTGCTTTCCAAGATTGAGGTTTCCAAGATTTTGGTCTCCAAGATTATGGGACTTTGGATGTGCGTACACAAGATTACGGTTCTCGAGATTTGCGGACTTGAGATTTTGTCGTACCATCGATTTTTTTGATCCAAAAGATTCTATTTGAATTTCAAACCTGAACTTTTTTAAGTGGACGATGGCATTTTGTTGACGCACAACCTTCGAGAGTGCTGCATGTACCCTTTGAGATGTAATCCTCGCAATTCATTCGACGCATTCTGCACCGCAAAGGGAACTTCTGACGAGAAAAAATGCGAAAATCCGGTGCGTTATTCGACAATTTTGAAATAAATTTGGAAACCATGTATATGTAATTTCATTCCAGATGCCAGAAAATGGGACAAGTGAAGTGGTGTACGCGATACGAAGGGCGATGATGGAGGATGAAACTGAAACTGGGCAAAGAGTCTTCAGCGCGGAACCCATGACAAGCCAGGAACAAAGCCTGTTTTTCAATTTCGATGAGGCGATTCACGGAAAAGACATCGACGACTTACTGGAGTTGATGACCCCTACCGCGTTAATAGTCTACAATGACCAAGTTGTTGTCAGTCCAAGTTAGTTACAATTTTTTCAAAGCAACGCTCTTTATTTTTCCTTCGCCAATTTTTTCCATTTTCGAATAAAATTCATTCTATTCGGTAAAAACTCATCATTAGATTTTTATCAAGAGTAAGTTTTAGGGGGAGCAAAATCTTCAAACTAATTTTTTTTTCTCGTCATCAATTTATTCTCCCATTTTCAAATATATGAAAAAACTTAAATAATTATTTTCATGAAGTTTTCAGGGTACATGAGTCAAATACTCGATAGAGTGGCATGGTCCCGAACGATAAATTACGTTAGTTTTTTCCCGAAAATTCTCAAGAAAATTGGGCTTTTAAGTTTATGATTCAAGTTGTACACAAACCGGATTACGGGAGCCAACACGTCTTTTTCAAAGGAACTATGTGCACTGTGGATCGCCATTGTTCTGACATAGATTTGACCTTCAAATTGGTACAGTCATTCTCTATTATGCTGACCAGGAGTCTCAACGGGTGCACCCGTATTATATAGTCCGTTCAGATTTCTAATGTCAAGCAGCTAACTCCGCCCCCAAGGCTACAATATCTTTCGCGTCAAATTTTTATCTACATATGACGATGTCCCTTTAATAAGGCTGCATTTTTGACTTCTTCTTCTATCTTTTAGATCAAAAAAGATCAAAATTAGTCCCGCGCGATAAAACATCGACGCGAAAAGGTACCTTCTCAGCGGGGGCGGAGTTAGCTGGTTGACATTCAAAATCTGAACAGACTATAGCCCTCGCATGTTGAGCAGGTGTCTCAGCGGGTGTACTCGTATTGAACCCGTGTTTCCGAGGTTATTTTAGTGATAGTAGGAAGGAGTTTTGGGTTCCCGAATATTCGTGAGCGTTAATTGTGCATACACCAATCTTGGGGGCTCGAATCTTTGAAAATTTGAATCTTTGAAAACGATTCTTGGGAATATTCACCTCTTTTTTGAATCTCCATCTTTTTTTCTTTCCTTCGTTTTTTTTCCTCTGTCGTTCTATTGTGAGGATGTCGTGTTTCGACCACAAATGAACACCGTGTGATTGTTTTCAACTAACTTTTTATCAAATAATGCGTCTTTCTCGCATAGACGGAGTCAAAGATTCACTGCAGAACGGCTACCACATTTTCATTCACTCTGTATACATTCTCCATCAATTTCCGTTTCCAAAAAAATTGAAAAAAATATAAAAAATCAGAAAAGAAGTGAATATTCCCAAGAATTTGTTTTCAAAGATTCAAATTTTCAAAGATTCGAGCCTCCAAGATTGGTGTATGCACAATTAACGCTCACGAATATTCGTGGACCCAAAATTCCTTCCTACTCAGATTTTAGTCTCAGTTGGGCTAAAACGGGGGAACAAAGGGTGTAAGAAAAATAGGTAACCCAGCAGGGCTAAAGCGGGGTCTCAGTTGGGCTAAAAATTGCCAAAAGTTCTATCAGCTGGGCTTATACGGGTTTAATACGGGGGCAACCGCTGAGACCCCGTGTTAGTACGGCTGGGTTACCCTGCTCAGCATTCGAGGCCGGTTCACGGCTGACTTGGGACAGCAAACGGGCGGTTTAATTTTCGCGGCGAAGGTAGATCATAGCGACTATCCAAGCTCCTTCCATGAAAGCCCTATTTTATGGCTCATTTGTTTCACTCTTATAATTCGCCGATTTTAAGAAAATTTTAAAACAATGAGATCAACGTAAACAAAAAATAAATTCAATAGAAACGGAAATAAATCACTAAATAAGGCTCTTATTAAAGGCGCATATAGGGCCGCCCTGAGCTATCATCGCCGCGCAAGTTAAACCGTTTTGGCGTGTTCATCGGAGAAACGGAATATGCTTCAAAACGAAAAATCGTGTTCATCGGCGCGCCAAAGTTGCTCCAAAACAGTACTAATTTTTGTTTTGGAGCAATTTTCTTGCGTTTTGAAGCAACTTTTGTTTTGTCCGATGAACACGCCATTAAACTGATTCCCGTTTTTTTTTCTGCAAAAAATACCGTATACCGAAGGAGCTCAAAATTGCAAACTTGGTTTCAATTTCTTCGTTTTTCGTTGTCTTTCATGGAATTTTGTAGCAAAAGCACGCTAAGAGCCAGGGCTAGCCCCGGTCAGCATAAAATAATTTTTAAAAATATTTTGCTGAAATTTGCAGATCCGCAAGAAGAAAAAATTCCTCATAACGGAATTCAAGAACAACAGAACTGAGGTGTTCCCAGATGTCGAAAAATACAATTATTGGCGTGGAGAACACCTAATCTGATACATTCAACACTTCCAAAAACATTTTCAAACCTCAATAGTGTCTCGATCTCATCGAATGAACGAATGATTTGTTATCTCATATTCTCACAAAAAATACACAAATTGATTTCTGGCTGATGTTGTGCTATTTCATGTTTTTAATTTGCTGATTTCTTGTTACAATGAAAATATTCTTCTCGCTGTTTTTTTTTAATTTATCAACAACAATCTTTCGCGCGGGATGATTTTCGATCTTTTTGTTCTATAAGATAGAAAAAGAAGTCAAAAAATGCAGCCGTATTATAATCTGTTCAGATTTTGAATGTCATGCCGTGTTCAAAGTGATTCCGCGAAATTCAAAATAGCCGTCAGAGAAAGAGAAAGATAACTAAATTTTGGAGGGTCAGAGACCATTTTGCATTTCGCGGAAATTATTTTGAACACGGCACACAGCGTTCTAAAGCGGGGTTTCCGCCCCTTTTCTGAAAAGCATGCGGACGTTGCATGAGTGGGCGTGGCTAACAATCGTCTTTTCGCGTCGTAATTAAGATTCCGGATTTTTTGATTATTTGAAGGCTAGCATTTTTTTTTTCCTGACATTTGTAGTTTCCAAGTGTTGCTAGTCATTTCCTATAACTCTCTTAAAGTTTCGCAGTTTATTTTCTTGTGGTTTGATTGGTTCAAAGGACTACATAATTGTTCTGCTCACGAAAGTCGAAATTTTTTTAACTCAGTTTTGATTTTTGTATTCTTTTTCCTGTTTGAGTAATTGAAAACTGATAATGTGATCGATTCCTGGAGTTGAAATTTCGATTTTTCGGTTTTTGTCTCTTAGGTACAGACCAATTACACTTTTTTTGAACTTTTTCGTCAAGTCGAAATTTTTTTCTCTTTTGCGCGGACACTGACAGCTTTTTCTTGTTTATTAGTTGGAAACTGATATTTTTGATCGATTCTTGGAGTTGAAATTTCGATTTTCGGTTTTGTCTCCTGGATACAGTATTTTATTTTACAAACAACGTTTCGACACATTAACGAGCTATGGACACTTTAAAAGCTTTCTAATACGTTTAAAAACATTAATTAAAAATTTACGTGCATAGAAACAAAAAAAAGATTTTTAAAAACAATCGAAAAAAGTTAATAGCATGTAAATTAAAGAAAAAAAAGCACCTTGATTTTGATTGACAACGCTCCAAGTTACGCGCTCCATTGAGAATAGTGTGCGCCTCTTTTTGCGTGAACCCCGTTTTAGAACGCTGTGGGCATCAAGTTGTCGCCCAAGCTGCGCCCCTAATGGTGCGATAAATCAATCAGAGCGAGCCATCCACAGAGTGTTTCTCAATGACGTCATTGCACTTGACTTTAAAAATCTGAACAGACTATAGCAAATGATGGCCGTTGGTGGTACCCAGAGAACAAACTGCTTCACCATTTTGGAACAGTACATCGCACAGCTTAAAAAAAGAGATAATCGCAAAATCAATCGCAAGATCGGCACAGAATTTTTTTGAACTGAAATAAACAGCTGATTCACGGCTGGCTTGAGCCATCGAAAAAATGGTCCTGACACGATAATGCACAAGATAGCGCCTGGCTCGTGGAGAGCGCAGACACTGCGCGCCCCCTTAACGTCCCAAGCTGGCCGTGAATATTCACATTCGAATCAGCTATATACTCGGACCTTGGTAACGCGAACGAGAAAAGTTAAACTAAAACTGAGTCGACTGAGTCAACTCAAAACTTAGAAAATGGGAAAGATATTTTAAAAAAAACCACGTTCGTTCCAAGGGGTCTTCGCGACCCCTTGAGGGTCTTGCAATTTTTAGGGAGCGATTTAGGACCCCCTATAGGGGGCCCTAGGGATTTCCCCCTAAAAAGACCATTTGCAGACCCCCTATAGGGGCCCCCTAAAATCGCGACCCCCTATAGGGGCCCCTAAAACTTATCCCAGCAATCAAAAATCAAGGTGCTTTTTTTCTTCTTTAATTTACATGCTATTAACTTTTTTTCGATTGTTTTTTTGAAATCTTTTTGTTTTTTTATGCACGTAAATTTTTTTAATTAATGTTTTTAAACGTATTAGAAAGTTTTTAAAGTGTCCATAGCTCGTTAATGTGTCGAAACGTTGTTTATAAAAGAAAATACTGTATCCAAGAGACAAAACCGAAAATCGAAATTCCAACTCCAAGAATCGATCAAAATATCAGTTTCCAACTAATAAACAAGAAAAAAAAAGCTGTCAGTGTCCGCGCAAAAGAGAAAAAAATTTCGACTTGACGAAAAATTCAAAAAAAGGTGTAATTGGTCTGTACCTAAGAGACAAAACCCAAAATCGAAATTTCAACTCCAGGAATCGATCACATCATCAGTTTTCAATTACTTAAACAGGAAAAAAAAGAATACAAAATCAAACCTGAGTTAAAAATTTCGACTTTCGTGAACAGAACAGTTATGTAGTCCTTTGAACCAATCAAACCACAAGAAAATAAACTGCGAAATTTTAAGAGAGTTACAGGAAATGACTAGCAACACTTGGAAACTATAAATGTCAGGAAAAAAAAATGGTAGCCTTCAAATAATCAAAAAATCCGGACTCTTAATTACGACGCGAAAAAGACGATTGTTAGCCACGCCCACTCATGCAACGTCCGCATGCTTTTCAGAAAAGGGGCGGGAACCCCGCTTTAGAACGCTGTGAGCTTCCGGGTTCTATCTCTATACCTGGATACTACCGGGTAGGTATATACTATCGGAACAGGAAACATACTACTGGAACAGGAACAGAAGAATTTCCAAAATTATTGAGAAGGTCTTTTTATTCGTACCGTAACTTATGTTCTGATCCGCTCAATAGAAAATAGATCATTTTTTGAATGGCGCCGGCGTCCATCTTCCATCGCTCATCAGCAATCTATTTTCGTCTTTTTCGTTTTTGGTTTCTTTTCTTGTTTCCTTTTTCATCTAATTATATTGCTGTGTTCAATTTGATTTCGCGAAATGATCTCTGACTCCAAAATTTAGTGATCTTTTCCTTTCTCTAACGGGTGTTTTGCATTTCGCGGAATCAAACGGAACACAGCATATAGATCACCTGAAACCGTATCCTATGAAGGGAGGAATGATTTTACGCCATTTTCCTGAAAGTTGAAAATGCCTGGAACTCGCTGGGATAACATTTATTTCGGCTTGATCTGATGTAATAAGGTTTTATACGAAGATTCGGATACGGAACGCATGTTTAAGATCTTAATTTCGAAAATGCTGAACAATTCGTTAAGGATCTAATTCTCGAGTCTACCTCTGACTTGAGGATCCAAAAGATCGCAACGACTAGTTGTGTCGATCTTTTGGCGCCTCATGTCAGAGAAAAGATAATTTATGTTACAAAAAGTACACAATCTTTCATTTTATTAACGAAAAACCTATCTAAACTACTTTAATAAGGCTATCTAAACTACAGTTTAGGATAATATTTCCTGAAGTGTTCGAAATCTTGCCATTATGAGGAATATGGTGTGAAAAAAAAAAATTCACTTACCTTAAAAAATATTCAGGAACGATTTTAAAAGGATTGTAGGCATTTCCAAATTTCAGTAAACTGGCGGAAAATCATTTTCCACTTTATTGAATATATACAGCCTCTGCAAAATAGTAATTTTTGATTAACCAATATTGGCAAATCAAAAATTACTATTTTGCAATTGACAAACACATTTTACACACTTATACCGTGTTCAAAGTAATTTCGCGAAATTAAGCCGTCAGAGAAAGAAAAATATAACTAAATTTTGGAGAGTCAGAGATCATTTTGCGTTTCGCGAAATTACTTTGAACACGGCATTATTTATGCAGTCTTCAAAGAAGACTCATTGCTGAATCATGAAATAATTGATTAGTCGTAAGTGGGTTCGCAAAGCTGTCGTTGATCAAGATCGGGGTGTAGATACTCAAGTTCATTTCGTGATAGTTGTAGACGAGTTAAGAACATTCCGACAATCACGGAATAGGAACAACTACTTTGGAATTTATTGCAAAGGTGACTTCCCCAGGAACACGAAAAAGTATGCGAAAATGATTCGATGAAAAGAATATATATAAAGTGTCCGTTTCCTTTCTTTTGCGCGTCCTATTCTAAGTATGACATTTCAGGGATGAGTCGTACGCCTCGAAATGAGGATATTGCTCTAATGGATATAAATCCTCTGGAAAATCGGACCCCTCCAAGTGATCAAGCCGTCGGAAGTCCAGCACGAGCAAATTATACCAAAATCTTTTTCTCCCGCCGTGGCTGGTTCAGGGTTTGTACCAAGACGTATGAAAATGGATCGTTACGCGGAACGTTTGCGCAAATTTTCTTATAACCCATTCCGCTTCTGATATTATTAAATATTTATATAGTCGCAAATATAATCGTAGTGAATCGTGGGATGGGCCCCAGGCTGGGAGACACAACCCAGCTGAAGATCTTTTCCTCTTTTTATAGATAGGAAGCGGTCTTCCCGGGTGTCTCTGGTCTCCTGCCAGAGACATTAATTAACAATTTTTCAAGTTTTAAACGCAAGAGTCAACCGAGGTATCCTCTTCGTCAGTCAATAAATAGGATACGCGGTAAGAGTGCTATCCGGCAGCATACTTTTAAAGCTTTGTCAGCACTCAAATCCAGAGGGCATAGGAATAGTATCGGAATGCTCACAAAGAGTACTGAAATAGCAGAAAGTTAGCCTCTGTAAGCTATTTATTGATTCACCGCGTGCAATTCCTGATTGAGTTTGAAAGTACACTCTGTTAGCTATTTTTGTGAATACGCCGATTGACCAGTGCCTTAGCATATATGTTCACAACAAAATTTTCACATCACGTTGAATTCGCATTTGCCTATAGTCTGTTCAGATTTTGAATGTCAACCAGCTAACTCCGCCTCTGCTGAGACGGTACCTTTTCGCGTCGATGTTTTATCGCGCGGGACAATTTTTGATCTTTTTTGATCTAAAAGATAGAAGAAGAAGTCAAAAATGCAGCCTTATTAAAGGGACATCGTCATATGTAGATAAAAATTTGACGCGAAAGATATTGTAGCCTTGGGGGGCGGAGTTAGCTGCTTGACATTAGAAATCTGAACGGACTATAACACTACTTTTTTTCTGCGAATACTTTATCAAAGATAAGTTATTTGAATTTCGTTTCTAAAAAAAGGAGGCTTAGTAAACGCCAATTGGCTTTTTTTGGAAAATAAAGCTCCAAATGAGAAAATTACACCATCACGTGAAAGTGAAATCTGTACAAAAAAACCGCCGGATAATTCTATTGAATAAGAAGAATCTTTGAGAAAATTAACTGCAAATATTCCATAGCACGAAATTTGACAAGCGCGTTGGCATGCTGGAAAAAGTCGGTCGGTCGGTAGGTTTGGAAAAACCAGACCACGTCGCAATTTTTGCTCCATGGAAAATCGAATTTCAGACTTTTTCCCCTTTTTTTCTATATTTTTCCCTTCTTTTTTTATCAGTTTTCTAGGATATGAGACACATGCTCCTCACTTCGAACTGAACTGTTCCTTATTTATTATTGTTTTTTTCTCGGTAATGTTTTACGCTTTACCGGATGTAATTTTGTTTCTTGCCTTTTTTTGTGTATTTCACACATCATCTCATTTTTTTCGATTACTTATAATTTTTTTATATTCGTTCGTTCGAATATATGAAGTTATTTTTGGATTCAAAAAAATAAATAAGAATTTTCAAAAATTGAATCGGTTTATAATTTTGAATGTAGTAACCATCGTTTTTTTCTCGTGAGGACGATACAGTTGAATAAAAAAATAAGCGAAAACCTTTTTAGTAAAAAAAAGGAAGAAAAAAATTCAGAGAAAAACAGTTTGAAGTTCTAATGCCGTGTTCAAAGTAATTTCCGCGAAATGCAAAATGATCTCTGACTCTCCAAAATTTAGTGATCTTTTCCTTTCTCTAACGGGTATTTTGCATTTCGCGGAAATTACTTTGAACACGGCATAAGTGTTCCATGGAGCCAAATTGCGGCGTGGCCTAGTTTTCCAAACCGACCGACCGAACCGACCGACTTTTCCAGCATGCCTGCGCAGTTTGCTGTTTGAAAATAGTGAGCGCATTTTCCTCACAGAAAAAAAGAATGTTTGTGCGTCAGGCCGGGCTTTATGTCTAATTTTTTTTTTGCCTGCAGAGGCTTGAGCCAGGCCAGGCTTCGAAAAAAATTTTTAAGTTCATTGAAAAAATTTGCACCGAAAAATTATTTTTAATCGTCAAGTTATAATTTCTGTTGAACTAAAGTAGCTTGATATTCTACTTGAAGAAAATTTGATCTTTTTGTGTCGAACCGGCCATTTAGCCAGGCCAAGCTATCGGAATGGCTGGCCCCGCCTCCGCTCAAATACCATTCCAGCTTTCGAAAAGTCTGAGAAAATTTCTCTCTTTCAGTTAATTTCCATTGGAGTTGTGCTGTTTATCACAGTTAGTACGATAACAACTACGCAAAACTCCGGCGACGACGACGGCGCCGACGAATGGATAGAGGATGAGCCCTACAGACACATTTGCATCGACTACCAATGGCACGAAATTGAGTACCAATGCAAGAGGTTCTACAACTCGACGCCTCGATGCGATTTGACGGGTTCGTTTTCAAATTTTTTCCTGAATTTATCGACTACTGTTATAGCTGAAGAAGACGATCAAATGCTGAAAAAGCTCCAAGCATGTTGCGAGGACGATGACCACTGTTGGCCCCGAAAAATGGACGAGTACTGCTGCCTAGAACAACCGTGTGACCATCATAAATGCAGAAACCCAGTGAGTTATATTTCTCAAAGCTTAATTCTTGAAAGAAACCATTCTAATAACAACGAGGTTGTATTTATTGCAGATGCCAGCAAATGGGACCAGTCTTGTTTCCGAGGCAATCATGAAGATACAGTTGAAGCAAGAAGAGGAAAGAGAAGGAGAAGGGATCTTCAGCAAAAAGATCTTGACGCAAAAGCAGAAGAAACTGATTGTCAAGTTGCACAAGGTTTTGAACAGCAAGAACTTAACGGCCGTGCTCGAATTCATGGGTGACAGCACTTCTATCGTCTTTAACAACAAAGTTGTTCGATCGCCGAGTAAGTTATAAATCTCCTTATTCTTTGCTTGGCGAAGCAATTTTACCTTTCTTAAACCAAGAATGCAACATTTTCAGCGAAGTTGACCAGCTTTTTGGAGTACAGCATGGTGAATGAACATAGAATTCACGTTAGTTTTTAAAAAAAATTCCAAAAAAAGCCGTGAGTTTCAGTTGTTGATCGATGTTGAACAAAGATCGCAACGCGAGTACGCGACTGTCTTCTTCAAAGGATTCATGTGCAACATTCTTCCCAACTGCTTCGAACTTCAAGTTACCTTTAAATGGGTACGATCATCTCGAAATTTACTCTTAATAATCGACGAATTCTGCAGAGTCCAAGGAGGAACGACTACTTCATAAAACAATTCAAAAACAACAAATCCATCGTGAAGCCGAATATCGACGATTACCCGTTTTGGGGCGGAGATGAATAATAGTTCCGTCGAATCTGACACACTCTAGGCTTCTAAAAATTGTTTTAAACTGAAATGATGTCTCGATCTCATCGAATGAACGAAAAATTTCCACATTAACCAAGAAAAAAATATTCGCAAATCGACTTTTTGATAACGTTGTACTATTTGTTGTTTGCATTGATTATTTACCACCGCGATATAAATTTTCTTATCCTTTGAACTTCTTTTTTGCAGAACTTTTGATATCAAACGACAAAAAAATCACTGGGGTTTTTCCTGGATATAACTCGGACCTTGGTAACCCGAAAGGGACGCGAATCGGACGTGTCGGGGCATTTCTAGTGACTACTTTAATGGCTTCAGCGCTCTTAAGTGGTCCCTAGAATTGCCCAGAAACGTCCGGAGCACGTCCGTTTCGCGTTATAGTCTGTTCAGATTTTGAATGTCAAGCAGCTAACTCCACCCCCAAGGCTACAATATCCTTCGCGTCAATGTTTTATATCCAGATGACGATGAACCTTTAATAATGCTGCATTTTTGACTTCTTTTTCTATCTTTTAGATCAAAAAAGATCAAAATTAGTCCCGCGCGATAAAACATCGACGCGAAAAGGTACCTTCTCAGCGGGGGCGGAGTTAGCTGGTTGACATTCAAAATCTGAACAGACTATACCAATGTCCGAGAATGCTCATCCTTTTCCTAAATAGAGCGCAGGCCAAGCCTGCGCCAATATTCTTCAAGGTCTTCAGACTCGAATTATTTACTCGTACCGGCCGATCGGTTATCTCAAGTTCAACCCATTGCTAGCTGAAGATACTTTTTGAAAGTTGAGACATGGAATAGTCTCGCAAAATTGGTTACAGTAAATTCTTTAAAAGCTTGGAGTGGTGGCTGGATTGATGTTTGAAAAAACAGACTATAACGTAATATTGACAATTCTGTTTGACGAAAATGATAGAAATAAATTATCGGTTGATGTTGCAAAGAAAAACTTTGAACTGTAAAATAAAGTTAAAATGTGTTCAGAAGAAAAAGCTCAAGTTTTGAAAATATTTAGCTAAAGGGGATAAATGAATCATTTGCTCTTGCATAACGAATAACTCAGAAAGTGGTGAAGGTCAAAGAATATTCTAACGTTACGTTTTCTAAATCCACTGAAGTAGACTCAAATGAACTTTTTGTGAAAAGAAAGTGAAATCAATATAAAAACGAACGTAGGTCTGGAACCATTCATACTGCTTACTCGTTTCCAAGGTTGTCGCGAAGATATGGCAACACCGCACATCGACGTAAACCTTTTCGTTTATCAAAAAGTTCCAAATACCTGCTTACAGGTAGAGGTTGGGAAAACCCCTGAGGAGGACAAAGTGTAAGGGTTTCTTTCTTTGAAACATTCTACTGTTGAAACTTTCTAATATCTCTTTTTCAAAAACAGGGTCCGCGTGCAGCCTGGAGCAGAGCCGCCACGTGCAAAAGCTGGCCTCGACATAGGTATCGATCAGGAAAAAAATTATCAATCTATTTTTCGAATTATGTAGAAAACGTTATCGGGCCAGCGACCCCCGAAGATCCCAACTGCATTTGTGGAACAGAGGGTGTGAGTTCGTTTTTTGTTTTCAAGAAAAAAGGACGGAAAGAAGTTTACATCGATTTAATGTCTAAACGGGTATACTCGTGTTTTTTGAGTCTATGAGTCTCAATTGGGCTGAAACGGTGAAACAGCGGGTTTAAAAAGTGCTTATTTCAAAAATCGACTGTGGTAAAAATGCCAAAAGCTCTACAGTTTGTGCTCATTCGAGCACATTTGAGAGCCCGTTTTAGCGCGGCTGGAATATCCTGAAAGTCATACGAAAATTGAAATTCAGAATTGTTTCTGCAACGCGACGCTCAACGCCGGAATCAACCTCTTCTTCGGCTTCGTCTTCGGGGCTTTCGTAGTTAATTGGATGTACTTCGCCCTTCCACTCTACGTAAGATATCCGTTACATCAAAACGACTTTGGTCAACAGCTAATCGGAGAAAATCGTAAAGACGTTCAAAACGTTGATTTTTCAGCTGCTTTGCCTCATCTTCGGACTTCTCGTCTACTTCATGGCAGAACACCACAGATGGTTCTATCTTGTCACCACAATCTCTTGGGTTTTCTTTCCTTTAAAATTCAGATTGATTAGAATATATGAAGATTCATAGTAATAGAAAAAATGGAAAATCCTGGAAAAATCTGAAAAAAAAGCTCTCTTTCAGAGCCTCAGAGGTCTCTTTTTTCTATTTTAGCGGCTTCTCGGTGTCATGAAAATGAATTTATCTAAAAATAACTACATTTTTATTTCCAGTTCTTGGTAGGGCTGTCAAGCGCGACGATGGTCGTCGTCTTGATACTCGCCTTGTTCCACCGTGACAACGCGCGCATCAGGGAATGTAAGTTTTTTTTTGAAACAACGAACTCTCTTTTTCAATTCAACTTAGGCTTGTTTGACAAATACATGCACTTTTTCAGTCCCCTTCCCCATCTTCAACTGGTTCGCGCTGATCTTGTGGACTATGTTCATGACGTTCGTCGACTTCTCCTTCTTCCTCTCCTCGTTCCGTCTTTTCCGCGGGACCGACTAGGCTTAGGTTCCTTGGAATCAAATGAATGATTTTTGGATGTTGGTCTTTTCAAACCTCAAGCTGTCGTGCAGGCCTTTAGACATTTTATTTTTGCGCAGAAAAGAAGAAATAAGTTCAATCAAAAGTTAGAAATAAGCACCAAGTGGTAGATATTGACGTCTTTTCGTAGCTGGCGTCTTTGTTGGTACGAGATTTTTCAATTTATTTTCTTCTTTTTTCGAGTTAAAGTGATTTCGGTGGAGTGGAACTGGTCTGCGTCTCTCCAAAAGCTTCTCAATTATCCTTTCTTATTCCCTCTAAAATTCCTAATTACTCCCTTTGAACTCGCGCGAAAGACTTTACTTCAATCTTGGAAGCGCTTCCAAGTCCTTTTAAGCGATTAAACTCACTTTTGAAACAAATATGTTCTAGTTGAAGTTGCTGAAATTAATAGTATGAAATATATCAATTCGTTGCTCACTTTGAGTTAACAGTTCATTTTTTACTATTTATCTTGAATGTTCTGTTTTGGAAGTGCGATAGATTGTACTGTGAACTCGAACAAAAACATTGGACTAATAATTAAAATCAAGAAGATAAGAGAAGTTGAAGTTTCAATCTGAAGCTGTTTCCCTCTCGAAATTGTAATCGTCGCTCTTTATTCTTCTAAATAACTAAAAAAAAAGTGAAGAACGAGCTTGAAAGATAAGAAGAGTAATTTATAGTCAAGGCCACGCTATATTTCTTTTTTTCCTCCTCTTTTTCTGTTGTTTGATGGCTACACCTGGGCTAGAGTCTAACCTGCGGACCAGTCTTCTCAAATAAAACAGCAATGATCTTTCCACACGTTGTGTTTTCTTTCTCCCTTATCGTTGCCGGTACTTTGACTCGCTATTTTTTTTTTCTCCGCCACTCTAGTTTCACACAGATATGGAATTATTAACCTACTTTTTATTGATTATATTCACTATTCTATTGGTAAATGCTGGTAAAGTTGTTCGATTCGTCCAGGTTTGTATATTTGAGTAGGAGGAAATTTTGTTAAAAATATTTTTCAAGTAAGTCCGGTTTAGCAAGGAAAATAGGCTTTTTGATATTATTTCGAGAAAATTAAATTCAAAAAAAGGACGATTAGCCGTTCCTTGGACTGAAAAGAAAAATCCTATCATTTTTCCAACCAGTTTCAAAGCTTTTTTTCAAAAAAATAAAAAAAGAATTTTTTTCATTCGTCTTTGCATCCTCTTTTTCCACTGATTTTTTTATTTCAATCATTCTCTGCGATTTTTTTAAGGTGATTAACCAGATTCAAATAGAAATTTCATCAAAAAAATTGTATTGAAACTCAAAAATCTTGCAGGAAAAGAACAAAAGCTATTGATTGCCATCAGTAAAATTCCTGGACCTTTTGCGATTCCGATCATTGGTGCCACTTGGCAGTTCAAATGGAACGTTCGAGGTGATTTTAAATTGAAAAAAAGTTCAATTTTTCTTTCAAATTCCCCAACATACTGAAAGCCTATAAGTCTTCATTTTCTTGAATCACTTTTTAGGCTAGAAATCTGTTTTTGATCCCGCTGAACTTCTTTTTGGAGTTTTCTCCCGCGGAATTGATTCGATCAACGGGATTTTTCTTAGTTTCGATTCGCAGAAAAATGTTTACGGCGTTCAAAAATTGCATTAGCAACCAGCGCGTTGGTTGGAAAGAACCAGTTTTTCATTTGAAGTTTTCCAAAGGACTGGAGACCGTGTTGAATCATGTTCTGAAAAATACACTCTTCAAAAAAATCTTTGAAAAATTTGATTTTAATGGGTTCAGATCAACCCGAAGAAAAAGTTTCATTCAAGATTTTTTTGAACAGGATACCTTTCGATTTGATAAAAATGGACGTTTTGAAAAATAATTCAAGTTTTGTAATGACAAGTATAGCTCAAAAGATGGGGAAAAATCCATTTTTGGAAAAAAAATTTTTTTTAGATTTTTGCAAAGAGTTTTTTTAGGATTTGCCCAACAACTTCACGATTGGGGCATGAAATACGGGAAACAGGGCCATGGAGCCTATGTTCTTTGGCTTGGACCAAGGCCTGTCGTCGTCGTTATCCGTCCTGAAACGGCCAAGGTTCTGTGGAGAAAAACTCGGAAAAATAGCCAAAAAAGGGAAAAAAAATGTTGGGGAATGAGGGAAAAGCTGTAGCGAAAAAAATCCTTGGCTAAAATATCAAAAAAATAGTCCCGGGGAAAAAAAAAATTAGCCCGAAATTGCTTTGAAAAAAATATTTAATAAGTCGATTTTTAATGAATTATGAAAATGAGTTCAAAAAAATGTTTATGAGAACTTCTCTTTCACAAAACGGAAACGAAAAAAATTTCGGCGAAAATTGCCGCCACGTATTTCATCACTTTATATTCGTTCAAAGTAATGGCCGCTAAAAGGAAAAGGCTGAAAGGCAGCAAAAAGAGTCCCTTTATCGAACCCTTCCATTTTTTCTAGAGCTTTAAAGGCTGGTAAAAGAGAGAGGCATGAAAAATGGTGCATAATAGTCGATGAAATGGTGCAAAAAGGCAGCAAAAAGGAACCTTTCTCACTCTAAAAGTAACATTTCTTATGAAGCCTTTTCCCACCCTTCCTACTTCGCCTATCTATGTATAATGAAACGAATTGAAGGCCGTCCTGGAAAGCAATGATATCATCACGAAAGGTCCCGAGTACGATATTCTGGTTCCTTGGCTCGGAACCGGCCTTCTTATAGCTACAGGTTCCTTTAAAAATGAATTTTTCACCGGAAAAATTTCATGTTCAGGTGAAAAATGGAGACATCGGCGAAAAATGCTGACCCCCTCGTTTCATTTCAACGTCCTCAACGGCTTTCAATCGGTTTTCGATGATCAATCGAAGGTTTCCGAGAAAAATCTCGAAGTTTTAAGAATTTTCCAGGTTCTAATCGAAAAACTCGTTCCGTTATCCGAGTCTGGAGCTGAAGTCGACCTGGCCCCGTACATTAAAAGATGTGCTCTCGATATTATTTGTGGTGAATTTTTTGGGATGGAAATTGGATTTTCGAGGTTTTTCCATTAGAATTTAGATAAGAATCTTCAAAGGAAATGAAAGAAATTGTAAAAAGAAATTTGGAATTTTTTTCGGCTTTTTTTCACTTTTTTTCTTTAAAATTTAACTTTTTTTAAAAAGGATTTTTTTGAGTTTTTTTCAGCTGCTTGAGGCTTTCACATAGAAATTTTCTTGCAACAAATTTTTACCAGCTTATTTTTCTTCCCTTCTATCAGAACATTTTCCATTGATGCGGAAACAGAAAAAATTAAATGTTACTTTTCAGAATTTATAATCTCACTGATAGAATTTTGTTAGATTTTTTTATAGTTCATTCCGCCCGATATAAACACAGCTGAAAAAAAGCGACAGTAAATACGGCTTTTTTGTGCGTTTTCGCTTCAAAATGCTTCAAAAAACTCGAAAAAAAAAGTAGGGTCTCGCAGCGAATTTTGAACTGACCACGCGGAATCGTCACGATTTTTTCTTCCTTCTGACCTTTTTTCGATGCGCCTTTAACTTGACCCAAAAATTTTCGTTATTTTAAAGGCGCATGCACGGCGACAGGCCGCGGGTCTCGAAGAAAGTTCTGTAGTTTGACGAAAAATGGATAGTTGTATCTGGGCTAGAAATGCTTCACTCGTTGAACTTCTTGTCTAGAAACGGCGATGGGAACCACGGTCGACGCCCAAAACAATCATTCGCATCCGTACGTCCTGGCCGTGCAGGAAATGAACGTCTTGGCCTTCCAACACACCCGGATGCCTTGGCTACGGATCAAGGCTGTTAGGTAGGATTTTTGGGGGATTATTCCAAGAGGATATATGTTTCCAAAAAAAAACATAAGCTCCATAGAAATGTTACTTTTTGGGTGAGAATGGCTCTTTTTTGCGCCATTTCATCGACTATTATGCGCCATTTTTGCTGCCTCTTCCTTTTTTACCCATTTCTTGAGCCTGTAAACCCTAGAAAAAAAAAATGCAGGGCTCAATAAAGGCAAAAAGTCCCTTTTTCTGCCCCTTTTATTGAAAAAAAAGGGACTTTTTGCCCTTTCTCCGGCCTTTTTCGAGCCTTTTTCCTATTAATTTTGCTGATTTTTTGAAAGCTCCATGTTGCTATTTCGTCGCTTTTTCCATAAGAAACTTGAATTTGAACTTGAAAAAATAAGAAGTTTGACCGATATTCCAAAGATTTTACAGTTTTGAGAACTATATTCTATAAAATGATTTTTTGCTCTGCTTTTCTCAAATTTTGGGCTTTTTCCAGACAGCTCACCGGCTATCAGCGCGAATACGACAGTACGCTCAAGATCCTGACGGATTTCACGAGAAAGGTGACCGCGACGCGAGCCGCTTCGCAACCAACGGAATTTGCAGGTCATCGACGAAAGGTCGCGGGAGTTTGAAAGGCTCGGCGGCTGGGAAATTGGCGGAAAACGCGCTTTTCTGGATTTATTGATTGAGGTACGGTAAGGCGTCGTTGGAAAATTTCTATTGCCTTTTTTCACTCTTTTCGACTTTGCCTATGTGCAAAATGAAACTAGAATTTTCACCTCATTTTTTTTTATCCATAAATGGATCATGCATGGGATAGTCTCAGTGGGACCTGAAAAGAGGGGGCTTGGCAAAAAAACGAGAAAACAGAGTTTGGCAAAGCCGTAAAAACTTTTTAGGGTGCGCGCCGGCTCCAGTCCGATCTTTTAAAAAAAAAATTTGGTTGTCGCCAGTCATGCTCATCCCATGTAGGAAACGGATGCATAATTTGAAAGGGTTTGAATACACTATAGGAAGCTGCAAAAGCTTGATAAGCTATCATTTTTCCCTGTTCCGCAACGAAAAAAAACGTCATGAACACCGCAGACAAAGTATCAATAAAGAGAAAGAAATGTCAACTTTTCATTTTAAAAAAAACCATCGAAAGAACAGTGACTTTCAGTTTTTTTTCATCAGTTTAGAGGGATGGTCATTTCTTTATTGAAAATTAGAGATTTTGAGAGCTTTTCGGTAATATAGGAGCCTTCAGAACTTTTTTTCCTGTAGGAAGGTCTTGCAATTTTCCTTAGAAGGATTTCATTGAAGAATGGTGATACTGGGAAAAGCTGTAGTGGGTCTTATAGGGAGAAAACGAAAACCCACCTAAAGGACCCCCTACCGCACCCCTTATAGGACCTTCTATAGGACTACCCTAAATGCTTCTTTAGGACCCACTATAGGGAGTTGGAAGAAAGTGACTAGTAGGCATTCGAAAAGAGAATTTTTGTTTCTTCAAAATTTCAACACCTGGTGAATAAATGATGGGCGTAATGGAAAGACACAAATTTCGGAGTAAAAATTAGCGAACTTTAATATACCGAATTCTCCGATTTTTCATATCACTGGAGAACTTTCTGACGAATCCTCATTCACCTGTCAATTTTTTCCTGTTCTCCAAGATTTTCGACATTTTTTCCGTTTTTCTTGTGTTTCATTATGGCTCTCTTATATAATTTATGAACGGACATGAACAAAAATCGGAAAATTTTCTAGCGATGTGAAAAAATCAGAAAATTCGCTGGAATAATACAGCCAAAAATATTATTAGAGCTTGATATATTTATTGCAAAAAGGCGTTTGAATCTTCTAAATATAGAAAGCACTGGTAGACAAAAGGGCATTTAGAGAGAAAAAAACGCCTGTCCTCTCAATTTTGAACGCTATCTAGCTTTAAAGATCATGATCATAGTCTTTTTTCGCGACTTGAAAGGGCGGGGCTTTTCTGCGCCCCTCTCATGTTTACCTGCTATTTCGACGTTTCTCTGACCTCGTCGGTGAGGGAACAGAGAGACGCAGACACGCGAAAACTATCAAGTCGCGCGGGACGGACTATATTATCTTCAGTTTGTTCATTTTGCAAGAAATATTTTTCTAAAGGATCATCAGACCTTTTATAAGAGGCAGAAAAAAAATATTCGGGCGTCGAATTCGAAGGAAGTCGTTCACGGCTGGCTTGAGACATCGAAAAAGGGTCCTGACACGATCAGAACAGAGACAGTATCTTGTTGGTGGAGAGCACAGACAGGCCACTCCCTTTCTTCTCAAGCTAATCTTGAATTGGCTATATCCTGACTTCGAGACCATTTTCGGTTCACTCCAACAACATAAAAATGGTTCAGATGAAGAAAGAAGGCGGCCTCACCGAGGAGGATATCCGCGAGGAGGTCGAAACTTTCATGTTCGAGGGCCATGACACGACTTCCGTGGGAATCAGCTGGGCTCTTTGGTGTTTGGCCCACAATCAAGACGTTCAGAGGAGAGCTCATGAAGAGTTGGACGCTATTTTCGGTTCGGTTTTCGGTTGAATGTTGGAAAATTAGGAGAAGTTCAAGCAGTAAAAAGGATTAAAGTTGAAAAGAAAGGAGATCACATTATATAAGCTTTATTTATTGTAGTTTTTCAAATCCGATTTTCTGAAATTTTTTTCAAAAAAATTCCTTGATGGTCTAAAGTCTCTAGATAATATTCTGAAGAAAAAACCGATCTAGACAATTTTCCATGAATTTTCTTGAATTGGCCTTCGTGAGAAAGAAAAAGTGACATTAGATGGAGAACAGCGACTCCTAGACTTTCAATGAATTCATGAAAAGGTCTAGTTAACAAGGTAAACCGTTAAACAAGCCAAATTGAGTAGGAAACTTTTTATATTGAACCATTGGGAAACTTTTGAGATGAGATTCTGTAAATTCTCGAAACTGATTTTCACAGTACGATCAGAGAAGCTGTGCAAAACAGTTGAGCAAAAAACGCCAATTATAAATTTTGAAAAGTGAAGTAATTCTCTAACTAAAAAAAATTGGATAACTGTGGAACTATGCCCATGTGGAAGGTTTAAAAAAATCATTTTTTTAAGGAGGCTACCATAAATCAGAAAAAAATCAGCTCAAAAAAAAGTGCAGAAAGTGGTTGTTTTAGGGATTTTCTTCCGAACTATGGCAATGTATTTAGAAAGTTTTTTTATGTTTCTCTTCTATTAAATAGGCATAGTTTCACAGTTATCTAATTTTTTTGAGGTAGAAGTTTTTTTCCTTTCAAAAATCTTTCGAGTTTTTTTTTTGCGGAACTGTGCCGCCCATCTGGGATGTATAAGACAATAAAATTAGAAAAAGAAGGATTGAAAAACCCAAAATCCAGAATATAGCTCATATTCTGAAGTCAAAAGGTTCCAATTCTTCGCAAAAAAAAAAGCCAGGTCAAAAATCCGGAGGGAAGAAAAAAAACCATATTTTCAAGTAAAAATTTAATCATTTTGAGCATTTATGAACAATTTTTGAAGTTAAAATGTTGTTATTCAGAAGGATCCATGCGTGATTGTACCATCGAAGACCTGAAAAAGATGAAATACCTCGACAAGTGTATCAAAGAAGCGTTGAGAATCCGGCCGTCGGTCCCCAATATCACCCGATCCGTCGATGAAGATTTCCTCATGGGCGAGTCATACGTTTCAGGGCTAATACAAGTATTCATCCTTTAGTTGAAGTTTTCGTTCGATCAATTATTCATCCTAAATTCTTAAACGGAAAAGTTTTTGATTGATTATTTTCTCATTTCAATTCGAAATCAAAATTTAAAAAACTCGTTTTTTCACTGAAATTCTAACGGCTCGAGAACCGATTGTTCTGATCACAGCAACTTTTTTTCTAATTTATATGGTTACCTTGAGGAAATTTAGTCTTTCTAGAGCCTTTTGTCGAAAGTTTTTTTAAAACTGAAAAATTCAGTATTTATTTTTCTTCTTGACTTTTCTTCTGATATCTTTTTTATTCAAAATGAAGCTTCAGGTCAATAATTCCTAATACCATCATTATTTATTCAATACGAATGATAGTACGGTTCAAGGGCCGATATGACCTCTAAAACCTCTGAAAAACCTTTATGACGTCTGGGAAAAAACCAATTTACAAACAGGGAAATGTAGAAACTTGAAAACAGAACAAATAATCTGAATAGTATAGTCTGTTCAGATTTTGAATGTCAAGTCGTCGCTCAAGCTCCGCCCATAATGGTGCGACAAACCATTCAGAGAGCGAGCCATCCACAGAGTGTTTTTGAATGACGTCATTGCACTTGACATTCAAAATCTGAACAGACTATAGAGGGAATTTTAAGGAAATCATAGAAAAGATGATGATTTATTGGTAATATTTAGATGATATTCTGATACCAAAAGGATCGTCAATAATGGTCGCGCCGAGCATTCTTCAGAACAACCCGATGGTGATTAAATTCGAATATTTCTTCTGGAATCGATTTTATTCATACGTTGGCTGGATCCCGCCCCGGAGTGCGGCCTACCCCTCTCAAATTGCGGCCTACTTTTTTCAAATTTTTTTTCGCGCGCAAAAAGCTGGGGTGGGATCCAGCCGACGTATGATTTTATTCTATGTTAAGAACTCCTCGTTTAAAGTTCACTGATATAGGGATTTGAAAGGCTCTTAATGGAAAAAAAATAGTTCAAAGGCAAATTTGAAATGGGTCGAAAAAGGGTCCATAGAAATGTTCCTTTTAGGGTGACAAAGGCTCCTTTTTGCTGTCTTTTTGCGCCATTTTCTCAGTCCTTATCCAAAATTTTTGTGGCCTCTCCTTCTTCCACCATTTCTCGATGCTTTCAAGTTCTAGAAAAATGAAAGGCTCGATAAAGGGACTCTCTTTGCTGCCTTTTTGTTGTTTTTTTTCTGCCTTTCTGCAGCCTTTTTGAGCCTCTCTCTTTTAGCGGTCATTATCCGTCATTTTCCGACTTTGCATGAAATCGAATTTAATTATTTCTCCTTATTTTTCCGAAAAATTAAGTCTTAACATTTTTGCTGAATCTGAAGTTTAATCGGCATCGGGAAAAAAAGATGGAAAGCTCATTTTTTTACATGAAAAAAATGGCTTGAAAATGTTCTACAATTTTTTTAGTCAAGTTATTTTTCAAGTTTTACTATCAGAATTTCTTGAATCCCACATAGAAAAAAATTGAAAAAAATAAGCTATCACATCATGGAAAACGCGCTTATTTTCTCTTTTTCTCTGAGTTTTTTTCTAAAGAAATTTTGATTTTCTTCGATACTTTTTCAATTAAGGTATACGAGAATCCAGACAAGTACGATCCGGATCGGTTTAACGAGGAAAATGTCGCCAAAAGGCACCCCTTTGCTTATGTTCCATTCAGCGCGGGTCCTCGGAATTGTATAGGTAATTTTTGGACCTGTTTTTCCAACAGAAAATTGCTTTCCAGGCCAAAAATTTGCGCTCCAAGAAGAAAAAACGGTCATTTCCTGGGTCCTACGGAAGTTTGAGGTTAATAAAAAAGATTTTCTTTCAATTCATATAGTCAATGTTTCCCGACTTGAAAGGCGAGGGAGGCGGGGCAAGGGGCGGGACGCGTAGCGTGTGCGTTCGCGGTCCTTGTTACGTGTTCAATTCAACCGCCATCGACTCTTTGAAAATCCCTTTTTTCGCTCTTTTCATTCCCTTTTCAATTATTTATCGATTATGTTCATGTGTGCATCAAAAAATAGTAGAAAATACAGAAAAAGAACGGTTGCCGAGCTTTTTAGATAGTCGGCGGCGATTTAATTGAACTGACGCCAAGAACCGCGAACGCACACGCTACGCGTCCCGCCCCTTGCCCCGCCTACCTCGCCTTTCAAGTCGGGAAACATTGACTATAACATAAATATTTTTCAGTTGAGCTCAAAAACCGACTTTTATGGAAATTATCCTCTGCCAGAAGTGATTCTACGCCCGGAGCAGGGCATTCCAATCACCCTTCGAGCGCGTTTTTGAGAAAATTCTGTTTTTATTGTTTTTACGTTGTTTTTTGTATAAAATATGAATTATTTATATTTTTTTTGTCTTTGATATGGCATAGAAGGTTCAATTTCTATTGATACTGTGAGAAGAAAATTATTTAGGATAGTATTAATTTGACAGACTTTATTCCAAATGTTCCCCCTATCAATATTTCAAATTTTACAATCTCAAAGATATATGAAAATTTTGCAAAGAAAGTTCTTTTCCCACTAAATTTCTGTTTTCCGCGACCTCTTAACTTCAAAAATTTGAACTGCTTTGATCTTGAAACATTTGGAATTCCAAAATTCCAGTTTTGACGACTTTCCCGGCAATTTTTCCTAAAATTGAATCTTCCAACTCTAACAGACTACTGTTATCATTTTTTTCGGACCTTCAATTTTTGAAGCGAGACGAAAAAAAGGAAAAATTAACAGTTTCAAGGTCTATAATGAAATTTACGCTTGGAGAAAGGATCGAAAAATTGGTCAGTTTATTTTTTTCTTTTTTTCAAGATTACGAAAATGTGGAAAAAGCTTTAAAATTGATATTTTTCTAATAATATGTTTCCAATTTATTATATTTTTTTATTAAAAAAATACACCCGGGAATATTTTTCTAGGGTTTTTGTAGAAGTAGAATCTTCAAACAGATGAAAACCTCTGGGATAGCTTAGAAAAAAATAAAAGAAAAATCCAGGAAATATAAAAAAATCAGGGAGTATGTGATGGTGCGTCTGGGTGTGTTTACACCCTAAGCACCATAATTTACGTAACGTTTTGACTCGCGTCTTGAAACGTGAAAATCAATAATAAATTTGAACAATTTTTCAAAAAAATGATCAAGGAAAATTAGAAAAAAATTTTTAAATAATATTTTTTTATATTTCATCAAAGTTTATTCAAAAAAATTAATTCCAATACAAGACTCCTCAAAAAGAAATTTCAAGAAACGTCAACGAACTATCATTTGTTCAAAATATGCTTGAAAAAAATGCTTGAAAACAGTTCCCTGTTTGATTATTTTTTTGCTAAAAAAATCGAAATTTTTATTGAAAAATAGAATCATGGAAGATATCACGTCGAACAGGTTCCCTCACTTTCATTGGCCCAAAAAAAGGCGCCGTTTTAAAAGGCAATACAAATATATCAGAAGCTGAAAAGGCAACGGTTGTTTGGACAGCGGCTCTTTTTTCGCATCTCAATTCCTTTTTCCCTCCGTTTCGGGCCTCGATTCCTCGCTTTTTCTCCGCATTATGGTCATTTGTCGATTTTAAGCCTCTTTTTATCGTTGGAATAGGTTTTTCAGTGATTTGAAAGTTGGAAATGAACAACTTTCCGAGTAGAAAAAGTTCCAATTAAACTTATTTTTGGCTTAATTCATCCCATTTTGTCGCTTATCATAGGCAAAACTGAAGGGACCCTTTATTACATTCGGATATTAGTAAGTTTCTTGCTGAATCTCACCCGAGAAAATTCCTTGAACCCCAAAAAAAAAAATGGGTCATAATCTCGGGAGAAAAACGGGTTTTTGACCGCTTTTTTATAGCCTTTTTCTCGTTTCATTCTCACTTTTTTCTGCTTTTTTTTATCACTCATTAGATCTACGTCATGGTTCAGTTCATAGTGATTTTATGAATGAAAAAAAAAATTAAAATCTTATGAAGTTGCACTCTTTTCACATTCCACATGGAAAAGCTTTGAAAAAAGAGAAAAATCAGCCAAAATAATTTTGAATTTAAAGGCACATGATTAAATCGTTAAAGGGTTTTTACACGAAAATCTACATTTTCATGGAATTTTTGTTGAATAATGAAGAAATAAATCAGTCTTGAAATTGATTATTACCAGTTTAAGCTGGTTTTTTGAGTTTCCTATGTTCAAAAAGTCATTTTGAGCTCAAAAGTTCATTCTCAGAAATTCCTTTGGAAAATTCTGCAAGTGTTTGAAGCATACCAGCTGTAAAAAATATTGCAAAAAAAAATTTTGAAAAGCAAAATTCTAATAAGATCATAACTCTACCCGATAAAATCCGAAAAAACCGGAATTTTCCCTTTTTTCCTTATTTCTAGAGCCTGTTTCCCCCATGACATAATCCTAGTTTAAAAGAACATTGATTGAAATGAAACCAACTTGTTTGACGAGTTACCCAATCTCGAAGCGTTTCCGCCGCCCCAAATAAGGGCAAAGAAAGGAAAAAGAATGAAGAAAGTCAATTAGCGCGGTAATAATCCCCCCTCTTCCTCTATAGCATTCCAAGTTTGGTTGTTCGAAAGTTTCAAACTTTTTCGTTTTGTTTTGACTTTCTCGAATTCGCCGTTTTTGTTTTGAACAGTAAGGCTTTGAATTCAGAAAAAGTTGCTTGAGTTTTTTATTTTGAAATGCTCGGATTTGTATTTTTTCTGTAGTTTTTTGAACAGGAATGTTCCAAATTCAGAAAAAAGGTGCAAAATGTTTTTTTCGAGGTTGTGATCGTTCAGAATAACATGGAAAAAATCATTACTCAAAAATGTTCAAAAAGGCTTTTTTTTCTAAAACTAGGAGACCTTTTTCAATGTAATTTCGAAAGAAAGTACGAGCTTTCCACAAATCTCCAAAGTTTTGAAAATATTCCTATTTTTTGAAGAAATAGCCCGGAAAAAGAAGAGTGTTGCAGACACTTTAAATCTCTGTCGTCTCCTCGTTTCAATTCTCTCTAATTTTTCTGTCTTGAAGTTGTTATTTTTGATTTGGACACAAATTATAATCTCGCCGCGAGGACTTAACACTCTGACCTGTCTGCGCTCTCTTTTTTCTCACCAGAGGGTCAGAGAAAAAAGAAATAGCAAGTAAACAAGAGAGCGTGTTGAGAAATGAGAACTTTATGAGGCCGAGGATAAATAATTTAGTGAAAATTGTGAGAATAAGAATATATTTTTTATAAAAGCAAACTTAGGGACCCTTGGAGGGTCATCTCTGAACAACCCCTACAGGGATCACTTTTTCGGTCCCTATACGGGCTGTTTTACTCCTAACCCCTAAAGGGACCCCTCTGGAACTTCTAAGAAAGTTACAATTTTTTTCGACGCCTTTTTCTTATTCCAAATCAGGGTCTTATCATGGTTTTTTTATCAACAAAAAAATTCCTAAATATTCAAATTTTATAAAAAAAGGATTAAAAACTTTTTTTGTCAACGCCCACGGAAATTCCTTTGCTTTTTAATCGTCTGAACTTTTTGAATTGAAGAAAAAAAACCTTGAAAACCCCCCAATAACCTGTTGAGTCAATGTAGACATTTCGGACCATTTTTGACGTTTATGAGTCATTCTCAGCTTTTTTTAAAATTTTCTTTCGAATAAATGATAGAAATATATTATTTCCAATTGATGTTTTATCATTTCAAAGTTAATCATAACGTATTTGGAACGGCACGCGTCGTTCGTTTTTTTTTTTGGTTAATCCCTTGTTTGCGGGTTTTTTTAATCGCAAAAGAGCGTCATTTCTGTTCTTTTTATAGGCTTTGTTCACTTTTTTTTGGGTTTTTCATTTTTTCTGAACTTTTTTAAAGGGTGTCAGTCATCAGCAAAATTGTAAATTAAGTTCTTGAATCTTTTTTGTGAAAAATCGTAATTTTTCCTACCAATTACTCTATTTTTCTTTAAAAAAGTGCGTTTTTTCTTACTTTTTATTATTTTTTCGACTTTTTTTCAAAATTTTCGTAGCCTTGAATTGCAAATTTTCTTTTGAACTGTTTAGTCAAAAGTTTGAATAAAGTTAGAGACCATGGAAAACTTGGAAACGGCAGAGAAAGACAGTAATTTAGGAAATGTCTGACCTCTCCATTTTTCCCAATTTCTCTCGCTTCTGATTTTTTTTTTCTTGGTTTTTCGAATTAATCGTCAATTTTTCAATCAGATTTCGAGAAGAAATTATTCAAGATTCCTGGAATATATTGTAAAGAACTCAAATGTTAGGATTTGAATCTTGAAGTTTAAAAAAAAGCCTGGTTTTATTCCTTTTTAAATCATTATTATTTCCATAACTTTTTTTTTCTTTTAATTTTTGCTCTGTTTCAAGAACTATAAAATCAGTAATTTTTTCATTCTTCCGGTTTTTGAATTTTTATAATTTTTTCATGTTTCATTAGTTGTATGAAACCTTACTTCAGCTTTATTCTTTCAATCCCTTGTAGGTTATAAACTTGAATGTTTTTAAAGTGCGGACGGTTCAAATCAAAGTGTTATTACTGTTATAGCTAATTCTCGGCTTGACCCATCAAAAAACGACTCCTGAAACGATAAGAATAAAGAAATAGTGCCTGTTTAGTGGAGAGCGCAGACAGGCCACGCCCCTTTTTGTCCCAAGTGAACCGTGAATCAACTTCTATGAAGACTCATTCACTCTGAAAAAGTTTAAAGTTCAAAGTCGACTCGATTGCCGTTTTTTTCCGAAAATAAAAAGTTAAAAATCAACTGCGAACGCTTTGGCACTTGAAGAGGGTACCGGTTCACTTGAGGAAGAAATGGCTTTTGATAGACTTTTTCGAGTGGGTTTCGCCCAATTCCGAAGCTTTTATACGTATATTTCGAAGCTTCCTACGCGTCTTCCCATGTTTATTCTTTCGGTTTTTAAGCTTTTATGAGGTTTCCCTTTTTTTTTTTTTTCAATTTGCTTAACTTGGTTCTTCAATATTTACGACGCATAGCAAAAAATCGAACGTTTGGAAAGTGCGGATGGTTGAGACTACAGTAATTTTACTATTAACAGCATTTTTCCCCTTCGGAAAATGATGAAAAAATATGGCAATATTTTGAAAAATAATCGGAAATTTTTTAAAATCATAAAGAATTTCTCTTTCTAAAATTAGCTTTGGACAGTTTTTTTCGCGAGAAAAAAAAAATCTTTCCCGGTTTTTCTGGACCTTCAAGCGTTGGAAAGAAAGAATTCAACTAAAATTTCGAAAAAATTCAATTTTCTCAATGGAGCGCACCAGTTAGGAGCCATTTTTCACGGCCTATTCTTCCCGAAGCTATTTCTCTCGGAAATCCCAATGAAATTGACCTCCAACTTTCGCCTTCCAACAAAATCTTCCGGCGATCGCCGAAAAATTGAGCGTTTGAGGATAAAAAAAACCTGCTGCGTTCCATTTAAATGCCAACAATTATCCTTAAATTGGGACTCTGGAAAATCCTTCTTTGTAGCTTTTTTTATGCGTTTCTTTGAGGTTTTTCTCGTGTTTTTTTTTCACAGTTTTTGTTCCTCCAATTTTCGCCCCCTTAAGCTAGGCTGATTTGAAAGAATAATTGTTTTTAGGGGTCATTCAAGGGGCCACTTGAGTATGAAAACCAGTATAAACGCTTCTAATTCCGCTCTAACTTCAACAACTTCGAAAAAATAACTTGAACGAAGAAGTCAACTTTTTGAACTAATTACTTCAGCTCATAGTGTCTACTTAAGTGGCCACTTGAAGGTCTCACCATGTTATAAGCCTTTTCTCAGGAAATTTATCAGTAGAGTTCAAAAAGCACCTTTCAAAACGACTCAAATCCTTGAAAAATCTATTAAAAACTGACAGCAAAATTTACAGAAATATTTTAGAGCGATCACTAAAGTGAACACTTCAATTTTCTCTATCATAAGAGTTAAACGCCTTATTTTGTCTATAGCTAGTTCACGGCTGGCTGAGCCACCAAAAAAAGGTCCTGACACGATAAGAAAAGAGATAGTGCCTGGTTGGTAGAGAGCGCAGACAGTCCACGCCCCTTTTCGTCGCGATCTAGCCGTGGATCGGCTATAACCTATTATAAGCCTTCATTTCTTAAACATTTGCCAATAGAGCTCAAAAAGCACCACCTAAATCGGCTCAAATTGCAATAAGGCGCAGAAAAACTCGCGCAAATAAATGGGAGGGACGTAAACGATCGGCCGACGGCACACGATCCTACCGGTCCGGCGCCACTTGACCACTCCGGAAGCGTGGGAAAAAAAAGAAGAAGGAAAAAAAAAGAGACGCAACTGATCCGATTGCCACTGGATTCCCATCCCGATTACCGCTGCGAATACCCAATTTTTACTTATTTTCACTCAATTTTTCGCGATCCTCTCATTTTGGTGTGCTATTTCGCTTCTTAAAAATTACAAGGAGATTTTTTCAGTTTATTTCTTGTTTTACAGATTTAAAAAAGCCCGAAAAAAGAAATCTATAGCTTTCTGTACGATCCTCTCATTTGTATATGCTGCTTCCTTTTTTCACTTAGAAATCCTCCGAAATTCGTTAAAAATAGATTTTTTTCAATAGCCGGTTTTAAAAAAATTAAATTTCTACTAATTTTTTTATAAATTTACAGTTTTTCTTCAAGGTGAGTAAAATTGACTATTTTCTGTAAGATTCACTCATTTTTTTATGTGTTAATTCGCTCCTTCCGTTCACTCAAAGACTTCAAAAAAATTCGTCAAAAAAATATAATTTTTTTCGAATTCCCGCGTAAACTCTTCAAATAATCATATTTTTACTCATTTTTTTCTCAGTTTTGTTGTTACTAAGAAATTTAGGTTTTTTTCTATACCGTATATAGACTATACGATCCTCTCGTTTTTTTGTGTATTATTTCGCTTATTTTTTTCTCCTCAAAAAAATCTTTCAAAAATTTTTTTAAAAGTAGATTATTTTTCAATTTTTGCCGCAATCTCTTCAAAAAATCAGTTTTCACACTTTTTTCACTTTTCTTTTCGTAAAAAAATGAAATTTTTTTCAAAAACTGAAATTTTCAAGGTTTACGCCGTGTTTGAAGTAAATGCAAAATTACCTCCGACTCTCCAAAATTCAGTTATCTTTTTCTTTCTCTGACGGCTCTTTTCGATTTTGGGGACACGGTATAGTCAATGTTTCCCGACTTGAAAGGCGAAGGAGGCGGGGCTAGGGGCGGGACGCGCAGCGTGTGCGTACGCGGTTCTTGGCACGAGAATCTACTTTAAAAACTCGGCAACCGCTCTTTTTCTGTATTTTCTACTATTTTTGATGCACACATGAACATAATCAATGAATAATTGAAAAAGGAATGAAAAGAGCTAAAACCGGGCCCTCCAAAGAGTCTCTAGCGGTTGAATTGAACTCGTGCCAAGAACCGCGAACGCACACGCTACGCGTCCCGCCTTTCAAGTCGGGAAACATTGACTATATTGGAATGGAAAATGGCTACTCTCGCATTGAAGAATCTACATTGAATCGAGTTATTAAAGTTCGCTGAAACGTATAAAAAACTGTGAAATGAATCATTCTTTATAAAATGTTGATCAAAACATTTTTTTTTGATCGTCTTCAGTTGAAAAGTGTTATAAAAGTATAATTGCATAGTAATTTCAACAAATTTTAAAGAAACTATATTTTTATTAAACTGACCTCGAATATTTCGAAATCAATAAAAAGCTTTTCAAAGAGAAAAAAAAAACCCAACCCTTTTTTTCGCCGGTTCCCTTCCCATATATAGGTGAGCAATTTCTCTATTTGCTCAGCCGATTATTTACCCGTTTTATCAACAGTTTTGAGACGTTTCGCCTATTTCACACTGGGTTCACGACTTTTCCCCGTTTTTTCGATTTTTATGATCGTCAAATTAGAATTCTCCTGCATTGAGCCGAAAAGTTGATTTTCCTTCACATTTTTTGGTTTTTTTTTCCCTCGATTTTCAGACCTATTCCCTTGTTTCACGCGGTACTCGAACAATAACCGAATATTTTTCAGAAAATGAAACGACTACGAGAAATCCAATCGCTTCTGGACGAGCTGAAGGCGTTGGACAAAGATGAGCTGAATTTTTGCGAAGAATGGGACGTCGTCTCCGAGGAAATCGTTCAGGTTTCTACTTGGAGTGAATTTTCAGAAGAATTCCGTGTTTAGAAATTTTTTACGCTTCACCGATTACTTTCGAGGAAGCTACTGCTAAATTTCGATTTTTTTTTTTCTTGAATTTTGGTTTTTTTTTTTCAGTGAAGCGTCAGTATTAACAAGAATAGGGGATCTTTTGAAGCCTCGAAATTTTTTTCCAGGTGCTTTCAACTTTTAGGAACTATAGAAATTTTCAAAAGAACATGAAAAATAAGAAAATTTTCAGTTGAGAATAGAAAAATAAGAGTATTTGAAAGTTATATTGCATTATCTCGGTCCATGAAAGTTAAAAAAAAGTCCTTTGAAATCAATTTTCGTAGTTCTTAACCGAAATTCTCAAATTCCACCATTCGGTTCTCAGCTCATCCTTCGATGAGCCATTCTAAGTGCGGCCATAAGATTGCAACTTATGGCGAATAAATCATTTTTGAAAACGGGTAACAACAATTTTAATTCAATTTCCAGAAGTTGGCAACGATCCGAAAAGAGTGCGAACGTTCCTCGCGACTCAAAGCCACACTATTGACCCCGCCCCAATCGAGCTCTTCTAGCAGTGTTCATTGTGAATTTTTCACTTAGTTTAAATATTCTATTCAAAAAAAGTCTTTACTTTGGTGGTTTAGTGGCGTTTGAAAAAAAAATCCAGAGAAAAAGGTTTATTTTAAGTTTTCTAGACTTCTTAGCGAGGACTTCAGACTCGAATTGTTCTAAACGTGAATAGAAATTCTTGCAGCCGACAGTTCCGTATTCTCCGACCAAGCCTACACACAAGCCGCCGAGGCTTTCGATCGCCAAATTTACTCGCGATGCGTTCAAATCGTCGAAAAAGCCAATCGACAAGCTCCCGTCGATATGTGAATAACGAAAGAAATTTTTCAAAAAAAAAAACTGTTTTTAGGTCTCTAATCTCGCTTGCTCATCATTCCTATGCGGCGCTTGTTGAGGAGGCTGACACCAGCGAAGACGCCCTTAAATTCGCCCGCTGGTGGGCCGAGTTTCTTGGTTTTGCTCCATTTTCGAGGAAAATTCATTATTTCTGACCTGCAGATTCGGTTGAAGCTGGACGAGCTCATTCTGAAAAGATTGAACTGCTGGATTATGAGGCAACGGCGCTGGAGAAAGTTTGCCGGTTGAATGAACCGACTTGCGATGAAGACGTCTTCAACTTGATTGAAGTCGTCGTTCGTAATTTTAAGGTTCAGATTTAGAAAAAAAACTTTCAAACACTCCAGCTAGATTGAAATAAAAAACTTTCAAACACTTCAGCTAGATTGAAATTAAAAACTATGGCCGATTCATGGAAAACCTGGAGAGCGAAGAGGCGGGGCCAACAAAGCACTGTCCTTTTTTAAATCGTGTCAGATCCCTTTTTGAAAGCTAAAGCCAGCCGTAAATCAGTTATATCTCTCAAAAAAATTTTTTTGGAAAAAAATAGTTCAAATTACAGATGGTCAGTCTCCTACACCGCCCTTATCACTTAATGAGCGTGAGAAGGCTTCAAAAACTGTGCAACATTTTGCAAACTCTGAAAGAAGTTTATGAAGGTAAAAAAAAATACAGTAATACTCGGGCAAAACTGAAAAGCTCCCCAAAAGCTTTTCTTAAAAAAAGACCTTGAAAGGGTCCCCAGCAGATCTTTTTTACATCATTTCAATTCTTTTTTGCATATTTTTCATATCCTCTGACAAAAAGGATGCTGGAAAGCAACTAAAAAGATTCAAGAGGATTCAAAAAGGATCCTCTGAGGCTATGAAAAAGGTACTCAAAAAGCTTTTTTTACATCATTTTAGGAGCTTTTAGAGGAAGCTTTTTATCTCCCTCTCAGGATCCTTTAAGGATCCTCAAAGGAACTTTTCCGTTTTACCTATGTATATACTCAAAATAATGATTTTTTTTTAGAGCGAGAAGAATTTATCGATGCCCTCGGCGTGATGGACCACGGATTGAGAATAGCGATGAGAGATCGCGACAAAGTAGCTTCGGCCAAAAGAAACGACGAACAACGAATTTTGGTGAGAAATAACAAATTTCCGAAGGGAAAATTTTGTTTCAAGATCGAGGAGATTCTGCACGATATTTCAACGATGGAAATCGTTGGAGAAAGAATATTTGAGAGCGTGAGTTCTCCAAATTTCAAACAGAAACCTTTCCTCATTTTCCAGAAGTCACCCCCTCCCAATTTGATCCAAACGACTTATTTGAACTTATCTAGAAGTCCTGCGCAAATGTCAACTGAACACATTGTTGTGCGATTATAACCCGGTGGATAAAATTATCAAATTTTATTTTAAAACAAAAAAAAATTCGGAATTGATTGAAAATTTTCGGGTAAAATAAAAATTCAAGTTGCCGCGCGGCAAGTACGAACCGCTGCGCATGCGCATCTAACATACGGTATATCGATTGATTTTTCAATAAGTTTTTGGCGGCACTTCAATATTTTTTTTCCTTTTTTCGCTTTCTTCGTGTGTTGTTTAATTATTCAAATAATCTGTGATTTTTTTCATGTCTAAACCATCCTGTCACCTCTAATTTCAGTTTTCTCATCCATTTTTCTCGAGAAATTGTTTTTTTTTTTTTACATGATAGCTTACCTAATTAATATTCTCGCATTTTTTGATTAATAACTTTTTTTTTCCATGTGTGTTTTGAATATTAAGATGAATAACGATAAATTGTTTTTATTTCCTTCCGACCTACAGGATGAAGTGAGCAGAATAATATCGATCCGAAAAAAAACGCGTACAGATTTTTTTCATTTTGAATGTTTGCAATGATTTTTTTCTTCGAGAAGATGGAAGTTTGAAAAGTTTTTCATCCTAGGCGTTCGGGGTGTTTTTCAATGATAGATTTTTTTTTAAATTTTTTAATTGACAAAGATCGTAATATTATTTCTATCTGCAAAGATATTTGCATAACCGTTGTACTTCATTCGTCGTCCACTAAATTATTTCGCAACTATTTAGTTTCGATGTTTTTCAATGAGTTTTTGTTTCAGTTCCTATGGCATCGCCAGCAATGTTAGGGCCGTACGGTGAACTAGCTGCTCAGCAGCAACGGTGTCCACCAATACCCACACCACAGGCATACGTTAGCACGACGCCAGGCGGCCAAGGAGCGATCCCACTGTACCCGACAGGCGCCACAGCCATTGTACCAGCCGCACCAGCATTTGAACTGATACCAAACCGCATTTTCGTCGGTGGATTCCTCCCAAATGTAATTTTTTTGACATTAATGAATGGAAAACGAAAAAAATTGTTTGAAAATTTTGAAAGCGCTTACAGTTTACCTTCAAACTTTTTTTTCTATAAAGGAAAGTTGTTTTAAATTTCTATAAATGCTTTCAGACCACGGAAACTGAGATGCGTCAGCATTTTGAGAAATTTTGCCCAGTTAAAGACGTAAAATTGATTCGGTCACCGGCCGATGGTACATCTAAAGGTTTCGGATTCGTCACTTTTGAAACGGATGAGGATGCAGAATACGTGCGGAGTTTGGTAGGAGACAATCAGAAGTTTATTTTCAAAAAAACAATCTCAGTCACCGGAGCAGGTCGAGTTCAAGAACAGAAAGCTGAATCTCGGACCTGCGCTAAGGAAACTCGTGAATGGCGCTTGTCCAGCAGGTAAATATCGGAAAAAAATATTCATTACTTGTTGTCATTTTTTGAAAATTTTTATTAGAGTCATATACCATTTTAAATTGTGTTCACGTAAATTCAACTTGACCGGAAAATGACGATATTTTTATAGCTTCAACTAAGAAATTAACTTTTCCTGAAAACTCGAGATTAATTTCTTTGAGGATGCGCTATTGCCACCCCACAAGGCCAGATTTTCTCGCCAACCGTTGCACCATATGGATTCGCCTATCCAAGTGCTCCAGCTCCATATATAATATATCCTGCACCAGTATGCACCCTTATAATCTTGTGAATGTTTTTTTCGTTCAGGTCACCGTGATTCCCAGCTCCTCCTCGACTTCAATCGTCACTTTGCAAGCGACTCCGCCAGCTTCGCCTCCGCCACAAGATGCTCAAACTTCTCAGTCGCCACCTTCCAATTCACCCCAACAAATGAATGAAAATGCGCAGAGAAGCTACGCCAACGCGGTGGCTGGCGGAAGTTCATAGTTATTCAAGATACTTTTTGATAAGACAATTTGTTAAGATACGGGAACGAATCAGCAAAAGCCGATGCAGGTTGCCGCGAATCCTTTGACGCCAAATGGATCCATGCATAATAACATGTCACTGAATAGCTCTTACCAACAGGCCGCCTTCAATAATCCGCAGTATCAAGCGGTTCAGCAACAAATGCCGGTGAACAAATGGGGAACGAAGGATTGAACCCTGATTTTAATTTGAAAAATGTCTTTTTCCGCCTTTTTCAGTCTATTTTTTTTGCAAATCGTCGTTTTTTTTAGATTACCACATACTTTCTGGTATCTGTTAGGTAATACTGTGTGTGAAGTTCAAACTACAAGAAGCAGTAATAAGGCTTCAAAAGTTATTCAGCTTATAAGAAGATAATTTTTAGTTTGGGTTTACTTCTGCTTCAAGAGATTTTTGTCTTTTCCCAGCCCTCTCTCTCAAATTAATTCACAGAATGGGGTTTTTTTGGTTCTCCATTAGAATCATCTCACTTTTTGAGCAGTTTCAGTGAAAAAAAAACTGAAAATTAAAGCGTTATACGTTTTTCAAAAAATAAAAAATAGAAGAAGATTTTTTTTTAGCTGTCTCCGAGAGACATCAGCTTCATAAAAAAGTTTCAATTTGAGAGAAAGAAGTCCATCAGGCCCAAAATGATCAAAAAATTCAGCAACAAGTCTTCGCTGGCCCGACTCCCCTCATGGCCAACCAGTACTACTACGCGGCTAATCAATACGATCAGACGCCGATGGCCAGCAGTCCTTTGCCCAATTCCAACCAACAGTTCACTTATCCAGGGCCACAAGTCACCTATATGCAGCCGATTTCTGTTAGTAAAGAGAAAGAAAAACCGTTTTTTCAAAAAAAGTACAAAATGGGGTATTGAAGCTCAAAAATTTATTATTCTTCATCAAAATGTTTCCTTTTTAGTTGCCGTTTAATCGATTTTTTTTAAGTTCTAGCAATTCTTATAATCCAAAAAATAATTTATTACATTACCTATTTTTCTTCAGAACTACGAACCGAACAACGCGCAGCCGTACATACCCAACGGGATGGTTCAGCAACATCCGATGCCTCAGGAACAGTACGGCTATCAGCCGTATCAGCAGATGAACTACGGCAATCCCAATAACATGTACTACCCGGTCACTCAGTACCGTATGATGTGTGAACCACCGCAGTATTCCTATGGTGTCAGTTATGCCGGAACCGATGTTCAGGTCTATTATTTTTGTCGGTTTGAGGTTGAAAATTGGAAAAAAAAAAGAAGAAAGGAATTCTATACATAGCTTCTCTCTCAGATTGTGAAAATTGGGAAAGCATTTTTTTTTTGTGGTTCAATGTGTTTTTTCTTGTCACTACCGGTTTTTAAAAAAAGACTGGCTGTTTTTTTTTAATTTTCTAGAAGTTACTTCAGTTGTAGAGAACTTCCAGAATTTTCCTTCAACTAATCTTTTTTTTTGCGCCTTTCGTCATACTTATTGAAATTCTTTTTTTAGAATCCGTATAACACGTACGAACATTCTTCTCCAAGAGACCATCGTTTAAACTTCAACGGAGAAGAAAATGATCAAAGCGTTGAGGGCAAAATCGCCAGGAACAATCGCCCCAGGGAAATGAGCCATCAGGGATACCGAGGTGAACCAAACATGATTTCAAAATTCATGAATTTCATTTCAGACAAACGCGGCTGGGAGGAGAATAACAACTACCAGAAGAAGAATTACAACTATCGGCAAAGGAAATCGAACAGTGTCCATGAGACGTCGCCGTCGTGCCATGGATCCGATGGGACCTTCTCCCGAGATCCTACCGTCAATAAATCCAATAATAATCCTAATCATAGCAGTAATAAGGTCAGTTTTTTCTTTTCTTCTTCCCGAAATTTAAAAAAAAAGATGAGAAAACAGCTCTTATCTCAAAATTTTCCGTATCGCATATAATCGTATAGCTTTCCTAAATTGCAACTGTCATTTTTTTTATGAAAGAAAAATGTTAACCAAGCGTTTTTGAAGTTTTTTAAAGATACTGAAAACTTTGACCTATCAAAAATGCATGCATGAAAACTTCGAAATGATAATTTTTTCAAATCCTCATGAACAAAAAAATATTGCAGGGCGGAAAGCGCAACAGCGTCACTCCGATCATTCCCCAAGTTCAGGCCTTGGACATCAACAAGGCCACCGCCAGTGACGGCGACGGCAAAGCCGAAAAAATCCTCTGTGAATAATATTCAACCTTTTTCCCTCATGTCCAGATTTTTGCAAAATGTTCGCAACAAAGAGAATTACCGTTTTGGGCCCACTTTGACGAAATTTTTTTTTGCACTACTATTGTAAAAGCTGAAGTTAAATATTTTTTTTCTCTGGATCTCCAAGTTTCCAATCAAATGTAGCTTTCAATAGCCGGAAAAATTGTCTGTAATTGTTTTTCTTTTTTCTCTGTTTTTGGACACGATCATCATCTGTAAGATCTTTATTCATCTCATTTATCTACCGCCATGATGTTTTCCCTTGAATTCATTCCGAATAGAGAGATCTCTTCATAGTTTAGCTATTAATATATATGCGGAATTTTGATAATTTTTCCCCACATTTTTCCCTATTGAGAATCATTGAAAATGATCGAAAATTTTCATTATTGTATTGCATTTGCCGATATATCTCTTTATCGCATTTCAATTTACGAATAAAGCCACTCTGGGAAATTTTCTATTGCAATTGAAATTCATGGTTCGACCGTCTCTGAATCCATTATTTCCTTCTGCTTCCTGCGCTTCTCGGCCTTCTTTCGCTCTTGGATTTCCTGCAATTTTTAAAAGGTTCGTTATTTATTCCGCTAATTTTTTGGAAACTGTTACAGGATTTGTAAACTGTCAATGAATTGGAAAAAGAGACAAAAAAACTTGAGTGAAAAAAATTAATTTTGAAATTGAAATTATTTGTGAACTCACCAATGATAAGTTACTATAGAAAAAAGGTTTTTTCAATCTAGATTGAAAAAAAACCCTTTGTTTTTGAATTTTTTTTGCTTGAAGAATAGAATTTTCTTATAATTATTCGAAATTTTCCAGAAAATTGTTGCTTGCAAATTCTGTGAGCCTCACAAATGAACACCTAATCGTTAGGCTAGCTTCTCAAGTTAGAAAAATAATTAATTTCATTTTTTTTTATCCGACTAACCTGTAAAGCGACCACCAGTTTGTCCGCGTCAATCATTCTGTTGGAAGCGGAATTTCCAACAAATTGAACTGGAACGTGTTGGGGATATTTTTCGGCTTCGGCTTCGTCACTCTGTTTTTCTTTATCGTTTCTGTAAATTTGAATCGAGATTCTTTTCGAACATGATAATCTGATAAGATTTTCAAATTTTCTGCGCCAGATCTTCATTTTTTCTTTTCTCTGATTGGCAGGACCCTATTCTGTGTTCAAAGTGATTCCGATGGTACGACAAAATCTCAAGTCCGCAAATCTTGAGGACTGTAATCTTGTGTACGCAGATCTCAAGTCCCATAATCTTGGAAAGCAAAAATATCCCTTTTTAGTCTTATTTATTTCACTTTATCTACTTATATTCTCTTTTTTGGATCACCGAATACAATCTCTGATAGAATATATTCGCAAAAGTGTGATTTTTGCTTTCCGTTTATGGGACTTTAGATCTGCGTACACAAGATTACGGTCCTCAAGATTTGCGGACTTGAGATTTTGTCGTACCATCCTTTTTCTACGAAATCCAAACCAGTCGTTACAAAAAGAAAAAGATAAATAGATTGTGAAGAGAGAGATACTCACGGAAATCACTCCGAACACGGCATCCTTTTTACTTTATTTCATACCCTCTAGTCAACTCGGATCTTTCTTTTTGAACTTCTCTCGGATCTCTCTCGGGCCCGTTCTTCCTCGGGTTGTTGTAACATTCATTTAGCGCGTGACGGATCCAATTCTGGGAAATGATCAATCATTTTAGACTGATAAAGGAAAAAAATGACAATTTATTCATGTTTAGAGGTTCAGGAAAGTTTCTTATCAAACAAGGTTCATTAAATCAAAATCGGCCGAAAAAAAACTGTTATTTTTGTCTAAGATCTTAAAACCTCTTTATTTTCGTCCACAGCTATTGTACATAATGGACACCATTGAGCGCCTGGAGGGGGTTGGCGTCCTGAAAATAAACCTTTTTTTTGGGAATTTCATTCCTCGGTCAAAACTGACTTGTCGCTTTGAAACCTTGTCTAGTTTAAAAGTATCGCAGATCGTTACAGAGTGATTGGTTGGCTCCGCCCATTTGGCAAGGAGAAAATTTTGAAAGGATTTTATTGGACATTTGCCAAATAATTTGAGCCGTCCAATCAAGCCGCCGCGTTTCATCTCGAGCCTTTGAACCAAAAAACTGAAAGTGACGAAGCAGCTCCAAGCGCCTCTTTAAAATTGAGACGTAGGAATTTGGCAAGATTCGAAAAAATTTTGAGCTCTGTTTTGACCGGTTTCATGAGATTTCTTCTGTGCTTTCTGCTGTAATTTATACTCCGAAAAATCAAAAATAGACTTGCTAATTCAATTTTCAAGCTATTTTCGGTTTTTCTTTGGGATGATGTGTGTCACGACTTGAAATTTCACCGAACGACATTCCGCAGCTCCGCTGCTTCCGTTCGCTGAGCGTCTTTCGAATCTAGGTCACGTTTTCAATTGATTGTTATTGCTGTGGTAACAAATGAAAGTAGAGTACCTTATAAAAGGAAAAAAAAATTAAAAGCGCGAAAAGGTTCGCAAAGGCGCGCAGCGACACAGCGGAGTGTCGTTTGGGGAAATTCCAAGTCGTGGTACACAGACTATAACTTTTATTTTCTAATTGTCCCTCCAGAGAAGAAACGAGATATTCACCAAAAAACCCCGGAAGGATTTATAGCTGATCCACGGCTAAACGTGGAAATTATGAAAAAAAAAAAAGAGTCGAAAAGTTCGCGACTTGTCGAATGCCCGCCAAGCATACGCTTCATTTGGAGGATAATTAGAAATGATTTTCCCCCGACTTGTTCGTGAGAGAATCGGGTACAGCTGATCCACGTCTGACTTGAGAGATAGTGCCCAGGCCACGCCCCCTAAGTCCCAAGCTAGCCGTGAATCGACTATATGAATTTTTGACGCAAAAAAATTATTTTTCAAGATTTCTCTAAATTAGGTATTCATCTGTGAAATCAGCAGGATCTTAGCTTTTTAACGGCTTTTTCCAGGGATTTGCTCAGAAAATTCGATATTTTTGATAAAAAAAAGTACCTCTACACATGGCGTGACTAGCATTGTTAGTCTGATCTTCTATGGAAGTCGAAAGGCCGCAATTTTTGCATTTTTCCATTTGTCCCCTGAGAAACTCGCACCGATTTATGTAGTGGTCGGTTAGTTGGGGGATCTGGAAAAGTTAGCCTCAGAAAAATTTTTTAGTGGAAAGTCGGTGGTGCGAATTTCCGAAAAAATACTTTCCTCCTTGTATTTTTTTAGGATTTTTTCCATTTATTTTCTTGATACCCTACTTTTTTCGGTTTGACTCCACTGTATGGTTCGTGAGAGGACAGTCAGAAAGTCAAAAATATTTAAAAAAACGCTTAAAAGTTCTCCAGCGATTTGAAAAATTGAAAAATTCGCCTTTTGAGAGTTTCTGATTTTTTATCCATCAAAAAAAAACTCACCATGACGACTTTCATGCAAAACTTGCACATGCACATCATTTTGCAAGACCTCGCGTAGTGTTTTTCCAAGGAACCTGGACGGCCCAATCCGTCTTCGATTATACCGCAGTGGGGACATTGGCTGAAATTCAAAATACAAGTTTTTCTTATAAAGTATGAAAAATAAGCTCAAGAAAAAGTCTTTGAAGCTTTATTATTTTCGGTTGAAGCTCTGGTCTAAAGCCCGTATATAAAATTGTCACCAACCCAATAAAGTCCAGAACTTACCCGATATCAGTCGGAGCCTTGTAAGGATCATCGTGAATCATATTTCCACCATTCGGGATTATTATTGGTTGATTGACATTAGTATTGAGTAAATCAGCCAAACGGCCGTTTTTTTCTTGAATTCCTTCTGTAAAAATTACATAAATCCAGCCCTGGATAATTGTTTTGGGTAGCGCCAAATGGCTTTTTTTAAAAATTGATTCAAAGCAATATTATTATAAAATTTGAAGTTCCAGATGTTGAAAATAATAATTGTTTTTTTCAAGTTTATTTTTTTTTTTTTGAAGCGAGCAATTTTTTTCTGAGGGCCGGTAAAACTTTAGCAGATTTATAAGTGCAAAAAAATATCATTAAAAAGTTAGTTTCATGAAAAATTTTTTTCGGTAACCTTATCAATTTGAATCACTTATCCCATTCTTGAGCTATATTTTTGATCTTTAAAATATTTACCTTACTGGAAGGCCTCGAAAGACTTTTCTGACTGGCCGGCCGACTTTTGGACGGCGTCTGGATTTTCCTAACTTCCGGCGTTTTTTCTCTTGGATTTTCTGACGTTTGAACACTCTGCCTCCGTTGATTTGGCGTATTTTCTCGTGGTTTTGGGGTTCTGGAAAGGGTTTTGATGATATTTCAGCGTAAAATTTGGCTGAAAGACCATTTCAAGTTTTCGGGTAATTTTTGAATATTACTTTTTTGGAAGGGAAGGTTTTTGTTAATTGAATTTTTAAAACGTTGTGAGAATGGTTTTGAGGATATTTCAATAGGAATTTTGGTTGAAAATCATTTTTTCTTCAGGTTTCTGAGTGATTTTTTGAAAAATTCAAATTGAATCCTCTGAAAAACTCAGCTGCTCTGTTAACTAACCTTTCTAAAAACGTTTGGAAATGATTTAAAGCGCGTTTTTTTGTTTAATATTTAGCGAAAAAATAATTTCTCCTCTAGGTTTCCAGGTGATTTTTGATGAGAAGTTCAACTGAAGTGATTTTTTTTCGCTGGTAAAAACCTCAAAAATTACTCAGATTTTGGAAAAACTTTGAAACTGACCGAAAATGCTGCAAAAAACCTTTTTTTCATCCAGGCTTTTTAGAAAGGTTAGTTTATAGACGTGCCAAGCACATTATTCTGAACTTTTTGAAACCCGAAACATAAATTATAAATTTAGGACTCCCAAAATAGTAAGACTAGAATCACATGGCTCTCTTCGGTGGTGGGGCTGGAGAAATGGGACGCCAGACCATCTCGTTCGACGGATTTTTGTCTGGAGTCCATCTGGAGTTCACTCCGAACGCTTTCATCTGTAAGAAAATGATAGAATTTGAATTCAAGTAGGAAACCATTTTTTCATATCTTCTGTGCATTTAGTACTACATGGGCAAAGTCCAAAACTACCAGTAGAGTTTTTTAGAAAAAAGATAAAAAAAAATTTTTTTTTTTACTGAATTTACTGTTTCATCAAAATAATTTAGCAGCTTCAAGCTTGTTTGACACGTTCATCGTCATGGATTTTTATAAGCTTATTTAAAGCGAATGTTAAACACATAAAGTTTCTTTTCTAGAAAATTTCACCTGTGAATCTTCGATCATCAAATCCGAGTAGGTGTTACGAATTGCGTCCGATTTCACCTGAAATCTTTGATTTTACCAGGAAATTAATTGATTCAAGAAGAGAATAAATAGCTGTGAGAAGAAGTAGTTTGTGCGCTCTATTCAAATTGAAAAATATATTCAGGGAATTAGGAATCGGAAAGATTTTTTTCTTGATTTTTTTCCGATTTTTTTAAAATTTTAATTGTGCATTTTTTTGTGGCAAATTGCCAAGTGAAAACGATTTTTTTCCAGAAAAATGGAGCCTCTTGGAGCGTAAAAGGTCAAATTTTATCTGTTGATGGGCTATTTATACCTTTTTTGCCCCCGGACGAAATTTTGATTAAACGTTACTGAAGTGTAATTTTTGAACCTCGTAACTCCAAAATAAGAGAAAAACGAACTATTCGAAATGAGACGCTTCATAAGTTTGAAATAACGGTTTTTTTATCATTATATCTGTATTTTGCCATCTTTTTGAGCTTCATAAATCGAAAAAAAGATCTATGGGGGAGACAAAAAGTAAGAGAATGAGAGAGTTACCTTTTCCATCTCGCTCCGAATTTTGTGGGCTTTTTGAACATCTCCCCGGGTAATGGCGTCGGATCTGTCGTGGCTCAATCCAACCAACTTTTCTTCGGTTTTTGAAAGTTCTTCACAGGCGGACTGGCAGAGGTGCGCCTGGAATTGTTGAGTTTTCAGAAATCTATGATTTCTCGATTCGGCAATTTTTTTTCTAATGAAAATATAGTCAATGTTTCCCGACTTGAAAAGCGAGGTAGGCGGGGCAAGGAGCGGGACGCGTAGCGTGTGCGTACGCGGTTTTTGGCGCCAGTTCAATTCAATCGCCGCCGACTATTAAAAGGCTCGGCAACCGTTCCTTTTCTGTATTTTCTACTATTTTTTGATGCACACATGAAAATATCAATAAAAAATTGAAAAAGGAGTGAAAAGAGCAATAAACAAGCTCTCTGAATACCCGCTCGCGGTTGAATTGAACTCGTGCCAAGAACCGCGTACGCACACGCTACGCGTCCCGCCCCTTGCCCTCGCCTTTCAAGTCGGGAAACATTGACTCTATTTGTAAAGAAAAAAATATCGATTGCTTTCCAAGAATTTTTCAGAAAAAAATTTGGGATTTTTAAAATTTTTTTACTTTGACATGGAATCTTGTTTATAATAGGACTTCTCTGAAAAATTTTTCTAAGGTTTTTGAAAAAAAAATTTTTAAGCAGAAAAGGGCAGAATCTCATTCAAATACCGCCAGTATTTTTTAAAAATTAGTCCGAAGTTGCATTTTTTTTTAAAGACAGCTGCATAAATTCCAAGTTGATTATCAATTTTCGAAAATTGATTGGAACCTTGACAGGTCGGTCTTTGTCCTTGTGGGTCAGAGACATGACTCGAAGATTATTCCGAAGAGTCCTGACGGCGATAATTGGATCCTCTCCAAGTTCCAAGGCTTTTTCCTTGTAGCCAGCGCTTCGGTACTCGCTGTTGGGCCTTAGTTTGGGTGGAAATTAAGAAAAAGTGGATTAGAAGATTTTCGTAGAGCTGTAAAAGTTGAATAAAAAATCTTTGACCGTTTTAGGCTTTTTATTTGATTTGGAAGTAACAAAAAAATTTTTAAAAAAACGATTTGGAAAAAAATAGCTTAAATTCAGAGAAAAAAAGTGTAAAGATTGAAATTCAATTCAATTCAATTTATTCAGACATCAGAGGAATCAAAAAAAGGCTCTGCTGAATCATGTGATTGAAAGATTGAAAGAGTTGGGAAATAAACGAGCATAGTTGGGTTGATCTCAATTTATTTGAAAATTTAGGTATATTTTTTTGGAAATAAAAAAATTGTAAGCAAAAGGTAATTCAAGTTCAAAACAAGGATATTAAGATTGAAATAACGGAAAAAAAGTTTTTTTGAGATAGTTTTCAGGTGCTTTGAGAGTCTAAAAAAATCGAAATTGCGCATTTTTTTAAAAAAAAATTTTTGCTTGATTTGGGACATTACCTTGAAAAATTGCTGAAAAGGGCTAGAACATGCGAAAAATTGGGCATTTTTTGAGACATGGATTCGAAAAAAAATCCTTCTATCTTCTCAATGAAAAGCGCTTATTATGAGTATACTTTTTGGAATGTTTTTTGTTAAAAAAAAGATGAAGCTCAAAACTGTGAAGTAATCCAGTTTGAGGGAATTTTGGGCTTACGATCTTCGAAAGAGTTAGATAATCCATTTTGAGCCTATTTGGCTGTTTCTTTTTAAAAAAAGAGGATAAAACAATAAAAAAAAACGTAAGAAACGTGTCAATAAATCATCACGCTGTTTGAAATGTACAAAGAGATACGTTTCAACAGTGGAACTTATCACAAAACAAAAATGATTGAATGTTGCGAAGGTGCAAATTTCGAAAATAAATTGTAATTCCTGAGCTCGAAATCGAGTCGAATAACACGTCCTTAGATCGAGAAACTACATGAAAACACTTGAATTTCTGGAAGGAATCTTCAAAAAATCACTTTTTCATCATTTTGAAAAAAAAACGACGATTTCCCAACTCAAGAAAAAGCGAAAGATTCTGTTATATTTGTTTTTTATTTTTACTTCTTTTCAAATTTTAGATTTGGGTATTATAGCTGATTCACGGCTGGCTTGAGCCATCGAAAAATGGGTTCTGACACGATAAGAAAAAAGAGATAGTGCCTGGTTAGTGGAGAGCGCAGACAGGCCACGCCCATTAGTTAGCCGTGAATCGGCTATAACTATGTTCTAATAACATTAAAATTTAGCATCAGTTTTTTTCAGTTTCTCGTAGAATTTCGATTTTACCTCATTTTCTCAGATCTAGGCTTTACCTCATGAAATTTCGATTTTTCAAAAACTCACAGTTCGAATCGGCCATCGCCCTTGAGCTTATCCTTTTCTTTCTCTTCGGGTAGCTCTTCGACGGGCGCAAAACGCCCGTTTTTAGCCATTTCTGCGTCCCTTCGACGCACGTAGTCCTCGTAGCGGAGATCCGCTTCTTCCATGTTTTTTTGGGGGGTTTGTTGTTCTGATAAAGTACAGGATGAGACCTCAGAAGCCTGGATTTTCTGAAAAATGAAGGATTTTCTATTTTTACGCCTTTTTTCAGTTAAAAACAACCATTAAAATGTTCAGAATCTAGACAAAACGCTTATAATTATCCGTGGAGCGGAAAATATTCAGAATATCAGAAAAAGAAAAAAAATAATTTTTTTCTAACTATCCAAGATTTCCTCATGAAATTTCATTTTTTCGAGATCCCCATGATTTATTAGAGAATTTAGGTCAAATAGCAATATTTTGAACAGGTTAGGGTCAAAAATTTCGAAAAATATTATTTTTTATAAGTTTCACAAGTTGAGTTTTCAATTCTGGTCAATTGGAGAGATTTTTTTGGAAAGTTGAAAAAAAAATGGAGGAAAGAAAACGAAAAAAATGTAAGCAGAAGTGTACGTTTTCAGCTACACATGCTGAGCTTTCTGAATTTTTTTGATACTTTTTTTCTTTGTTTCTTCTGTGTTTTTGCGCACTTTGCATAGGATATTAGCGTTGGAATCAGAAGGAAAATGTTTTTTTTAGGTAAACGAAATTTTATTCATTAACACGATTACAAGAGAATTAAAAAAAAAACAAGAACAGAAATTTGAAAAATCACCCCCAGTGGAACGGAAATTAGTACTATTCATCAAAAAAATCGTGAAAATTAAAAAAAAAAGGTGCAAAATATGAAGAATGGTTATACGATGAGAATCACAAAATCAGCCATAAATCAACCAAAATATTACAATTCATCTTTTCCTTTGAACATCTCGTCTTGAAATCGTTTCTCAGCCGCTTTTCTTTCCTCCCTTTCCGTGTTTTCCTCGACCTGACGGGGCGTTTTCGTCTTTTCCGCCTTCTTTTTCGATTTCTCAGCGTATTCTTCCTCTTCTTCCCGGATTTTCAGCCTGAAAAATTAAAACTTCGGTGGAGCGCATAGTTGGAGATCTGAAAATTTGGCTCTTGTTTAAAATTCAGCTTTGAAAAATTGAATTTGGTAGGATCTATTCTTATAGTTCAAGCATAGAAACTGAGCCATTGCTCGGACCTTAGTAACACTAAAAGGACGTGTCAGAGCGTTTCTAGTGACCACTTTAGTAGCGTCAGAATTCTGAAGTGATACCTAGAAATGCTCAGTAACGGCCGGGCTTTGTTTCCAAGGTCCGAGAAAGAGACTTTGGATTTTTTTTCATCAATGGGGCGAACTTTATCTTGATTTTTAAGCTTTCGAACATTGGTAACAAAACGCGCTCTGGAAGTTTCTGAGCAGCTCTAGGGATCACTTAAGAGTGCTGTCGCTACTAAAGTGGTCGCTAAAAATGTCCAATTCGTAGTGGGATTTTTTGCGACAGGAGTTTCGAACGGAAATAAAAGTTTAAAGATGGTAAATTCGTCTTACTAGGACACCGCGCTTGCATGCTCTTATCACGCGCGGAGCTTTGAAAAATCATACCTGAGCTTCAGAACCTTGCCAAAAAAAATCAATTGGTTCTTTGTGACCTGACACGGGAAGTGCGAAAGGTCGAGGTATTGGAACTTAATGAAACTTGGTATATAGGTACTTCCGAACACCCTGAATCCAAAGCAGTTGAAAAAAAGTGCGCCTTTTTGGTTTTAGTCGAGTTAGGGCGCCTCAAAGTTTGCACGCCAAAAATGCATTGGAAGGGAGGAGGGAATGTGTTGCGGCGGCTAACTCTAGCTGCCAGCAGGCGGCGTGGTGTAGTGGCTAGAGGCCTTGCGCTGTGAAACCTATGATGCAGGTTCGGACCCTTTTTGGTGAAGTTTTTTTTTGCCATGAAGTTTTTCGAAAAAAATTGATGAATTTTTGAAGATGGAACGAAAAACACTGTTCAAAGTGTTAAAATTCACTATTTTATGTCGTTTTGAGAAAGACTTTCAACAAAATTTTTTTTTAGTCTTCTTTTGTCCTGCTCTGTGCAGGAAATTTGGGCGTCGAGATTATTCTTGCGAGAGTTCATAGGTTTGTGATATAAATAACAACTTATTGTAGTTCTATGCTTCTATTCTTATTCATCAAACGATTTTTTTCTTCAAAGATGGCGGTTAGTTAACCCTTTTCCTTGTCTTTTTTTTCATTCCCTGCAGCATCGCCATATCATCCCGATTGTGAAAATAAAGTGAAGCTGGACTTTGATACACATTTTTACGCACATAACGTCATAAAGGAAGGAAAGAAGAATAAATATCATAACACTTTGATTCTATTGGTTCATCCGAAATTTTTTTAAAGGAATGGGTCGACCATAAGCCTTATGGTTAGGCAAGGAAAAATGGAGCAAAAAAGTTTTTTGTCGAAATTCTTTCTCAGATGGGCATTAAATGGTGAATTTCAAAATTTTGAGCTGTTCTTTCACTCCATCATCAAAACTTCCTCATTTTTCAAATAAAAAAAAATTGGCAAAAAAAAATTTCACCAAAAAAGGACCGAACCTGCATCATAGGTTTCACAGCGCAAGGCCTCTAGCCACTACACCACGCCGCCTGCTGGCAGCTAGAGTTAGCCACCGCAACAGATTCCCTCGTCCCTTCCAATGTAATTTTTGCGTGCAAACTTTGAGGCGCCCTAACTCGACTAAAACCAAAAAGGCGCACTTTTTTTCAACTGCTTTGGATGCAGGGTGTTCGGAAGTACCTATATACCAAGTTTCATTAAATTCCAATACCTCGACCTTTCGCACTTCCCGTGTGAGGGACAAGATCTATATACCCTCCAAAAACGAGCTCAATCGAAGACATCGAGATTTTCGACTTTGAGAGCCCCTAACTTTTCTCACAGGCCTCGAGGGCGGTTTTTAGGACCAGATTTGGAATTAGCGTGAAAAACTACATCTAGCGAGCTTGGTCTTATTTAGAAGTCTCACTGCGAATGAAGACCATCCCCTAGTTAGATTTGATACATTGAACATTTTTTTTTTCATTTGAACGGTTAGGGCGGAAAATTGGGAGGAGCGGAAGTTTTTCAACAGTTTTTTTTTTACCATAAAAAGTCGCGAAGTTGATGCCGACCCCGCCCTTCCTTGTACTGATGATTCATTTTGCCACTTCTGAAGTATTTCATGCTCGGGTAGGCGCCGATTTCGTGTTGGCGGCAGAGTCCGGCCTGAAGTTTTTATTTTTTTTGAAGAGAAAAAGGCGATTTTGGTATTTTTTTACTGAGAATATTGGTCTTGTCTTTTGAAAGAAGTCCCGAAAATATAAAAAAGTTTAAAAATTAAATTTTCATACATTAAATTAGTAACTTTTTGTATGTCTGGTGGTCTCCAGATTTCCAATAATCTCTAAAATTTGGGAACTTTCTTCGAGAAAACTTTTTTTTTGAAAGAAAATCCCTGAAATCTCTGTAATTTAGAGAGTGTTTTGAAATTGGAGGCTCCCAGACATTATATAAGTTTTTTTAAAAAAATATCTAACTGTCTCCAAATTTATATATTCTATAGAATTTGACGTTTTTAAGCTTATTTTTCTACTGATAACTTTGGAATTTTTGACTCGGATCGGAACAATTAGAGAACACAGGAAAACAGGAGAGGCTAGACACACTTCACAAATTTTTTAATCTCCGGCTGTCTCTCGTTTTTATACACTCTCTGGTGCACTTTACCCTTCAAAAAATCTCCGAAAACTTGTTTTATCAGTTAGCCGTTTCAGAATAAGTATTTAGATAAATAAGATAACTTTTCTCTCGATTCTAACGTGTTATCTAACAAATTTTTTCCATTTATTGAAAAATTAAAATCCCGCACATATTTATTGCAATCCGCAGCGGCGATCACCAAATTCGGCTCGTTTTTCAATAATTTCGCGAATTCGACAAACTCGTTTTTCATCGTTTTGCAATGACTGCACCCTGGAACTTTTAGTTTTTTGAAAAGTTTGATCAAAAAAATGAACTGACAAGGCGTGTAATAGAGAACGAACGCGTTGCGGTACTGCTTCAGGACATTTTCGGCGTTTTTTCTGGAAATTTTCATTGAAAAACATTATTTTTAAGCTTGATATGAAAGCAAATTACATGGTGAGTTCGACGATTTTCGTCCCGGTTAAATCCCAAGTTTTCGCGGCTTCCGGTTCGTTTGAAGGTCTGGAAATATTTTTTTGTAAAGTTAATAATAATATAATTTATTTACAGGCAGAACGAAATAACATATACAAAAAAAGAAGGGAAGAATTGGCAGTTCAGGAGCAAATGCGCTCTAATGAACTTTTTTTGATTTTTCTTTTAAAGCTTTTCGGACATTGATAACGCGAAACGGACGTGCTCCGGACGTTTCTAGGGATCACTTAAGAGTTCTGAGGCTACTAAAGTGGTCACTAGAAATGCCCCGACACATCCGATTCGCGTCCCGTTCGTGTTACCAAGGTTCGAGTTTGTAAGATTTATTTCAGTACTGAAAATACCAAATTAGGCAGGCTGACAGTGAATAGACTACATATGGAGAATTTGCGATTTTATCAAAAAATGCTGGAATTTTTAATTTTTCTAAAGTTTGAAAAAAGCTGTTTTTTCATCAAATCGACCCAAAAAGTTCATTTTTTTGCGAACAGACTATATATTGAAAGTGGCAAAAAATATTATAAAATCACTAGATTCGAAAAATGTGAAATCAGTTAGCAAATCACCGGATCCAAACTCGCATAGGAAATTTGATAACTATGAGCTTCCCCAATTGCGCCAAGACTTTGTTATTATTTTTTCTAGTGAGAAAAAAACCGACTCTTTGCCCCAGCGAAGTAGTCCGTCCAGAGTTCTTTCACTGATATCGAACTTCTTCATTCCATATTCGTAATATCTCAAAGTTGGATAACCGGGAACCACGTGGAGCTGTAGGACGTGGGGATTCTGGAATATTCTTTTGGAAATTTGTCATATTCGCTCCAATAAACATGGTTGTTGACCGCTCGGACATTGGTATACGGACGTGTTCAGGACGTTTCTAGGGACCCCTTAAGAGTTCTGACGCTACTAAAATACTTACTTACTTACTTTGATACTTTGATGGTCCATCTTCGCTGATGTTCTCAGCGTGGACCACACGTTCTCCAGGCGGCTCGGTCTTGCGCGACGGTCATCCAGTGGCGGCCTGGCTGACTGATGTTCTTGCGGAAGTAGTCCGTCCATCTGGTCGGTGGGCGCCCGAGTGGGCGCTTGATGTTTCTCGGAATCCAGTGTGTTAATCTCGTGGACCAGCGGTCGTCTTGTCTGCGGATGACGTGGCCGCCCCAACGATGTTTCCCGCGTTGTATGTGCTCTTCTAGATCCCGGATTTGGGATAGTTGACGGAGGTCTGTGCTCCTCTGTTCTTTTTTCCACTGCTCGAAGCGAGTGGTGCCGATGAGAGCACGTTCCAGTGCGCGGTAGGAAGTTCGTAGGGCGGTTGCATTTTTCTTCGTGTCAGGCCAAACTTCGGTACCGTAGGAGATGGCAGGGATTATCGACGCTTCGAAGATGTGAGCTCGCAGTTTCGGGTCTTTCAGCTGACTGGTGACTTCTTTGATGGAGTTGAAGGCGGCCCATCCAGCGCGTTTGCGTCTGCCGATCTCTGCTTGCAGGTCGTTCACCATGTTTACTTCCCGGCCAAGGTAGATGTAGGATGTGACCTCCTGAAGGTCGCGGCCCTCAAGGGTGACTTTGCCTTGGTCGCAGAAGCGGTTCTTCATCCACTGCGTCTTCTTGACGTTCATCTTAAGGCCGATCTTCTTGCCGACTTCGTCCAGATCGTTCAGCATAGAGGAAAGTTCGGTGGTGGAGCTTGAGAAGAGTACGATGTCGTCGGCGAAGCGGAGGTTTGTGAGGACCTTGCCGTCGATGTTGATGCCTCTGATGTCTGTACTGTCTTCCCAGTCGTGCTCTTCGTCCCATCCAAGTTGGCGCATCGCGTCTTCTAGTGCCGTGGAGAACAACTTGGGGGAGATGGTATCTCCCTGGCGAACACCTTTCCTGATGGGGATCGAAAGCCCCGATATGTCCGTTTCGCTCTGGGCTCTTCTAGGGACCGATATAGAAATGCCCCGATATGTCCGTTTCGCTCTGGGCTCTTCTAGGGACCCCTTAAGAGTTCTGGCTCTACTAAAGTGGTCACTAGAAATGCCCCGACACGTCCGTTTCGCTCTGGGCGATTCTAGGGATCCCTTAAGAGTTCTGACAGAACACCAACGCTACTAAAATGGTCACTAGAAATGCCCCGATATGTCCGTTTCGCTCTGGGCTCTTCTAGGGACCCCTTAAGAGTTCTGGCTCTACTAAAGTGGTCACTAGAAATGCCCCGACACGTCCGTTTCGCTCTGGGCGATTCTAGGGATCCCTTAAGAGTTCTGACGCTACTAAAGTGGTCACTAGAAATGCCCCGACACGTCCGTTTCGCTCTGGGCGTTTCTAGGGACCCCTTAAGAGTTTTGACGCTACTAAAGTGGTCACTAGAAATGCCCCGACACGTCCGTTTCGCTCTGGGCGTTTCTAGGGACCCCTTAAGAGTTTTGACGCTACTAAAGTGGTCACTAGAAATGCCCCGACATGTCTGCTTAAAATATGAAAAAAGGAGATTTTTACAAAATAAGCGATGATTTTGTATGGAAATTTCAATTTCTTTTTCATTTTTCCGGTCAAATTTGTCTTAAAATTGCTTGAAAGTAGATAGTAGGACTGTTAAACCTCAGCATTTCGAAAAAAAAAAATCCTTCAAAACTTTTTTTTTCGTCTTTTTTTATCAGCTTGTTGGCTGAGCGAGTGGGAAAGTTTGGAAAAAAACTATTTTCGAAAAATTTTTCTGTTGAAAAAAAGCTCAGAAAAACCTTTATGTGTTTGAAATATATTTTTTTAAAAGCTGCCTGAAATCTTTAAAAAAATTGGAAAAAAACTTGAAAAAAATTGAAAAAAACTGTCTTAAAAAAACTCCAAAAATTTACAACAGGAACTTTTTCGGGAATTTTTTTGAAAATGGTGATTTTTTTCAAACTTTTTTTCAGCATTTCTGGCGATATATGTGTAAGAAAAAAATGTGAAAATCCATTCGAAAAAGTATCATTTTTTTCAATAAACCTTGTCCCCATCGATCGCCGCGACTTTGAGTTGATATTTTCGTTTTTCGGCAATTTCCACAAATTCCTCAATTATCGGACGAATCTTCTTGCAATGACTGCACCCTGAAGAAAACAAATTATTAGTTTATAATCATAATGATTTTTGGAAAATGAAGGAATATCTGAACTCACATTTCGCGTGAAAAACGATGAGAGAATTGGGATTTTTGGCCAGAAAAGCGTCGAGTTTTCTCTCGTCGACGTGTTCGAGGACCGTTCCCGGATCCTCGTTCCAATCGAGGTCCTGCATTTTTTTTTTGTTAGAACGATTTTGAGCCTTTTTGGGGACATTTTTAGCCACTATAGAGGCTCGACAGGGACTTTTTGTAGAGGACACTAAAGTGGCCATTATTTTCCGTTTTAGTGGCCACTTCAGTAGTTTTCCATCCAGTCTTCCTTCCAGTAACTCTGATAATTTTAAAACAAACAGATTGGACCAGTTATGTTGATCCATTGACCCCTGAAGTGGCCACTAAGTGGTCTAGTAGTAGCACTTAGACCTCTATAGTGGCCACTAGGTTTCAACCCCTTAAGTGGCCACTAATTTGACTACCATAGTGGCCATTAAAACTTCAAAACCCTATAGTGACTACTAAAATTTTTCCCGATTTTATGCCGTGTTCAAAGTAATTTCCGCGAAATGCAAAATGGTCTCTGACTCTCCAAAATTTAGTGATCTTTTCCTTTCTCTAACGGGTATTTTGCATTTCGCGGAAATTACTTTGAACACGGCATAATAAATTTCGTCATTTTTTGGCTAATTTTACACGTTTTTTGATTAGAAATCGATTTTTGAAACATGATCTTTATTATTAAAACTTCTGTAGGGTAAAAAATTGAATACCATAATTTGAAAAAAAATTCCCCACCTCGGACCTTTTTCACCTTGACCGCCCAGGGATTGGATGGTTCTTTAATCCAAGAAAGTAGAGCCGTCTAAAAAAATATTTCTTTCATATTTTTTTCCCCCAAAAACCTTGTCTTTGGCCCCTAAGTAGGGATACAAATCGGTGCCGAGGTCGAAAAAGTGAAGCGATGGGTAGGCGGAAATCTGCAAAAAAGAAGGAATATTGGAGCGGATCCGAACCTGTGACCCTTCGAGTGATAGTTTGGATTTTGTTTCGTACAGCTGATCCACGGCTGGCTTGAGCCATTTAAAAATGGTCCTGACACGATTAAAAAAAAAAGAGATAGTGCCTGGCTCGTGGAGAGCCCAGACAGGCCACGCCCCTTAGCGTCTCAAGCCGTGAATCTATGGAAAAAAAATGTGGATTCTGGCTTGAAATGACTTGAAAATTCCAAAATTAGGGCTATTTAGGTGTCTGGGTAACTCCAGTTTCTATGTTATCTCTAGCTTCCCGAGTTTTTTTTAAAAAAAAAAATAAAGAATCTACTTAAGATTTTAATGTAAAGTGTGTGAGAGAAAAATTTTCTACAATGAATTTTGATTTTTTTATAAATTGGTTACTGTATTTGTCATCTCAAGTCTAAAATTCGGTTAAATGAAGCTGAAAAAAATCAGAATTTCGAAATAATTTAGGAAAGGTTCTCTAGAATGACCCAGGAAAAGATGAAAAAAGTTTTGAAAATTTGTCTTTTTCCGAATTTTTATTTCCTTTTGAAGGCTTGATTTTTTTTTCAAAGCCAAAGTCTCATTTTTTATTTCAGAACAGCCCTTTTAAAAAATTAATTTTGAGGATGGAGTTTACGATTAAAAACACGAAAATTTGAAAATTCTCGATTTTTATGCCTTTTTAGCTTAAGTGGTGATTTTCTGCATATTTCTAGCTTTTTGGTATTTTTCAAAAAAACTTTAAAAAAATCCTCCAGGAAACCCCTTTTTCCTCCTAAAATGAACTCACCTGATAAACTTCGGCAATTTTTCCGATTCCCCGGGTTGCTCATATCCACGGCGGCCAATATCCTGTCCAATTTTTTTGGGTTTTGGCGTCGGTTGCCACGTTTCTTAAAAAAATTATTGAAATTTAGGAAAAATTTTTCAAAAAAATACCCAAAATCCGATTTGACGTTCTTGCAATGTGGACACATGGGCGTGTAGAAAAGCACCAAAGTCGGTTTTTTTCTTTTTCCATTAACTGAAAAAAATTATATCTCTGATTTTTATTGTTCAAAATATCTAATCGAAGCCATTTTATTGAGATATGAGTCTTGTAGCGAAAATTACAGTAATCTGCTACAGAAAGTTAAAGTCTTTTTTTTTTGGAGAGGCTTTTTCTTATAGGCGTTTTGTTTGTGAACTCAGAAAAATTTCATGATTTTTTTCGATTTAATTATTTTTTTCTGACACAATTTGTGTCTTGACACGAAAAACTACCGCAATCCAGGAAACTTTTTTTAGAACTACACGTAATTGTTATTGACGAATGAATCAAGTTATAGCTTTTTTTCGCACTGAATATTGCTTTTTTTCAGATTGGGTCTTGAAGCGACGGATACCGTAATCCCAAGGAAAATATACTTTGAAAATAAAGCATGTTTTTTTCCTTATTTGGATACGCCGACCGTGATTTTGCTTGAATAAATAAAGAATTCCAATTTGCATCCGACTCGATCCAGGACGACGCGTTTTGCTGTCTCTCATCATGATGAGCAAGAAAGAGAGTACTCCTCTTGGAAGCTTGCTTCTTTTTTTCTCCTGCACCTTGACGAAATCGTCCTCGCCATCGACATGGACCACGTCGCGGAGGACTGGATCCTCGTTCCAGGGGCCCTCGGCCATCGGATTCTTCAAAAACGAGACGATTGAGGCTTCGGAGACCTTCCTGTCGTAGTCTTTGCTGAACTCGCCGTTTCTGAAAGTTTGACTGCTTGGAATTCAACTAAAAAGGTACAGGAATAATTTTGGTGCTCTTAGGAAGTGAGAAAGCTGTTTCGGATATAAAGCTGATTCACAGCTGGCTTGAGCCATCGAAAAAAGGGTCCTGACACGAAAAGAGAAGAAAGAGACAGTGCCTGGTTGGTGGAGAGTGCAGACACGCCACGCCTTTTTGCGTCCCAAGCTAGCCGTGAATCGTCTATACCACTTCAAGAAATTTTAATTTTCAACCATAGTACCACGGCTCGTATTCAAATAATACATCCGAATCACGGCTAGCTTGGGACGCTAAGGGGGCGTGGCCTGTCTGGGCTCTCCACGAGCCAGGCTCTATCTCGTGCATTATCGTGTCAGGACCCTTTTTCCAATGGCTCAAGCCTGCCGTGAATCAGCTATATATGTTTGAAAGTGCTCGGAAAAGGTCCTTTAACTTTTTGAAATTATCGTAGTTTCCAAATTTCCCATTTTTTTTTTTAATAACATAGTTTTTGAACTGATATAATAAAATATAGTTTCATAAATTTCCAAAAAAAAAAAGAGAAAAAGGAGTAAAAAACAGCCTCTTCATCTGGGACATTGTTTGCTCTACGGATAACCGTTTTCCATTGGAGAAAACGACTTGATTTTTTCAAGCAGTATATATATATACACTCGACCTTCGGTATCGTAAACCGGACGCTTCTCATGTCAAGTGATCACTTCAGCGGTGTCAGCACTCTTAAGGGATCTCTAGAGCTTCTCAGAAACGTCCGGTTTTCCTTGACAAGAACCTTCTGCTTTGTTCAAAGTATTTTGAATAGGAGTTTAAAATTTCAAAATAGCCGTCAGAGAATGGAAAAGATAACTTAATTTCGGAGAGCCAGAGATGATTTTTTTTTTCGCGGAAATTACTTTGAACACGGCTTTAAAAACCGAGAAGGATTTAAAAATTTGAATGTTAGACTCACTTTTAAGTGATTAGACTTTTTCAGAATTGTTTTTATTCGAGGCAAATTTAGTTGACTCACGCGTAGTGCTTCAATGTGAACGGCTGTGGGTCGGCTTTCATCTTTTTGCAGAGTTTTTGCGAGGAATCGCAATTGATGAATACTGAAATATATTGTTTTTTGAAGCAAAATTGTTCTAAAAAGGTGTGGCTTAATCATTAAAAGTTCCAATTTGGATTCAAAACTTGCGACTTTAAGTGGAGAATGAGCTTCAACTTGAAGATTTTCCTTTTTTTGAGAGAAAATTGAGAAAAATAATATATTACTAACTAATCGTAGCGATGCCAAAGACATTGACAGCCACTTTTTTCATCAAAGGAGTCACATCACTGCCTTTTTTGAAATAATACGCCAGAACATTGTTTTTCGTCCGCAGTAAACTCTTAAAATTGATGTAAACTTCGAAAAAAAAATTTTTTTTAACCTTCAAATCATCGTAGTCCTCCACAAGTATGTAGGATTCATCTTTACAACTCACAAAAATCGCCAAAAATATCAGAAATAACAAAAAACCAGGAATATTTCCCATTTTTGGGAAGCCCTCTAATGAGCAAAAGGCAAATAAAACACGGCCAAAAGATTTTTTTTTTGCAGACTTTTCCACGCCTCTCGTTTTGTTTGACTTTCTCTCGCAAACTGTACAAATTTGGTTAAGATTCAATGAATTCATTGAATCGAATTAGATGTGAGAAAAAAAAGAAGTTTTTTTTGGAGAGCGAATTGAATTAATTTTTCTTAAAATCGCCTCGAAGAGAAAAACGAATAGTTTGTTTTTTTACTTGTGAAACTGGAGAAAGCGGAAGGAATTTTTCACATTTTTCAACGGAGAATCGAATGAAAAAAATAATTTTTAAAAATACATTGAAAGGATGAGAGCGGAATATTCGGGAGAAACGACAAAAAAATCTGGCAAATTTTAAAAATTTAATTTCATTCTAGCTGTTAATATAAGTTTGAATTCCATATCTTCAATGTTTATTTATGAACAATTTGTCAAAACTTGATGCCGTGTTCAAAGTAATTTCCGCGAAATTCAAAAATACCCGTTAGAGAAAGGAAAAAGATCACTAAATTTTTGGAGAGTCAGAGACCATTTTGCATTTCGCGGAAATTACTTTGAACACGGCATGAATAATAAAAAAATAAAATAAATTGTGAACAAAAAAATTCCATCATGTTCGCCCCACTGCAAAACTTTTTTCGCATTGATTTTTTCCTATTTTTTCATTTCGTGTTCACATTTCTCAAATGGCTTTCTTCCAACCTTTTTTTTTCAAATTTCTTTCATTTTTATTACAATGAAAATTAATCAGTTCAGGCATTTAAAGTTTGAAAAAAAAAATTGACGTTTATTTTTCGATAAGTGCTTTTTTTCCACTTTTCGATCAATCAAACGTTGTCCTTGTGCTCATTTTCTTTTTGCTTGTTTCTTTTTAAAAATCGTTTTTTTCCATGTTCCTCACTTGAAATTCAATAATATTTTGAGTTATTTCAGGTTTCCACCGTTGAAATGGATGAAATGATCGCTTCGAGCGGGGCTTTGACTCCCGATATGGTTTATACGGTTTTTAATATGTTTCGCTTCATTTAAACGCATGATTCTGAATTAAGGGCAAAAAACCCCGCGGGCGGCCTGGAAGAAAGCCAAAAGTCGTTGTTCCTCCTCCTGTCGTGACTGATGATGATGGAGAAGGTTACTGTGTCCAGATTTTGAATGTCAAGTCGTCGCTCAAGCTCCGCCCCTAATAACACTATAAACCAATCAGAGAGCTAGCCATCCACTGAGCGTTTTTGAGTGACGTTATTGGACTTGACATTCAAAACCTGAACAGACTATATTTTTCAAATTTCCTTGCCGAAACCGTCTCAAAAACTTGAAATAAAAATGAAATCAGCTCTTAGCTTCGAGACCTTCATGAACTTTGTTTATGCTCCTTTAAATACTTCCGTTAAGAGTTTTCAAACAAGAGATATTTTCAAAGCTTTCCCGTATAATTTTCCGTGTTTTCCAGACAGCTCCGACTCGGTCCGCCGTCGAAGTACACGCGAACGGAAACCCAACCCGAAATTTTATTCGCCAAAAAAATATTCGGGATACGAGAAAAGTGTTGATAATAATGGAAGAAGGGTTAATTTCAGCTTTTTTTTTTCAAATTCAGAAAGCAATTGATGTGGAAAATGAAGGTGTAATTAATGGAAAATGATATTTTTACGTAGGTTTTTCAAATTTCTAGAAATTTAAGGCAATATTCGAGCAAAAAAAGTTTTTTCTATCGTTAATAGGCTCCAGAGTGGTCCCTATAGGGGCTACATTACGGTCCTTGAAGGTTCCCTTTTAGGGACCTTTTTGCCTTCCCTAGCGTTATTGGACTGAGAAAATATTTTTCATTTTAAAATCTGACCAAAGAATAGAAAGACCTTCTAGGGAGCACTTGAGCTTTAGGAACTGAGGGATCACATCGGTAACCCCTTTTTTCAAGCCCGGAGCTGATTTTTCCCTTATCCCTCTAGGGACCGCTTCGGCTTTCCTACAGTGCCGTCAGACTTTGGTCACACCTTTCTTGTCAGGAATTCAGTTTTCCGGAAAGTTTCTGAAGCTGCGTTTTTTTTCTGAAACTCCATCAGAGTGTTCAAAATAACAGTCATCACAACTTCAAAGAGTTTCAGAAAGATTGAAAAAACCCGATTTTCTCGTATCTTTTCTGACGGTACTGTATAGCCGATTCACGGCTAACTTGAGACGCTAAGAGGGCGTGGCCTGTCTGCGCACTCCACCAATTAAGAACTGTTTCTTTTATTCGTGCCAGGACCCTTTTTAGATGGCTCACGCTAGCCGTGAATCAGCTATATGTCCACTAAACATTTTTACTCTGTTACAGCGCGGTTTCGAGCCGAAAGAAGATGATTATGCGATCCGTGAATCGATCGATTTTGTTGACGAGAAGTCGGAAGACGATGACGACGAGGTTGTTTCTCAGGAAATTTCAGTAAAAAACGATCAGTGTTGCATAAAATCCTGGTTCCTAATTTGTGAAGAACGTTCAGTCGAACATTTTTGAACCAATAAATCAGTATTTAAAAAAAAATCATGATCTGAGAACTGATTTTTCAAGTTTGATACACTTCAATTCACTCATTTTGAGCAGATTTGTGTTCTAAATTTTTATAATTTTTAGCGAAATTAAGGAAATTTCAGTAAATTTCCAATTTATCATAAATTTTGAGCATTTTTTAAAATTCCCTCATGATTCTGATCATTTTCTGTGAAGGATTCCGACTGGGAGACGGCACGGAAGCGACGTCGCACCGGACAGAAACCGGCGATATCGCGAGTCGGCCAAATGGCCGTGGTTCCCGTCAAGAAACGCCCATATGTCTATGGCGTTCAGCAGTATCCTCCGGATGAATTGGTGATTTGAAAAAAAAGATTTTATCATGAGATAGCTGAAAAAAGTCCGGTTCAAGTCGGAGAAGAAATATTTGTCAGTAGAGCGCGAATGATGCTGAAGTAGCTATTTCGAAAATGTTGCTTTGAATTGCTCCAACGCATGAAAGGCAACGAATAGGTCACCAGCCATCTAGGGATCACTTAGGTTTTACAAAGCACTTAAGGGATCCCTCAATGTTTGAAATGAAAAAAAAATTGGCGATAGAGCGCGAATGAAGCAGAAATTACCTACTTCGAAACGCAAAATAAATAATTTTGATATGAGAAGACAACGGAAAGGTCACCAGGCTTTTAGGGATTACATAGGTTTCTCGAGGCACTCAAGGGATCACTAGAATGTTTGAAATAAGGAAAATTGGCGATAGAGCGAGAAAATGCTGAGAAATAGCTGTTTGGAAACTTTTATCGAAAATATTCATGAATTTGAAGCGACAACGCACGAAGGAACGGTTCTTAGCCATTTAGTGATCACGTAAGTGATTCCAGCGCACTTAAGTGGCCACTAGGAACATCTCAGGAACCTCCAGTTCGTGTCTGACATGTGAGAAAAGGACATTTGTCAATAGCGCACGAATAAAACGGAGTGCTAATAGATTTTTCTTTATATTGCTTCATAAATGCATCCTCAGCCATTTAGTGGTCCCTTTAGCAACTTCAGCGCACTTAAGGGATCACTGGGATGCCTGCGAAGAAGAAGTTTGTCAGTGGAGCGCGAAAAGGCTGAGAAAAAAAGAAAAATATCTCATTTGAAAATGCTCGCACCAGCATTGGACGATTCTGAGTGATCAATTAAGAGGGCTGACATCGCTAAAGGGATCACTAGTAATTCTTAGAAACGTCCGATTCCCGAATACATCATTGAATTTGAAGCTGCGATGCATGAAGGGCCCCGGAATGCCCCCGTTGCTGCCCCACACGTTGTCCTACAAACGCGAGGCCAACAGCATTTTCCTGCCCCCGATCGACGCCGACATGATCCAGGGCAATGGATTGTGAGAATCAGCTGGAAATTCAAACCTGACCGGAAGAATTCCAGAAATGCCAGTGTCGTGACCTACACGGACTCGGACTTCAAATACGCGCGCGCCGTCCCGAAAACCAAGGCCGACCATGCAGATCCCGAGAAAGTGCGCGCCATCATCGCCGCCGTCAAGAAGTATCCTGGTGAATAAATGAGTTTCCGAAAGATTTTTTTTTTGAGACCCAACAAATCCCCGATTTTCACCATTTTTCGGAGAATCTTAACGAAAAATTGGCTGCAAAAAAGCCTATCTACAAAAATCTTTCTAGCTTTATGATTTTCCCAATTTTCCAGTGATCTGGGACCAACGTCTAACCTGTCACACGGATCCGAAGTACACGCATCGCGCTTGGCGTCAAATCGAAGAGCAACTGAAGTTCGACCCGCAACAGTACCCTTTGCGCCGTCTCAAGCAGATCTGGAAGAACAAGAAGGACTATTATGTGACCGCCACTCATGCGGGAACCATCGAGTCGCGTTGGACCTTCACCAAGTTTTTATTTTTGATTTATGCCGTGTTCAAAGTAATTTCGCGAAATGCAAAATGATCTCTGATTCTCCGAATTTCAGTTATATTTTTCTTTCTCTGACGGCTATTTTGCATTTCGCGAAATTACTTTGAACACGGCATTAAAAAGGAGTTTGGAACCTTGAAAAACGGAAAACACCGGAGTTTAGATCTGGAAAAAAGATTCCTAAATTCCAAAAGAGAAACATTTTTTGGGTAAGCCTAGTGAGTACTTGAAAAAAATACCGTATCGTTCTAATTTTGCTCAATTTTTGGATTTTTTGATTTTAATTACCTGGAAATTTTCAGTCTAGATTTATTTAGATTTGAAAAATATATACATAAGTTTACGGTAGGCAGTGGTCATTTGGGGGTCCAAGGAAAAAATAACCGAAAAATCAGCCGTTCAAAACTAGCAAGAACATTATAAAAAAATGGCCACTAAGCGTCCAAAAAAACGAGCCTAATGAACTTGATTACATGCGCTGTTGAAAATAGGTCCGAAAACTTGAATTTTGAAGAAAATTTGAAAAAAAAATTGAAGAAAATGTTCAATGGACTGGTTATTTTATTTTCTTTTTAGTTGGTCAAAGGGGAATAGTGATTTTCAACTCTGTAATAGGCTTTCTGACTCAATTTTTCCTGACTAGAAAAGTTCTGGTTGTACGTAGAATGGCTTAAATTTGTCGGTTAAATTTAGCAGCTCGCTTTGAAGTTGTTGAATGAGGATCCAAGGCGAAAGTCGTTTTTGGGTCGGGCGCCAAAGCATATTTCGAAATTATAAGGCGGGAAGATAACATGACGTTTTTCTTCAAAATTACTCACATCTTTGCTTTTTTTTAGTACACTGTTTGATTCGCAATCAAAAGCTGTACGAGGTGCTGCTTCCACCTCAAAACCCGTTTTTTTTACTGCCCCTATGCCTTCAAGGCATTTTCCACGCGTAGTGGTTTGTGTGAAGAAAAAATAAAATCAAGATTAATTTTTATGGACGCTGATTTTGAAGTATTTTCCTGAATCCAGCTGTTTTTTCTTCTAAGATTTCCATTATGAGAGAATTTTTGGTAAAGTCAATACTAGGGAACTGGGTTTTGACGGTTCATGAAGCCTGAAAGCAAGCTTTTTATCCTGAGCTTTTTCTTCAAATATTTTTAAAGTCGTAATTTAGAAAATTATCACACAGAAATTCTCACTAGGGACCTGGAATTCTACCGTCCCTGCATCAACTACCGGCTCCAACACACGGTGAACTCTCGAATCGTCGACGATAATGGACTCAGCGAGAAGTTTCTGATCGCCAAGAGGACCTTGATCTGCAGCAGCGACGATAAGCAGAACGTCTTGAGGTGCAAAAAAAAAAATTGAACACAATTCCTTTAAAGTTTTCAATTTTCACTGAAATTTTGACTTAAAAATTGAGTCTCACTTAATTTTAACCTTAAAATCCGGCTAGATAACCGCTATTTCAGACTTTTCACTCCCTAGGCCTGAAAATTTCATAAAAGCAAAATTTAGAGACTTGGAAAATACTAGATTTTTCGCTGATTCCAAAAATACCCTCTTTATCGGTCTTTCTTCTCCTTTTGACCCAAAAATTTGCTTTGAAAAATCGATTTTTTCATCAACTTCAAAAATCATCTTGGTTCAGCTACTTGCTCAAGATGGTGAAGGACGCCTCGGCGCAAGGCCCAGAAAAAGTCGCAGAACTTCTTCACGAGATCGAGAACATCTTCACGAAAAACTATCGGCGAATCTATCGTGATGAGGCGAAAACCCCACCCCGTCGTGTCTCCATGAAACAAAGCCACAATCCTGAATGAAAGTTGTATAAAAATACATTGATGTTTTATTGTTCATGTTTTTTGTTATAAATATTTATTTCGTGTAGATACAAACTGGATTATATATCATAAACGTTGGAAACGATTTTTTCTGCAATCGACGGTGTGTATGCACAGGCGGCGCAAGTCCACGCGCAATTTCGTCAGGTATTTATTTTTTCGCATTTTTTGTTTATTGTTTGATTTTAAATTCGTTCTGTGGTTTCTGAAGACGTATGAGGTTGGAAATCAGCTTGAAAGATGCTTTTCGGTTTTTATATTGGTATGAAAGCACAGGCACGGTTTTTTTTAAAATTGAAAGTATGCTTTGTTTTCATAATTTTTTTGCTTTTCAGGCGTGAATTGAATACTTTACTTCAATTCTAGTGAAAATCAGCAAGTTTGCTTGATGTTCCCCTGCTCGGTGCTCTTATCGGCCCACGCCAGCAATGGTTTTGCTCATAACTCTTCATTTCCAAAGAAAATTCTCAGTTTGGCGCCGAAAATGTAACCTGTACATGTTCGCCGCACTACGATCCTATGCCACACAGGAGCCTCCAGAAGAGATTTCGAATCGGAAGTTGAAACGGCTTTTCAAGGTGAATGGCAAGGAAATAGCGAATTTTATCACCTTTCTTCAAGGTCGCTCAACTCTCGAAAAAGTCGCGATCTTATGAGAATGACAAGATCGACAAGTTGAGGGCGATGGCCGAGTTTGGATTGAAGTTCGTTTTTTTGATCAGGGAAAAAGTGGATTTTCGGGGAAAAATCATAGAAATCGATATTTGAAAGGGAAAAGAGAGGCTCTGAAAATGATCAAATATTGGGTTTTTATCGAAAAAAAAAACCGAAAATTTTGATTTCTAGCACGGAAATTATGGTTAATGATCTGATAGTGACATTTATTTTTTGATTAAAAATGATATTTGAGCGCTAAAAAATAATTTCGACAGTTTTTTTTTCGTTTGAAATGAATTTTTGGGTTAAGCTTCAGATAGAATCTCATTAAAATTCCTAATATTTGGTCATTATTTCTGTTTTTTTAATAGATTTTTCGCTGTTTTTTTCATTATAATTTCGTGAAAAAAACTTATAAATTTTTTTGATTAATTTTATCACTAAAAAAATTAATAGGATAAATCTGAAATTTCATTCCACCTATTTTTTTCAGTGGTTTTTAACAATGCTACCCGGTACACTATTTCCCGAACTTCATTCATTTTTTTGATTTTCGAAGTCTTGAACAAAAAAACTTTTCCTTGAATATTCTATAAAAAAAGAATTTTTTTAGAGAAGACGATTTGGCCGACCTTCCTGTGCACACTCGTCCCGTCGCCAGCAGTTCTCATTCGCCCAAAAAAGCGGCTCATTTATACGCCCTCACCGATATTTATCACAGAGCTCTGAAGGTCCTTTTTGACTAGGGAAAAAAAATATTAAAATTGAGGAAAATCGTTAAAGGAGGGTCAGAATGGTGAATAATGACCGCTAAAAGGGTCCAGAAAGGCAGCAAAAAGGTCTTTTTATCGAGCCTTCCATTTTTTCTAGAGCTTAGAAGGCTGGAAAAAAGGAGAGGCAGCAAAAAGGGTGCATAATAGCCGATGAAATGGCGCAAAGAGGTAGCAAAACAGGATCTTTTCTATGGAGCCTTTTCCACCCTTTCCGCCTACTGGAAAAAATTCCAGTGGCCACTATAGGGGCTCGCCAAGGACTATTTGGAGCGAGTACTAAAGTGGCCACTAACCCCACCTTTATAGTGACCACTATTTTCCGTTTTAGTGGCCACTTCAGTAGTTTTTCATCCAGTAACTCTGATTATTTTAAAACAAACAGACCAGTTATGTTGATCCATTGACCCCTAAAGTGGCCACTAAAATTTTTAGTGGTCTAGTAGTAGCCCTTAGACCTCTATAGTGGCCACTAATTTTTAACCCCTTAAGTGGCCCTTAAATTGACTACTATAGTGGCCACTAAAACGTCAAAAAGCCCTAAAGTGGCCACTAGAAATTTTAGTGGTCTAGTAGTAGCATTTGGACCTCTATAGGGGTCTTCTACTCTCCTCAAGTGGCCACTAAAACTTCAAAACCCTATAGTAGCCACTAAAATTTTCCCAGTATGCTTCAAAAAAAGCTTTATAAGTTCTGAAATTGAACATTTTTGAACACATCGACCAGTTTTCAAGCCCTAAAATTGATTCCAAGGTCTCGAATTTCGAAATCTGTGATTTAAAGACTCTTCTCGGGGATAATATTCCCAATTTGAAGGTCCACGGCAGCACCGAAGCCCTGGAAGCCCACCGACGGCCCCTGGTCGCCATGCGGAAGGAGCTGACGGACGCGGAACGGATGCGTCTCCGGATGCGCGTCGAGACGACCAACACCCAGAAAGGGGCGGATCGCGTCGTCGCCATCGCCTTCACCTTGAACGTCTGCGACATGATTATGAAGGTCGGGAATACTGTTGTGAACCGAAAAGGTTATAGCACATCCCGGGCTAGCTTTCCATAATTTTTAGTCTTCTTAGAAACCCTTCCGGGAAGCTTCCTTTCTTAATATAACGGAAATTTGGGGGTTTATTAAAGGCGCATGAACAGAAGAAGCCGCGCGTTTCGAAGCGAAGGCTTCTGTAGCTTGGGGGATCTAAAGGGGAATGAGATTTATCAGTGAAGCGTGTAGCTTCCAGAAGTTTAATTTTTGAAGGTTACTTTTGCAAAAAAAGAAATGTTCTTATTTTTAGGTTCTCTTGTAGAAAAATTATTTTTGCTTACCGCATTTTTTTCTAGCTGAAATTTAGATTTTTTTCAAATTATGAAAGCCTGGGTTTAGTTTCGATTGGATTTTTCTTGTTTGATTAATTTTTCTGTCTAATGTTATATCATTTCCTTCCTATGTGTACCCTAATTATTTGCGTGGTTTTTGACAATAAATAAATAAATAAATGTTTGTTCTACGGTTTTTCAAGCTGGTTTTTAAATGCGATTCATAAAGTTTCTAAAGTTTTTTTAGTCGATTGAAAAAAAATTTTTCTCGATTTTTTTAAAAAAAGCCGTATTTGTATTTATCGTTGATTAAAAAAATTCAGCAGAGGTTTTTTTTCTGATTTTTCAACATTTTTTTCTGACAATTTTTCAAGATAGCGAGATTTTTAAATGTAATTTATGAATTTTCGGAAGTTTTTTTATCCGGTTTAAAAAGGCTTTCAAAAAAAGTTCTGAAAGTCATATTTAGCATTTATCGTTGGTGAAAAAAACTTGAAAAAAACTTTGGTAGGCGGTTTTTCGAATATTATGAAAAATAATAAATTTATTCAACTAGAAAAAAATCTTATCTTAATAATAATATTTATTTACAGGCAGAACAAAATAAAATGTACAAGACTGATTTTAAAAAAAGAAAAAAATTTGACAATGAAGCTTGAAATAAATAAATAAAAAGGCGATTGAGGCCCTCACGAGCCTCTGACCCATCTTCCTTTGTGCCATGTCCCTTTTTTGCAGTTCACAGCCGCTTACTTAACCGGCTCGAAATCCCTTTTCGCCGAAGCGATCCACAGTACCATGGACACTTGTAACCAACTAATTCTACTCCTCGGTATACGGTATTCGGCCAGGAATCCCGACACGAATTTCCCCTACGGTTACGGTGGGAATCTTAACAATTATCTTGTGGAAAATCAATCTTTTGAAGGGAATATGCGATACGTTACGTCGCTGATTTCTGGCTGTGGAATCATGGCCTTCGGGTGCGGATTGTCGATGTACCACGGTATCAGCGGCCTCCTGAATCCCGGCACCCTTGAGCCTCTCACTTATGTTCGTTTTTTCAGATTTTGGAGGGGGGAAGGCGATTTTGAGGGTAAAATTTACTGAAAAAACAACTGGAAAACTGAAAAATCAGTGGGAAAAAAGGTTTAAAACTGATAATTTTGTGATATTTACTAAAGCCCCTCTAGAGAAAAGGCTGGGAAATTCGTATGGATTGAAATTCAATATAAAAAATTATTACAATATAACAAGTCAAAGCGAATTTTCGAAAACCCTCAAGACCCCACTTTTGTTCACTTTTTAGAGATTTTCGAGCGAAATTTGTAGGAAAAAAGTAGATTTTGATAGTAAAATGTACAGGGAAAAGACTGAGAAGCTTGAATTTAAGTAAGAAAAGTTCAGTAGTGTTCGAATTTCTATAACTCTTGAGCCTCTCACTTATGTTCGTTTTTTACAGATTTTTGAGGAAAAATTGGAGGAAAAAGGAAGATTTTAATGGTAAAATGTACAGGGAAAAAGACTAAAAGTTGAAGTCTAGAGGAAAAAAAAATTGAAGGGTAAAAGAAACTTTCGATTGTAGATTGGAAAACTCGAATGAAGTTGGAAAAAAAAAAGTTTAAGGCTGATAATCTGATGAGAATTACTAGAATCCTAGAGCTCTCTTACTTTCGTTCGCTTTTCACAGTTTTTTGAGCGAATATTCGATGAAAAACGAAGATTTTTATGGTAAGATGTACAGAAAAAGGCTAGGGAACTTGAAAACCAGTAAAAAATATTTTAAACGGGTTATTCAATGCGAATTTTCACAACCGTCGAGCTTCCTACTTTTATTCGCTTTTTTATAGATTTTTGAAGAAAAGCGAAAATTTTGATGGTAAAATGTACAAGGAAAAGGCTGAAAATTGTTGTCTAGACAGAAAAAGTTGAAGGGTTAAAGAGAATTTCGATTGTGGACTGGGAAACTTGAACTTCTCAAGGAAAAAAGGTTTGAATCGAATTTCGATTTTGTTTTTCGCTTTTTAGAGGTTTTGATTTTAAAAAAATTACGTAGGAAAATGAAGATTTTGATAGTTAAATGTACAGTTAACAGGCTGAAACTAGAAACTTAGAAAAAAAAAAATGGTTTGAAATTGGTAATTTAATGCGAATTTCTATAACCCTTGAGCCTCCTACGTGTGTCCGCTTTTCACAGTTTCTGAGCGAAAATCAGAGGAACAAGGTAGATTTTCATGGTAAAAAACTCCGAAACTATCAAATTTTAACGGACCAAAAAATATCGAGAATCTCGAAAATTGCTGCATTTTTCATTCTTAAAAACAATTAAAACTGAAAATTGAACATATATAAATTCGGAAGCTTTCCAATTTTCTCCTTTTTTATTTTACACCGGAGATGCCGTCCCAATAGAAAAACTTGCAATTGTAAATCTTTACTTTCGGAATGAAACGTAGTGGAAACTGGAAATGAACGTGTCACGTCAACTTTTCCATTAGAATAAATTGGAAAATTGCGAGTTTTTTGGTTGAAAATTGAGCTAATGTGCTTGCAGACTGTATTTTGTGTAACTTTTGATTTTATAATATTTTTTTTTGGAGAAGTAAAAATGATTTTAATGAATAACTTTGATAAGTGCGGATAGAAGTTCAGAAAAGGCTCTCCTGCAACATATTGAAGGCATTTGGATTATCAGTTTTCAAATTATCAACAATTGAAGCTGAAAGTTTGGCATAGTTTATGAATCTGAACGTTTTGAATATTTGAATATTAATTTCCTAACGGAATAAGGTGACAATTGTGAGTTTTCTGGTCAAAATTTGAACCAAAAACGCTTCAATAATGTGATTTTTTGTTATTTTTGTAGCTTTTGATTTTTCTTCGTTGGACCCAAAAAGAACCAAATTTTTCGAAAAGATGGGAGCTCGGAAAAATTTTTCTCTTGGTGCATATTCAAATAGTTTGCATTGTTCTTTTTTAAATATCGAAAGAAAAATGAAAATTAAGCAGAAACGAGGTTTTTTCAACTTTTGAAAAAGATTTCACAGTATTGTTATTTTTTTTGGGTTTTTTTCAGCTGTACTATCAGGATATTAAAGAATCTTAAGTTTAGCCATTTTTATCTTAGAAATGAGACGTAGGTGAAACTGGAAATGATCGAGTTACGTTCACTTTTTTCGATAGAATAAATGAAAAATTAACATTTTTTGGTTGAAATTTGAGCCGAATTGCTTCAAAATTATGGTTTTCGTTATTTTTTTGCAGTTTTTTTAAAAGTGTTTTTCTGAAATATTTAAAGGGGGAATTTTTGTTAATTAACTTCAAAAAAAGCGGATCGAAGCTCGGAAAAAGGTTATTCAATGAATTTTTCATTTTCGTTTGCCGAAATATTGAAAATCGAAGCTGAAAAACTGAAAAACTGTGCAGAAAGGAACGTTTTGAATGTTTTTTTCTCAAATAAAAAATATTTTACATCATTTTTTGAAAGAATTAATTGAAAATTACGATTTTTGGTTGAAATTTGAGCCGACTTGCTTCCCAATTGACTTCTATGCGTTATTTTGTAGCCTTATATTTGATTTTTTTTTTTTTTTAACGGTAAAAAATCGATTTTTGAGGCCTATTACGCGCTGTTCATGTCCCTGTGCTTCCAAGGAACTTCGGCGATCACCGCTTATCGCGAAGTTCACGCCAAGGCCAAGAAGGCCAACATCAGCATGTGGAACTATGGTTTGTGGGCTTTTTTTTTCGCGAAAAAAGGGATTTTTCATATTTTCAAGATTTTTTTTAGGGTATCAACCGTCAGAAGACAGCTTTTTGGGTCATGTAGGGTTGCTAGTTTTTTGTGCCTTTTTAAGTGACCCCTTGAGTGATAACTGAGGAGTTCTTTACTAATAATAAAAGAAGCTGGTCGGTTTTACAAGAACTGTACAACGTTTATTCAGAATTTGGAAAATTCCATTTTTGATGTAATATAACTTTTTTTGAAATATCATTTTCGCGCCAAAAATCAACTTTTATCAAGAGAGCGTGAAAATGGCTTTTTTGTTTTCTTGAAAAAAATTTCGGGCTCAAAATAGCCGATTTTCGAGATTTTTTGGGTCATGGAAAGCTCGATGCCTTTTTGAAAATTTGCAGAAATTCTTTAGAGTGGTTTACGAGTGGATAAATAGGAAAAAAAGGTTGAAATAATCTTTTTGGCCTTATAAGATAACTAATTTTTTTAGAACTGCACGAAGGATTTTTAGAGAGATTTAAAAGCGAAAAAGAAAAAAATGAGAAAAAAACTTTGAAAGTATTATTATTTTTTTGAGCCTTGTAAAATTGTCACATTTTTTTAAAAAAACTCCAGAAGAACTTTAGAAGCACATAAATATCGAAAATCTTCGAGTAGGTTTTTTTCTCGGTAAGATCATACATGGCAGAACATTTGTAAAGGCCGCTGACCCTTCTTCCTAAGTTTTTTTCTTAAGTAAATTTAATAATACATTTTTTTAAAGATAAAACTTGTATTGTTGGGGTCGAAAAATACCTCCCGGAGGTTGAAAAATTATTATTATTCCCTAATTTTCCAAAATTTCTATAAGCCGACCCTTCCTGACTAAGTTCTGTACCTGCCCATCTATGGGTAAGATTTCTAGTTTGAAAAAAAAAAAGCCATTTGTGAAACATCAAAAAGTAAAAAAACCAGCGGAAAAGGTCGAAGTTATCATTTTTCAGTAAGAACATCGGCCGATCCATCACTGAACGTTGTTCTTCTTGAAGACACCGCGGCGGTTTCTGGGGTTTCCATGATCATTTTCAAGAAAATATATGTTTTGATGTCTCTAGGTTGGTGTAGCGCTGGTCGCAATTTCATTGTCCTCCGTTCTGAACTCGCCGATTCCCGACTGCTGTGGATCCATCGTCATTGGAGCGCTTTTGGGTAAAAATTTTAAGGAATTTAGCCAGAAAATTGAATATTTTGATGAGAAAAACTGTTTTGACATGGTGACGTAATTACAGCGGAAAACTAAAAAAAAATGGAAATATGATTCATTGTCGATTAAGCGTTTCTAAGTAGATTTCTTAGCCGAAACTTTAATTTTTCAATATAAAGTTCTTTTTTCTAGATAGTACAGTATTATAGCGTGAAACTTTGAAAGGAAAAACATGACTTAATAGATTTTGTTATCATCCTTTTTTGATTATCGTTGGAGCGCTTTTAATCCGGGTCTTGAGCGGAAAAGAGTTAATAAAAAAAAAGGTCTTTAAGTTTCTTATTTTCGGAATCTTTACTTTTTTTTTTGTTTCGAAAAGGTGATCGTGTTCTAATAAGTATATACCTTTTTCATACCTTAATTGAAAAAAAAAGCCAAACTCTGGAAATCCGGTCAGGTATCAAAATTGGAATTTTAGATTTTTAACGATGTGACTTGAGCGGGAAGAACTGAAAAATAAGAACTTTTACTTTAATTTTTGAAATATATAGCTTTTTCAATCGATCCAAGAACAAAAATTAAGAAACGAGTAACTTTACAGGGACCGTCGCTTCATTCATCATTCGAACGAATGCGACACATTTGGTCGGCCGAAGTTTGCCCAAGAGAATCACGGACGATATCGTTTGCCGACTGAACAACGATCCTATGATTAGGTGACTTTTTCCGAAAGAAAAAGAAAATACTTTTATTTTTTTTCGTCTCAGAAAACAGAAAATCAAAATTGTATGAACAAGGAGGTTTCAGTATTTGGAATAAGCTTTTTGATATTCTATCGGATTTTTTATTGTTTGTTCTCTTTTTAATTGAACCTTTTCTGTTTCAGTTTTCAATCTTTAAATGAATTTTGAAGATCTTTATTTTCCTCCATTTCCAGATCCGTCCATGACGTCAAAGCGACAGCTCTGGGCGTTGAACAGAGCCGGTTCAAGGCGGAACTCGATTTCGACGGCCGAATGATCACCAGGGCCTATCTCCACAGTTCCGTCCACATGCCGTCCCTTCTGAAGGCGAGAGAGAATCCTATACTATGACTTTGAAAGCTTAAAACAGGAAAAAAGGGACAAAACTTCTTGTGAGCGCCAGAGTGGTCCCTATAGGGGCTAGGGGGTGAAAAAGTGGCCCTTATAGGGGTAAAAGTGAGGGTGCGGTCCCTATAGAGGTCTTTTTAAATTTTTCCTTCAGATTTAATAGTTTTTAAAATTGTTCAAGAAAATGTGGACGAAGCCGACAAGGGCCCCTAAAGGGACCACTTTGGAGTTCCTGAGTTGGGATTCACCATTAAAGGGAACACTTAAAAGGCCCTAACATCATTCCAAGATGATATTCGTCCAGCTAGCCTCATAGACTGGCCAGCGCCAGAAGGTTACGTTCAAAAATGAACAGGAGAAAAAAAAGCTACCGTAAACTTTTGATCCAAAAAGGTCTGGAAGTCGGGGTTATTTTGGCAGCAATAAAAGTGACAAGCTTGACGGAATCTGGGAAAGCTGGAGTGGGGCTAAAAGCTCCGAAGAAGGTGTAATAAAGGACCTCCCTTAAACGACAATTTAGGACCCACTACAGGGAGCTGGCAAAGCTGGTAGGAGTTCGAGAAAAGACAATTTTCGTGTCAGGACCAATAAGAGTTTGAAAATTAAGAGTCATTCCGAAAATAGGGTTTTAAAGGGCCTTCTACAGAGGATCTCTCAAATGTATCCCCTTTAGTATTATCTGTTCAGATTTTTGATGTCAAGTCCAATGACGTCATTCGAAAACACTCTGTGGATGGCTCGCTCTCTGATTGGTTTATCGCACCATTAGGGGCGGAGCTTGAGCGACGACTAGACATTCAAAATCTGAACAGACTATAGGTTCTAATATACTCCCTAAAGGGCTCACTTCAGCTTTTCCCAGATGGGCTATACGTATAAGTTATCCAACAACTGACTTTCCACTCCTTTTCCAGGAAGTTCAATCGGTGAAAAACGCGGAAGAACTGGAGACCTTCATGGAGCACCACGGAGAGAAGATCATCGATCGACTCGGCGACGAAATCGACCGAATCGAAGGCGAAATCACCAAAAAACATCCGGACATACGGCATGTAGACCTCGAAGCACTGTAGATCGATATAAAACAATCTAGGAGATCATTTTTTGCGTGTAAATACCCCCTTTTTTGTACCTTTCTCCCATTCAATGTGTAGCCGGTTCCACTATTTATTTCCTTTTTTTTGATCGGTTGTGGATAGTTTTCTCTATGATTATGCATGTTCAGGTAGATTGTGCCATTTTTGATGTAATATGGCTTTTTTTTTGAATTGTTCGCGCCAAAATCAAATTTTATCGATAGAGCGCAGTTTCGAGCGTGAAAATGGCTGTTTTTATTTTCTTGAAAATAATTTTGGGCTTCAATGATGAAAAATAGCTAGATTTAGCATTGGAGCGCAGTTTCGAGTTTGAAAATGGCCTTAAAAGTGGTGTCTTTTTCTAGTTTAAAAAGCGGAATTTTTGGCTTCAATAATAGATGATAGCTAGAATTAGCATTGGAGCGCATTTTCCTTCAAAAAGGCGGTCATTTTTTTTGGCTTTTAATTGCTCCCGTTTTAAAAAAAGCGGGAATTATCAATAGAGCGCATTTTTGATGCCGGAATGAGCCTTTAAAAGCGGTTTTTGGGCTTGAAATATGCTCCAATGATAAAAAATAACAAGATTTATCATCAGGGCGCATTTGCTCAGCTCAAAACGGTTTTTATTGATTAAAATAAGGAAGCTAGCAAAAATTTATCATTAGAACATAATTTTTTTCTAGGAAAATGCCCTAAAACCTTTGCGGCCATTTTTTTACAGCTCAATTGTGCTCTATTGATAAAAACTGGTGCTAAATTATCACTGAAGCGCAATTTCAGAACATTTCTAGCCATTTTTACATGATCAAATGCGCTCCATCGAAAAATAAATTCGCCAATCAGAGCCTTTTTTCTCGGTTAATGTACCTCCGATGCGTGTTTTAGGCCACCCGGTTCACCTTTTCCCGGTCATTTTATTCGAATTTCATTGCCATTTTTCTCTTCTTCAATTTCTTTTATTCACTAGCCCTGCCATTCACTTAGATTCTTCATTATTTCCCTATCAGTTCGATTTTTATGGCCTCCGATTACTCGTATTCATTTTTTGTGTGTAAAGCTTTCGATCGAGAAGGATTTCGACTTTTTTTCTTTGTAAAAATTCATTGGAGCTCAAAATTGGCTCATATTTTGATGAGAAGGAACAAAAAATGAGGATTTTTTGTAGCATGGAGCTCGATTTTCTTGGAAATCACGAGAAAAGTGAGTTTTTGCTTTTTTAATGGAGGGAATAGTGTTAAAATCGTATTGATTGGCTTTTTTTCTTATTTCTTTTTAAATTGATCTTTAAAATAACTCATCAATGAAAATAGAAAGTCCTTTTTTTGCAGAAAGAAAGAGAAATTGATTAAAAAAATTAAAAAGTAAGTTTTTTTAAAGTTATTTTTATATTTTAATTGGGAACTTTTATAAATTCCCATCAAAAATGATTAAAAAAAGGCGCCCTCAGATTTAAAAATAATATCAAAATTTCATTTTTATTTCGTTTTTTTGCCGTGTTCAGGTGGCCAAAAAGACCATCTTGGAAGGTGGAAAAAGCGATTTTTTTGGCTCTTGAAGGTATTTTTTTCTACCTTCCTTTCCTTATTTTTATAATAATTATTTTTAAAAAACCCCCTGAGCAATCAAAATTTATTACATGTCGCTCACAAAAATAAACAAAATCAGAACCTATTAGTTTGAAATATTCCTTCTATTCAAAAAATAATATCTTTGAAACTTGAAACTATACATTCTATACAAACGAAAAATCGATTTCTGTCGCCAATTTGAACGCATTTGTCCACCCGCAAAGTTTACCGTTACCTGAAAAAAAAAATGATTTTGAATATTTTTTTGGATATTTTTGTAATGGACTGTCCAAAGGTGTTCCCGCAAAATTCAAAATTATCTCTGACTCTCCGAGATTTAGTTATCTTTTTCCTTCTCTGACGGTTTTTTGGAATTTCACGAGTCAAAGCATCAGAGCTGATTCACGGCTGGCTTGAGCCTTTCTAAAAAAGGCCATATAGAAAAAAACAAATTTCTCAAATTCACCGAATTTTTCCAAACTTTGAACATTTTTTCTAGGATCCGGTTGAGTTATAAAATGGGTAAATAGAATTTTCCGTAAAATATTTTGATTTTCTGAACTTTTTTTTTGAATGCTTTTATTTTTATCTCAATATTACTTACCATTATATTCTTCTCATCATCAGCCTCCTTATGAAGTTGTTCTTCAACGAATTCGAGCAGTTCCGAGATCTCAAAATTCGGATTCGCCAGGGGATCCTGGAAAAAAGAACACACTTTGAAGAAAATTTGAATATTTTGCAGTCAATTTGTCTCGCAGTTAAGAGCGAGTTGAGTAGATTTGCAAGAGTGGCACGTTTTTTTCTTAATTTTGAATTTGATATTTTTGAAAGACCTGAAAAGGACCTTTGGAAAAATTCCTTCAAAAGATCCTTGTCTACTCTATTTTTTAACCTTTTAATTTTTGAAAGGCAACAGAGCCTCAGAGTTTTGCACGTTTTAGTCGAGTCTTTTCATGTGAAAAACATTTGACAACTAATAAGATCTTTTTTCTCATAAATTTTTGAAACTTATGACTCAATTTATAACACTTTCAGACACCAGAAACTTATCTTTCCTCCTCGTAAACGCCTGTTTTTGTTCTTAAACTCACTAGAGATAAAAATAAACGTTGATAAATCGATTAGGACGCTTTTGAGTTTTTTAACTTTATTTTTCTTAACTAATGAGAAAAAAATAGGTTTTAATGTTTTAGTCTCGCCTCTCAAGTCGAGAAAAATACACTATCACCCAGAAATTCCCATCAAAAACTGACTCAAACGAGACGAGGCTCGGCGAGCTGTTTCCGCTGCTCGTCCTGCCGCATCTCCTTGTAGAACTTGTGCATTTGATACCGACGGATCCCGTACCGAACGCAGCTCTTCACGGTGATCACAAAGAAGAAGAGGCAAAGGGCCACGGCCGTCCCGATCCCGATCCACGGGTCGTAGTCTCGGTAAAAGTCGGTCGCTTTCCGGGGAGGGTTCACCTGCAAAAAAGTTGCGATTTTTGAAAGGAAGCTATGTGAAAATGACATTATTACTGTTTATGGATGTTTGAAAAAGAAAAAATTTTCAAGTTTTGGGTATTTTTTTCCCTAATCGTATTTTTGCCTAATAGTATTTCCAAGTTTTCTCAAATCATTGATTTCTTAGAACTCAGAAATTTGTCGATTTTTGTATTTATCGAACGTTTTAGTCCACCCTGCTCAATGTAAAAAAAAGCCTGACAACTTTTTTTCTTCCATTTTTGAAACTTATGACTCAAGTCAGTCCTTTATAACACTTTCAGACACCAGAACCTTATCTTTTTCCCTCGTAAACGCCTATTTTTGTTCTTAAACTCACTAGAGATGAAAATAAACGTTGATAAATCGATTAGGGCGCTTTTGATAAGCGCCTTGATATTGTTGATTTTATTTTTCTGTTTCAAAAGAGATTTTATGAGTTTTAGTACATTTACTGGTAGCTTTGAAAGAAATATGATTATGCGTTGTCGAACTATGGCTCTGATTGGTTGGCCACGCCCATTATTGATTTTTTTGAAAGATTTTTTAGAGCGCACTTGCCCATGAGCTGGTAAGAATAGAAAAAATATTTTTATAGTATACTTTTCAAACATCAAAAGATAAATCAGTTAATCGGCACCTTTTTACGACAAGCACTTTCGCTCTACCGCACTGTTACTTTAATTGGCTGGCCACGCCCATTTTTCATCTTCTTGCAACATTTCTCAAAGCCTATCATCTTCATGAGCTGTAAATAATCGAAAAACATTTTTTTGAGTTTAAACATAGCAAAACGAATCAATAAATCGGCAGCTTTTCAAGGGGTGCAATTTCGCTCCACCGAACTATCACTTTAATTGGCTGGCCACGCCCATTATTGATTGTTTCAAGACTTTCTTGCTCTCTTACAGGTGTTTTTTTGAGCTATAAGAAACCGAGAAAACATTTTTTTATAGTATACTTTTTTTAAACATAGCAACACAAATCAGTTATCACGGTCGCGCAAACTTTTATCACCTACACGTTCCTAAACCAAATTTTGGCCCTTATCGCACTCAAAAGGACCCGCCGAATATAATTCCATTTCGCACTTGATCCCCCGTCATACATTTTTGTGCTTTTTATTTGGAAGTTTTTGTCCGGAAAATGTGGGAAAATGACGTTTTTTTCAGGCTTTTCTTTTGGAAAATGTACTTTTTTTGAGCTTGGTTGATAATTTCACCTTTGAAAAAACGAAAAATCAGACTTTATGTGGAAGTTTTTGTACTGAAATGTGACCAAATGACGTTTTTTGAGGCTTTTCTTTTGGAAAATAGACTATTTTTGAGGTTTTTTGAGGATTTTCGCTATGAAGAAAGGAAAAGTTAGACTTTTTGTGACTTTATTTGGAAGTTTCGTCTTGGAAATACTAAAAGAAGACGTTTTTTGAGGCTTTTTCTTTTTGAAAAAAATGTATTACTTTTTAAGTATAATTGAAGATTTTTGCTTGAAAAAAATTGAGATTTCATACATTTTTGAGCCTTTATTTGGAAGTTATTGTTCTGAAAAATGTTGAAAAAAAAATTTTTTTGAAGTTTTTTTCTCGAAAAAAATGACTATTTTTTTGAGTTTATTCGAAGATTTTTCTGCTTTGAAAAAAATCAAAAAAATTATATTTTTTTAATATTTGGAACGTTTGAAATCTAAAAATGGACATTTTCAAGCTTTAATATTTTATAAATATGACAATTTCATCTTTTTTTCCAGAAGTTTTTTTGACACGAAAAAAATACAGAATTTTTCTAGTTTTTCTGCCATTTTTTTCAACAGTTTTTTTGAATGCAAAAAGACTTTTTTTCCATTTTTTTAAAATTTCAGTACAAACCATGTCTTCTTTCTTTTTCGGTTCTCAAAAAAAGCAACAAAAAAAGTCTAGTTTTTCCCAATAAATTCCCAGAAAATCCTCCATTTTTTTCAACAAGGATCCAGTCCAAAATTGCATGTTACAAAACGTGTAATTTTTGTTTCCATCCCTTATTTTTTCCTGACATTTATTGGAACACACATTTTTCAAGCCATTTTTCCCGTTGTGAAATATAGTTTAGAAGGAATATTTATTTTTTTCGTCTTGTGAGCTTTTTTTCAGTTGATTGTCAGCTCCAAAGGGGGTGGGGTGGAAAAATTTAGATTTCGAGTAATTTTTTTGCTAAAAAAATCGATAAAATATCAGGTTTTATAAATTTTTCCCTGTTGAAATGAATCGGCTGTAAATTCTCCATAGAGCGCAAGTGTAGACGAAAATATCGCTAATAATTTTTTTGCTTTTTTTAGTTTTCAAATCTTGAAGAGTTCGAGGCATTGTAAACTAGTTTAATTAATGTTTTTTTATTCTTATTGACTTTCCTCGAATCAAGAATTTCTTCCTGCTGATCAATGTCTTTTTTCTCGCTTTTTTTGATAGATTTTCGAAAAAAGTTAATCGTTCAGATTTTTGAACTTTCTATTTCGTATTTTTCGATTATTTCAAACAGAAGTATTGAGACAAAATATACACTTGGGCCTTTTTTTCGAATAATCGATCGTTTTTCCATTACCTACAGTACCCTTCTACCAAAAATTTCTGAATGAGATAAATCTCCAAGAAAAACTTGAAACTTATTAAAATGAATATTCTTTAATGTTTTTTTGGCTATTTTTATAGCTTATCCAATATGTTTATCTTTAATTATAGATTTCCTACAGAACCTTATAATTTTTGGATTTTTGGAATATTTCAACTGAAGTCTTCCGAACTTGAAAAACTTTAAAAAACAGGCCTCATTAAAAAAAAAGCGATCCAGCTTGCCAGAGAAGTCTTTTTACACAGGCAAGGTCAAAAAAACCTTAAAAGAAGAGCCTAAATCTTCTTTTTAAGTTACTAGAAACATGCAAAAAGCTTCTCATTATTTCCTTTTTCCGGCCTTCTTTTTTTAAACCTCCTTAAAAAGTCCTTCCCAGAAAAAAGGTCTAGAGGCCTTTTTCCCAAAAGTCCTTTTTGGACTTTGCCCGTGTATGAACTTCCGAAAACTTTCTTGACCAACGTATTCCACCAACTTTTTTGAAATGAAATAAATAAAAAGAAACAGGAAACCTGCATAAAGTCGCGTTTCTCGAGACAAAGTGGGTGGCAGTCGCGGGGCATCGCTGATAACGCCGCCGACGGCTCGCAACCTCCTGAAACTCCTCTTTTTCTTTTTTTTTTCATTTGAAATACATTTTGTAACTGGTTTTAATGGTTCTATTCTCAATATTGAAGTTCAAAACTTGGAAGGGATCTTTCTTTCCAAAAGGTTATTTTGAAATCAAGCTTCCAACGAAGTGTTGGCTCAGAAGTTTCCATTTTTTTGAAAAAGATTTTGGTTGAAGAACAATATTTGAAGTTTTTGGTTAGGAAAAACCTTTTTTTGAGCTTCATTATGTGAATTTTTGTTAGGAAAAATTTTTTTGAAGCCTAATTTTCTAATTTTAGCTCAAAAGGGCTGTTTTTTAAGGCTCACTTTTTGAAATTTGACTAATAAAAAAAACTTTTTTTCGAGGTTTAATATTCAAATTCCGGTCACAAAAAGATTTTTTTATGTTCAATTTTTTTAAAAATTTTTGATCAAAAAAAGGGCTTTTTTTCAAGGCTCAATGCTGGAAATTCGGTTGAGAGAAGCTTTTTTTCTAGGCTCATTATTCGTAATTTTACTTGAGAACATTTTTTTAGGGCTAATTTTTTTAAAAATTTCGGTTAATACAAGTTTTTTTAAGCTTAATAATTCAAATATTGATTGAAAAAAAGTTTTTTTCTGAGGTTCAATATTTTAAATATTGTTCAAGAAAAAGCTCCTTTCGATGCTCAATATCCGAAATTTCCGTTCAGAAAAGATTTTTTTGAGACTTATTTGGAATTTCGGTTACTAAAAAGCTTCTTTTTAAAAGCTGAATAATCAAAATTTTGTTTAAGACAAGCTTTTTTTGAGGTCCAAAATTTTTTTAAATTTATTTTTTTAAAAAAAGAGATGTTTAATATAGTCAATATGCCATGGAAATGTTGGTAAATAAGAGTCGATTATTAAAAAAAATGGTTATTTTTGACGACTATAGTGCTCACATATCAATGTAAGAACTGTAATTTATCGATTTTTCTCTTTTCCTACAAAAATTTTTTTTTCACTGTTTCAAATTTGATTCTAGCTTCATTATCTCTTCAAAAAACCCAACTGTTTCAGGTCGTGACAATCCGAAAAAGGAACGAAAAGGCAAGAAAAGATGGGCGGCGGCAGTTCACGGATTCCGGAGCATGAGCTCGAGCAGCTGAGCATCGAGAGCGGACGTGAGCCTCCTTTCCTTTCCTATGTCCCGACTCGCTCCGGTTTACGCCTTGTTCAGATTGGAGGATCACATGGAGTTTGACCCCTGGAAATCGGAATTTAATCGAAAAATGGGTCCTGACACGAAAAGAAAATAGAGAGTGTCTAGTTGGTGGAGGGTCCGGACAGGCCATGATGGCCGTGAATAGACTTTAGAAAAAAAGCTTGGAGAAATTAAGTTTTCGATGAATTTTGAAATCGAGAAAAATGAAAACGAGCGATTTATGTAGTGAAATTGTACATGGAAAGAACGAGGATCAAAAAAAAAATTTCTTTTCCCATTTTTTCTGACTTTTTCAAATGAATCCAAATAATATTTGACCCTAAAAATCAAATATTTATGTAAAAAAGTCTAAAAATCATATAGAAAAGTTCAATACCACAAAAAAAAGGGAAAAGAGCGATCCATGTAGAGAAAATGTACGTGGAAAATCTTGAAACTTAATATTTTTTTCATATTTTTTTCGAGTGATTTCCGTAAAAAAATTTTTATATTCAACAGGAAAAATTCGACAAAATCGTGTTCAAGCAAAGAATTTGTACATGGAGAAAACCAGAATTCGAAAAAAAAAGTATTTTTCGAAATTTACGAATGGATTTGCTCTGAATGAATCTACATAGAAATTGACCCAAAAACGAATTTTTTTAAGAAGAAAATTTTTGGAAAAAAATGGAGAAAATGTGGAGTTTAATTTGCCAGTAGGATGACTGAGGAAATTTTAAATAAGTTTGAAAAAAATTAATATAATAGGAAAAAATGGAAAAGAGCGATTTTTGTAGAGAAATTGTACATGGAAAAGACACAAAATGATATTAAAAAAATGATTTTTTTCGAAAATTTTGATGTTTCTATACGAAAAAAATCGACAATTCTTGTAGAGAAAATGTGCATGAAAAAAATTCGAGATCTAAAAAAAAATTTTTTTAGTAATTTTTGGTAGGATTCAAATGCAAATGAATTTTATAGAAAGTAAAAAGAAGTTTAGAAAATTCCCAATTTTTTTCGACGATACGTAAAAAAATTCGAACCTTATCGAAAAAAAGCTAGAGGTAAAATAGACAAATTTTTAAATGAGAAGTAGAAAAAAAGGGAATTATCCAATAAGTGTGAAGAAACAAAAGTAAAAGGAATACGGGACGAAGAAAAATCGAAAAGAGAAAAAAAGTCGTGGGAATTTCCCACGCATTTCTGCAAGAAATGTAGCCCTAGGCGCTAATTTTTGATGTCAGAAGAGGAGACTTTTGAACTTTTTCGGGGCAAAAATAAGGCAGATCTTCGAGTTTTCAATGTGAAATAGAAGCTGATTTTTGCTCGAAAAATCATAAAAATATGAAAAATGACCCCGAAATCACAATTTAAATGCAAAGACTTTAATTGAAAACGAAGCGATCGCATTTTAAAGGCTTCTGACAGCTTATTTAACAAGTTTCGAAGTTGGAATTGAAAACGTTGGCCCGAAAAGAAAGTTTTCTATTGGAAATTCATAAAAGAAATGGAAAAATCGACTTGAAAAAAAAAGTGTCCGCACTTTAAAAACCTCCTTTTTTCCGTAGGCGTTTTCCCATGTTTATGTTTGACAGAATTGTTTATTTCTTCTTTGAAACATTCATTTTGCGGAAACTAGATATTTCAACTTGACGTGTTGGACATTAGAAAGTAAGAGCTTCAATGTCGCTTTTAATTGGAAAAATGCTTCATTTTGAATGATTTTTACTCATTTTTAGCTTTGAAACCTCACAAAAAAACATTTAAAAAGCTTCAGGAAGTAAAAAAAAAAGAGACATGGCCACGAAAAAGCTGGAAAATAATGGTTTGAAAGGTAGAAATCTGTAATTTTTGACTGGTCGGGGAGCTCGAAAACCTTTGAAGCAATTTTTACTAGGAAAATTTCAAGTGGCCACTATAGAGGCTCCCCAAGGACTACTTGGAGAGGACACTATAGTGGTCACTTCAGTAGTTTTTCATCCAGTATTCCTTCCAGTAACTCTGGCAACTTTAAAAAAAAACAGATTGGACCAGTTATGTTGATCCATTGACCCCTAAAGTGGCCACTAAAATTTTTAGTGGTCTAGTAGTAGCCCTTAGATCTCTATAGTGGCCACTAATTTTTAACCCCTTAAGAGGTCACTAATTTGACTACTATAGTGGCCACTAAAACGTCAAAACCCTTTAGGGGCCACTTAAAATTTTCGCAGCGCGCTGTAGCGCAACAAATTGTGGGCTTGTCTAAGGTTCAAAGGGTCGCAAGTTCGATCCCCGCCGCGGCGTTTTTCTTTTGCTGTTTCTCAAAGCTGATGAATCTATGAAATGAAAATGAAACGAAATCCAGATAAAGCCCCTCCATTTTGTCTTTAAATAACGAGCATTTCAGTGTCCCGGAAGGGAATCATGACCCTCTACAACCGATTCATCTCCCTGGCGACCCATCGCGACAAGACCACCAACGAATATTTCCTGACCAAGGGCGACTTTCAATCGATCGTCGAACTCAAACAGAACCCCCTCGGCGACCGCATCATCGACGCCTTCTTCGCCGACGCCGAGTTAGTTTTAGTGGTCCCTGGAGGGACTTCTTAGAATGAAAACATGATAAATGTCAGAGTGGGGCCTTGGTAACGCAAGGCGGACGCGCTCCGGACGGCTCGGACCATTTCTAGTGACAACTTTAGTGACGCCATCCCTCTTAAGTGATCCCTAGAATCGCTCAGAAGGTTTCGGAGTGACTCTGTTAGTTTAAATGATCACTTGGGAGCTGGAAGAGTTAATAAGTGGTCCCTAGAGGGGCTTCTTAGAATAAAAAAAAGGAAATGGCTGGACTCTGGACGGCTCGGACCATTTCTAGTGACCACTTTAGTATCGTCATCCCTCTTAAGTGGTCCCTAGAATCGCTTATAAGCTTCCGGAGCGACTCTGTTAGTTTAAATGGCCACTTAGGAGCTGGAAAAGTTAATAAGTGGTCCCTAGAGGGGCTTCTTAGAATGAAAACAGGGGCTCAGGACCATTTCTAGTGACCACTTTAGTGTTATCAGCACCCTTAAATGATCCCTAGAATCGCTCAGAAGCTTTCGGAGCGACGCTGTTAGTTTAAATGATCACTTATGAGCTGGAAGAGTTAGTAAGTGGTCCCTAGAGGTATTTTAAGCAGAACAGTGTTCAAAAATGAGAAGAAAGCTTCGAAAAGGGCTCTATTAGTTAAAATGGGCCCTTGGAAGCTTCAAGAGCTGTTTAGTGGCCCCTAAAGGGGTCTTAAATATTGGAAGTAGTGAAAAATGAAGCTTTTAGGTCTAGTGATCCCTGGAGTGATTTGAAAAAAAAAACCGAATGAAGAAGTAGGAAAAAGAAGTTATCAGTAGGATTGGTCACTTGGAAGCTTCAATAGATTTTGAGTGGCCCCTAGAGGGATTTAAAAAATGACAATGTATAAAAGTACGATTTGGAGAGATAGCTGTCTGTAGGAGTGACCACTTAAGGGCTGGAATAGATCCTTAGTGACCTCTTAAGTGATTGAATTCAGGCACTAGTTTTAGTGAGTCGATTAATTTGAGAAAAAAAAGTGAAAAATTGGATAAAGTGCTTCTTTTTGAAATTCTAGTGGTCCCTGGAGGGATTTTTCTTTTAACATGAGAAAATCAAATGAAAAAGCTTCGAAACTGAGGCTGGGAGTAGGATAGGTGCTTGGATAGGTTTCTAGTGGTCCCTAGAGGGATTTAATTGAAAAAAAAAGAGTTTTAGAAATTTTGCTTTCAGTTCAAGTGGTCCTTAAGCGATTTTTTTGCCAAAATTAATTGAAGCATGGAAAAAGGTCCTTCCTTCCTTTAGAGCTTGAGCTGATAATTTAAGGGATCACTTAAAGACTTTAATAAATGTTTAGTGGGCCCTTGAGTGATTTCATTGCAGCAATAGATGCATGGCTTTACGAAAACCTCTTCGAATAACTATAAAAACTTTTAAATCATAACTTTGGTGTTTGAAAAAGGTAAGTTATCTAGGGGTGACCTTCTAAGGGATCATTTTAGGGCCTAGAGATGTCTTGAGTGGTTTTCTGTGAGATACGAAAAGTCAAAAGAAGAGCCTACAGGGAATAGTGGTCACTCCAGGGACAGAGATATATGAAAAGTAAGAAAAAGCATCCGTTTGGTGCAAAATAACCGCTGAAAGTGGAGAAAGCTGGGTTTTTCTCCTTTTCGAGAAGAAGAAACGCGAGACTCGTCAACACGTTTAATTGATAGTCACGCCAATCTTGCCCTTATTATTATTTCGTTTTTCTTGAAACGAATCTTTGACCATTGACACTTTGAGGATTTTACTGTTGCGAGTTTGATGTGTAATTGCGAATTATTACTTAATTATTAGTCAGTTTACAGGTGTGGTTTTTAGTGGACACTTTAGTGGTCGAATGAGTGGCCTCTTTGGAAGTCTAAGAGGTACTACTAGGCAATTCAAACCACTATAGTGAGCTCTAAGTCAAAAATTAGAGGCCTCTCTAGAGGTTGTTCGAGGGGACACTTTAGGGTTTCCACGTGTCAGTGCCCACTATAGTGGTCGAATTGGTAATCACTTAAGTGACAAAAAATGAGTGACCTCTTTAGAAGTCTAAGAGGCTATTAGGCATCTCAAACCACTATAGTGGTCACTAAGACACAAAATAGGGGCTTCTCTAGAGGTGGTTTTAGGGGTAACTTTAGGGTTTTAAAGTTCCAGTGCCCACTATAGCGGTTGAATCAGTGGCCTCTTCAGAAGTCTGTAAATTACTACTAGACAACTCAAACTACTATAGTGGTCACTAAGACACAAATTAGTGGCGTCTACAGGGCTACAGGGTTTTTTTAGTGGATACTTTAGGGTTTCAACGTTTCAGTGCTCAGTATAGTGGTCGAATTAGTGACCTCTTTAGAAGTCTAAAAGGTGCTTAAACTACTATAGTGGTCACTAAGACACAAAATAGTGGCTTATACACGTATGTGACCTCTTTAGTGTCCTCTCCAAGTAGTCCTTAAGGAACCCCTTGAATTTTCTAAAGTTTACTAAGTTTCAATACTGCACTTGGAAGCTGCAGAGTGGTCCCTGTAGGGGCCTTGGAAGGCACCCCCTTTAGGGACCACTCAATTTAGCCCTATAGGGGCCACTAAAGCGTGAAAAAGGAGCTTTTGAACTTTGAAGAAGCATTTTCTCAATAAATTCGCATTTTCGAATGAAAAATATAAAAAAGAGAATCAAAACCTCTATGGGGACCACTCTGTGGCTCTTCATTTAAGGGGGTTTTAAGGGATCATTCAAGGGATCATTTGAGGGATCAGAGGCCACTTAAGCGGTCATTTCCAGAAAGAATGTACGAAAAATAAAATTTTAAACATTATTTATAATTCCAACTCTAACCAAAGCTTGAAATGAGAAAAAGAAAAATTTCGAAAATTGACGATTGAGGCTTTTTAATAGACGGTTTTGTAGTAAGAAAAAAGAAATGTAAATTTCGATCCAATTCGGATCCCGAAATTCGCCTCAGAAACAGAGGAAAATTGGCGGCTGCCGCAGCAAAATGGCCAATTTCCTTCGCCTTTTTTCCCCCGTTTGAATTGGATCTTTAAAGTGCGGACACTTTGTTTTGAGACCAGAAAAAGTTATTGGGAAGGTTTTGAAATCCGATATTTTCTGAAATTTTTTCGTCGAAAAAATTTTTTCCAATGATTTTCAGGACATGTAGAACTGATCTATGACTTAACAAGGTCAACATCTTTCCATTTGGCGTAAACCGTTTTTGGGTCGGGCGCATCTGAATTTTGAAAAAAATCTTGTGATTTTTCGTCATTTTTTTCCGGTTTTTCTAGGTATACTAAAAAAATTAAATTTTTTTGAAAAAAATGATTTTATTTTTGCTTTTTTTATTTTATCTTACATTTCAAAAAAATGCTTCGAAAATTTACGAGTTAAAATAATGATTTTTAAAAAAACTTTTTTTAATTATTCATGCGCCCGACCTGAAGCGACTAACGCTTTGGTTTAAAAATATTTTTTTCACACCGCAAATCCCCAAAGAATGGAAGTTTTGTTAAAATTAAGATGCGCCCGACCGGAAGCGGCTTACGCCAAATACTAGAGGGGGATGCTTTTTTCCTCTAAATTTTTCTGGAAGCTTTAGGGAGAGTCTTCCTGTTCCGCAGTAGCTTATCACATTAAAAAAATTCCTATTTTAATATTTTTTTGAATCAAAAAAAGCAACCAGAAAACGTGGAAAAAAATCGAAAATCAAACAAAAAAGGAAAAGGAGAAGCCGTCCCACTGCAATTTGCCCTTTTATGGGCAATCTGCAGCGCTTCTTCTCTTTTTTCTATTATTTGAACGAAGAAAAGAAGGAATTTTGTATCTTTTGGACAAGGAGAAGAGAAAAAAATTTTTGGAATTTTTGAAGAAGATTATGACTGAAAAGATTAAAAAAATCGAATTTTTTTCAACTCAGGATGATTTTTATGATACCAAAAATTTGTATTTTTTTCGAAAATACCTCCAAAAAAATAGTGATGGGGGTTGGAAAATCAACGGAAAATCTAGTGAAAAAAATAACAATTTTTATTGAAATTTTGAAAAATATTTTTTTGAAGCTTTTTCGGTCAAAATTAAGGACAAAAAATTATAAACAAAAAAAATTACGATAATAACGAAAAAAATATTTATAAGGCTTGGAAGTTCATAAAATAGAGCGATTTTTCAGGAGACTTTATACAGATTTTCTCAATTTTTTTGCTTCATTCCTATTTTTTTCAATTTTTTTCTCTTGATTTACATCAATTCTAAAACATTAAAAAGTTTCCATTAAAAACCTCTAAAAAATTCCTATAATCTTCCAAAAAAAGATAAGTTATTTTGACGGCTCTCGGAATATATAGAAAAAAAGAAATGGGCAAGAAAATGCAAATTGAATGTTTTTTTCCACAGAGCCACTGGGCGGCTTAACGTATTTTTTTCTGATAAAAAAATATTGGAAAGCCCAGATTTTTTTGGTCAGTTTTTTTCGAGGAATTGGAGGAATTTTTGGAATTTTGTAGTTTTTGGCGTTTTTTTGTCGAGTTTAGGAGCTGAAATTTGTGTAAGAAGATTATTTAAAAAAATTATTAAGACTTGAGAATTTTTTTCGAAACATCATTTCCAATGAGAAAACTCACTGAAAATTTAAAAATGAGTCATATTTTTTTGAAAAAAATGACGGAGTTTTTTTCCAAAAAAATATTATTTTTTTAATGCTTTTTTTGCATTTTTCTTGTTTATTTTCTTAAATTTGATTCATTTTTTTCAATTTTTTTCACAGTATAATAAAATATATTATAAATAAGAAAAATAAGCGATTTTTCAAAAAAATAAAAGACGTTATCAATGGAGCGCACATAATCTGATTTTTCGGCTTATTTATCGAAGATTTTTTTAATTTTTTTATCGTTTTTTTCCAAATTAAATTAAGAACAGGAAAAAAATCAAAAATTGTCGTTTTACATTCATAAAAAGTCTTGAAAGTTTCGCAAAATATTATTTTTTTCTGAAAAATTTTTTTCAATTTTTTTCTTTTTCGAATTTTTTTGAGAATTCTAGCTTAATTTTTGATCTTCAACTTCACTAAAATCGACTTTTTTTGATTTTTCTTGTTGGATAATCACAAGGGAAAAAAAACATATATCAAAGAAATTTGGATTGAAAAAAATCAGAAAAAAATCAATTTTTCTTAAGAGGATTTTTCAGCCTTCCGGATAAATTTTTCCCTAGAAAAGATCAACTTTTTCCCTTATTCAATCAAAAAAACCACATGTAGTATCTAAAAAAATTTTTGTTCATTTTTCAAAAAAAGTTATGAAATTTCCAAGAAAAAAAACGGCGGAAAAATTGTAGGCGAAAGGCAGATTTGTCCGTCCGTCCCGGGAGCTTCTGTGAGTGGCGACATTTCCGCTCCCCCTTTTTTTTTGTCTATTTTCCACTCGATTCTCTTTATTTCCCAGTCAGTTTTCTTCGCAACGAATGCTAATATGTTAATAATAATGGCCAATTTTTAAGCAATTGGAAAACAAAAAAAAATTGGAAATTTAACTCACTTTCCGGTTTCAGCTGGATTATGAAGATTTTAACAAATTTTTTGATATGATTATTTCATCTTCTGGGTTTGAATAATTGGACGAATGGTATCTCGGAAAATTGTAGTGGCCTCTTTAGGGTTTTGACGTCTTAGTGGTCACTTAAGTGACTCAAATTTGGCGGCTCATTTTAGGGGTCTTAGTGGACCAAAACAAAACTACTATAGTGGCCACTTAGACGCCCACAATGACTACTATAAAAAACTACTATAGTGGTCACTTAGACACTCAATAGCGGGTCCTATAGAGGTGGTTTTAGTGGCCATTTTAGTGCTCTTACCAAATAATCCTTGAGGAGCTTCTTAAGTGGTTCCTAGAATTTTTCCCTATCCCATTTTCAAGCTTTTTTTGAACCAAAAATCGAACTTCTGTGTAGAAAAAATTTCAAAAAAGCATCTGAGAAAAAGAAAACTCAAAAATTTCTTATCTTACACTGAATTAACTCGAAATAGAATAAAAAATAACAAAATCCAGATAAAAAAGAATAAAAATGGGTTCACTGGAGCGAATAATCAACCTTACACTTGGCCGCATCTTCAATTCTTTTTTTCAATTATCCAAAACGAGGCTGGAAAGAGGCTAAGTGACCGCTTAAGCGGCTTCTGATCCCTTGAGTGATCCCTCAGGAAGCTTTGAGTGACTTGATTCTGTTTTTATGTAGATGTTTTCAACGTGGAAGTTATCTGTTTCATAAAAAAAAAACGAAAAAGTTCTTTAAAAATTCGATATTCAATGGAAACCTTGAGTGGCCGCTTAAGGGGCTTCTTAGGAGTTTTTTCTGTTTTTTTTTAAAAAGACTGAAAGCGACAAGAAAACGCCTTGAAACCATTTAAATTTCGAAAAAGAGCTTGTGAGGATCAAGTGATTGCCTAAGTGGTCGCTTAAGGGACTTCTCCTAGTTTCTTTCAGATTTCTTACGAGCTCGTAGGAGTTGAGCAATCACTTGAGTGGCCGCTTAAGTGGCTTTTCAAGGTCTCTTCCTTGTTTTTGAGAAGCTTCAGACATGAGATTCAATTTCAAAAAAATAATAAAATGAAAAATTGTGAGAGTTTAGCACCAAATGCTTACAAAGATCAAGTGATCGCTTAAGTGGCCCCTTAAGTGGCTCCTTTTCAGATTTATCAAGGTAGGAAATGCAATAAACAGGTAGAAACCCAGAAGCCTTTCAAATTTACGAGAAAAAAAGCTTGTTAGGATTAAGTAATCGTTTAAGTGGCCGCTTAAGTGGCTTCTTATAACCCCCACCTGGTTTTCGAGAAGCTTCAGACATGAGATTCAATAAAAGAAAATAATAAAAAAACGGAAAAATATTGAGAAGTTCGCACAAAACGCTTGTAAAGATCAAGTGGTTGCTTAAGTGGCTTCTTTTCAGGTTTGTCAAGGTAAGAGATGCAATAAAAAAGTAGAAGCTGTGAATTTTTGTATATTTCTTCACTTTCAGGGGTCAAGTGATTGTTTAAGTTGCCGCTTAAGTGGTTTCTAATTGTTCATCTAGAATCTCGAAATGAGATATGTGATAGCCGAGTAGAAGCCTTGAAATTTCGCACAAAAAAGGTAAGGATCAAGTGATTGCTTGAGTGACCCCTTAAGTGACTTCCTGGTTTTTTAAGAAGCTTGATGTAAATAGAAGCAAAAATCTTATGAACTTTTGCCCAAAAAGGCTCGCAGGAATCGAAAAAGCGATTGAGTGGACACTATAGTGACTTGTATAACTATTTTTTACAGATTTATCAAGAAGCCAAAGATGGGTGAGGCATTGAACAAGTAGAAACTTTGGAACTTTGTAAACTCTTGCACGAAAAGAAAAATAACAAAAGGTGCAGTCGAAGTAGTGATTTACAACCGCCGAGAGCCCGAAGAAAAAGGCGTCAGCTGCCGTGTTTGCGCTTCTTTTCCTCCCCTGCTTTCCCGTCTTTTATTCCTTCCCCCAAATGAGAAAAATCCCAAAACCGCAATCCATTCAATAAAATTCATCTTTTTTGCTTCCATGATGAGCTGAAAATTGAATTTTTGATTTTTGAAAGGGGAAAAGTCAATTTTTTTTTTATTCATAGTGATTTAATCTACATTGAATGGTTTGTGAAATGATTTCAAATGAAAATAATTTGAAAGCGCTAGTCGAAATTTTGAACTTATCCAAGACAAATCTGAAAAAAAATTTACGGCTTGTAACTCAAATAAATAATTAAAAAAATTACATAAATAAAATTTTTTTGATCGATTTGCCATTTTTTTAAAGTATAGTGTTTGCACCTGGAATGACTAAAATTGTCGCGCGCCCGACCTGAAACGACTTGCGCGGCTTGGCATCGAATAACGTTGACGCGAGCCCCGCAAAGACGAACCGCAACGCGACCGCGACGCTTTGAGCCATTCCCTGTGCGACCCCGCAGTGGAAGTTTCCAATCAGTGTCTTACAGTACCTACATAGAATCATCGGAAAGTTAAAAAAAGTGGGAATTTTTCTTAAAAGACCAAAAAAGGCCAGCAAAGTGTTCTGGAAAGTGAGTTTCGACGAAAAAATTAATTTTTCTTCAAATTTTCAAAATCTCCTAAAAAAAGATCTATTTTCAATGCTCAAAATATCAAGCCAAAATAGACCTAACTTAGAAAATCCAAAGTTGTCCCTATAGGGGTTAAGAGGGGAAAACAACCTTTAAAGGGGACAAAAAGTGGTCCCTATAGGGGTAAAATTAAGGTGGACCCTATAGGGGTTTAAGGTCTGACCCGTCAGCCCCTAAAGCTCAAGTGGACCCTAAAGGGGTGAACAGTTTTAATCCTGAGTCCTTAAAGCTCAAGTGGGCACTATAGGGGTCTCTCATATTAATTGAAAAACCGCTTTTTTTTCAGTTTTTCTCATGAAAATGTTTCTTCTCTTAAAGTTCATTGGGCCCCTTTTGCAAGCTTTAGTGGCTCCTATAGGGTTTGATAAAGTGTTCCCTAGAACGGACCCTCCAAGAGCCCCTATAGGGACCACTCTGGACTTCCCAAGAACGTTCACCCATTTTTATAAGCCAAACCCAAAAAAATAACAAAATAACTGGACGAAAAAGGTAAGAGGGGTTGGATGGAATGCATTATTAATATGGGACATTTTTTTCCCAAAAAACTTTTTCCCCATTTTTTTCACGCCGCAGTTCAAAAGTTGCTGAAAATGCATTCGTGTGACGAATTTCTTGACGCCTTTTTTTCCCGCCCACTCTTGGATGGTGGCAAATTGAGTTTTTATTGGTTTTTTTTTTTTCTTGGTGCCGAAGGAAATTAAAGAGGAAACTCGGCGTGGTGGTCTTGAACGCGTTTTTGATTTTTCGCCGAAAATTCGGCCAATTTTTGAGAAAATTGGGAAAGATTGGGAGTTTTAGATACGGTAGTTTGGTTACTGTGGGATTTTTAAAATTTGAAACTTTTTTTCTCGAAATTGGCCTTGAAAATTATTGTTTAAAAAGTTCTGAAAATTTCCAGAAATTGTTTTGGCTACCGTACCCAAGGTACTGTAATAATTTATTGTGCAGATTCTCGGGATTTTTAATTAAAGTACTAAAAAGGAGGTTATGGATCATTTTCAATGAAAAAACTCCCCCTAAAAATTAAATTTCGTGTGAATTTAGGTCACTGGAAACTCAAAATTTTCAATTTTACAGTCAAAATATACAATAATCCGATTACGGTAGCTGAAACTTGCCTATATACTTCAAAAATCGAACCTCAGTGATCATAAAGTTTACCTGATACTAGTAGGAAAAAAATCTGAAAGCTTGAAATCCATCGAAAAATCAGTAGAAGCACTGAAATTCTTCAGAAAATCATCAAAACCCGAATTTTTTAATCAAACAAAAACAGACACACGAAAAAAGGAAAAGACGAAGTAAATAGACCAGGATGACAAAGGACGAGCCCCTAAATATGATTTGAGCGTCGAGAAAAAGAAGGAAAGAAAAAAAAATGCGGAATGAAAGAAAGGAACGAGAAAAGAAAGGAGAAGACGGAGGCATTAGGCGGTTGTCCCGCGGGATTCCTCAAAAGATTTTCCCCTCCCAACCAAAATCGCCCCCCGACCAACTCGAGATTGAACCATTTGGAGGCGGGAAATAAAAAAGTGTTCGCAGTTTCGAGGTGGTCGAAGAAGTGGGTTTTTTGAGGATTTTTCGCAGTTTTGAGTGCATTTTTGCCTTTATAGGGACTACTAGAAGCTTGAAATCCTATGGGAGTCACTAGAATCTTGAAACTCTTAAGGGACCACTAATAATTGACCTCGGTAGGGACCACTAGAAGCCTAAAATCCTACGAGAAACGCAACTCTTAAGTGGCCACTGATTTTTGGCCTCTTCAAGGACCACTAAAAGCCCAAAATTGTATAAAGGGCCACTAGAAGCCTGAAACCCTTAAGTGGCCACTGATTCCTGACCGCTATATTGACCACTGAAAGCCTAAAATGCTATAGGAAACACTAGAGGCTTGAAACCCTTAAGTGGGCACTGATTTTCGACCGCTATAGTGACCACTTGAAGTTGAAACTCTTCAGTCTCATCACTCTTAAGTGGCTACTTATTTTCAACCGCTCTTGTGTCCACTTAAAGCCAAAAATATTAAGGAGACTCTAGTAGCTTGAAACTCTTAAGTGGCTACTGATTATTGACTTCTGTAGGGGCCTCCAGAAGTCTGAAAAGATATAGGAGTCACTAAAAGCTCGAAACTCTTAAGTGGCCATTGATTTTAGACCTCTTTAGGGGCCACTAAGAGCCTAAAATCGTATTGGGGTCACTTGAAGTCTGAAACTCTTAAGGGGTCACGAATTTTTGACCGCTATAGTGACCACTAGAAGTACAAAGCCTATTTTGATCACTAAAATATTAGATTATTATTTTCCGTCTCTAGAGTGACCACTAGGAACTGGGAGCCCATGATGTCACTAGAAGCCTAAAACCCTTAAGTGGCCATTTTGAGCTTGTAGAGGGACAACGTAAGCCCAAACTCTAAATGACTTAAAAAATGAAAAAAAGAGTTAATTTTCCAAGAAAATTGAGAAGGATCGCAATTTTGCAACGGAGATGAGGGGAAAAATTTCGAAAATGCTCGCAGTTTTGAGAAAATCCGCACTCTTGGGGCTCATTTTCGTCGCAATTACAAATGTGTTCGTGTTTCTGACAGCTTGGAGTAGTTACTGGATTTTGTCTGGAAAGTACGGAATAATCATGAAAATCTGGAATAAGAAAATTTTTTAGTTTTCATGGTCCTCTTGATTATTTCTGTTTCCAGTAAATTTTGAAATAATGGTATTTTCTGGCTTCTTAATGCAGTTTTGTAGTTGAAAAATCACGATTTTCATTTTTATAATCTTGAAAAAAGGGTATATTAAAATTTTGTCCTTTAAAGGCATAGGGGCAGTAAAAAATGGGGTTTCAGGTGAAAGCAGCATCTTATATAGTTTTTTATTGCGAATCGAATGGTGTACTCAAAAAAATTACAGATGTGACAACTTTAGAAGAAAAACGCGATTTCACTTTCCCGCCTTTAATTTTGAAAAAAGCTTTGGATCGGTATGCAGACAACTGTTTACAGTAGCCGTGCACGAGATGTTGCGGACGTCTTATTAGACTCGCATTTTGTATGAAATAACCGGCTATCTGCTTCAAATTGAGGGTTTCTTCTCTGAAAAATTGATTAAGAAAACCGAAAACACACAGTGATAATAAAGAAAACACAAATAATCGCTATCCCAATCGAAACCTGTGTAAAATCATCATTTTTCACCAGAAAAGCTTTTTTGCGATCAAAGTTTGCAAATTATACATGAATCGAAAGCTTTTGTGACGAAAAGAACTTTGGTGACAACAGAAAAAATTAAAAACCGAAAGAAACGAAGAAAAAAGCGAAAATCCGGAAGATGGCGAAGCCTGTTGTCCATAGAGCAACTTTACTGCAAGGCGCCCTTTTCGCGGGAACCCAAGCTTTCTTTTCTCCGACTTTGAATTATTTTTTCTCCAAAACTAGGAATTTCTGTACGTTTCCAAGTTCACCGTTCGATTTGCAATGAAAAGCTCTACAAAATACAGCTTTGAACTGAAACACCGTTTTTTACTGCCCCTATGCCTTTAAAAGGCTTTTTTTTGAATGTTCGTTATGATTCCTTGGTTATTGGGGGAGAAAATCCATTTTTTCAATAGAAGTTAACGAAAAATAATTATCAATTTTAAAATTGTATTGGAAACCTCGACGGAAATAATTCATTTTCCAGAATTATTTCATAAGTTTCCTTGAAAGATGAAGCAAAATTTGAAATTTTCAGGGTCCTGGAACGACGAAAGGTGTACTTCAAGGACTTTGTCAAGGTTCTCAGCCATTTCCGGCCGATCAACAAGAACAAACCGCACCCTTGGAATAGTCGCGAGGCTAAACTTCGGTGTCCGTTTTTTTCTTTTTCTCTTTTTGGGCTCAAAAAAATGGGGGGGGGGTTCCGGAGCGCCAGAATGGTCCCCCTGAAAATACCCCTCTTGGGACCACTTTACGTTCCCCTAAAGAGGCTACTAAAGCTTGCGAAAGTGGCCCCTATATGGTAGAGAGCAGGTTATTAGGAGCGCCAGAGTGGTACCCTTGGGGCCCTTGAAGATTCCCCTCTAGGGACCACTTTACCTCCCCCTATAGGGGCTACTAAAGCTTGCCAAAGTGGCCCCTATAGGAGATCCTGATAATCGTTTATTGCTAAGAGCTCTATGAGAAGAAGTGGGTATTTTTGAAATCTGGACCAACAAAAATTTAAAGACCCCTATAGGGACCACTTGAGCTTCAGGGGCTTAGGAGTCAAACTATACACCCCTATAGGGAGCCTTTAAGCTTCAGGGGCTCATGAGTCAGACCTTACACCCCCTATAGAGACCACTTGAACTTGAGGGGCTCATGGGTTAGATTCTAAACCCCTTCAGGGACCTCTTAAGCTTAAGGGGCTCAGGGATCAGACCTTACACCCCTATAGGGACCACTTGAACTTTTTTTCAGTGGGCTCATGGGTCAGACCTTACACATATATCGAAATCCATCTTCAAATAGAACTCTGCATAATTTTCGAAAAGTGGTTAGTTTAATAACCAATAAAAAGGTATTTCCAGTCGCCTTCACCATGTACGACTTGAACAAGAGCGGCACCATCACCAAAGGACGAGTTCCGCGACATTTTTGCAGGTTTGAACTTCGTTTTTCAAAGAAAAAAAGCACACAATAATAATAACGAAACTTTTTATGAAATTACTATATTTAACGACCTTGTCTTCTTAATTTCATGAAACTTTTTTTAACATCAAATTTTTTTAAAACAAAACATTTTTTTCCGTTCAGCTTTACAAAAGTGAAAAAGATAAAAGTTGCCAGATGAGTTACTTTAAGCCGCCAAGATGCCAAGTAAGGCGAGAAAACTGTGCATATCGCCATCTCGTAGTGATGACATTTCCGAATTTCTTTCATCATTGAAACTGTGGTTTTCGAACTTTTAGGCATTATAACTCGGCTACAAAATCAGAAGGAGCAATTTTTCAACTGATTCGCCAATAAGTTGTTTCATTCTTCGATTCGGAATCAAGCGGTCCTGAAAAATCTTTCCCAAGAAAAATAACAACCGCTGAAACAGGCTATTTCGAGACTTTGAGCCGTTTTTTTCTTTTCGAAAACTAGAAAGTTGGGAAACTTCCGCAGTCTTGATATTTGTTGCCTCATTTTCATCAAGAATTTTCAATAAGCTGCAGTTTCTCTCAAGGATGAATTCAGATGATGATTGGTGATAACGTGCCGGTGGATCAGGTCAATTCGATCGCCGACCGGACGATGCGCGAGGCCGACAAGGACGGCGACGGCTTCATCACTTTCCAGGAGTTTTGCAATGTATGACAGGAAAATATTAGTTAGAAAAAAGATAATTTGTGCAAGTGGGGGTGGGGGGTTCACTTGAGAAATTTTGAGAAAATTGGGGAGGGTATGAGTTTCAACCTTCTTAGGAACTCCAGAGTGGTCCCTTTAGGGGCAGCCCTTGGACGGTCCCTTTTAGGTACCACTTTATCAACCCCTATAGGGGCCACTAAATATGGCGAAAAGTAGTCCCTATAGGGGCCCCTTGGAAGGTCCCTTTTAGGAAGTGACCAACCTGTAGGGCCCACTAAAGATGGCAAAAGTGGTCCATATAGGAAGTTTAGTAAGTGGCCCCTATAGGGGAAATGTTAGTCGATTTTTGTTATGAACTCTAAGCGAAGAAAAACTGAATAAATAAGCGTTTTTTGAAAGAAATTGAAAAGACCCCTATAGGGTCCACTTGAGCTTTGGGGACTTGAGGTTAAAATTCTACACCCCTTTAGAGCCCACTTAAAGTTTGGGGACTGAGGCGTCAGACCCTAAAACCCTATAGCGACCCCTTAATTTTACTCCAATAGGGACCAATTTTTCGGCCCCTATAGAGGTATTTTTCCCCCTAACCCCTATAGGGATCCTCTGGAATTCGATTTCAACGCTTTAAGAAGGTATTTTATTAAGTCTGAATGTATTTATTAAAAACAGTGTCATAATAATTCAAACTATACAGTAATCATGAATTTTCAGGCCATGGAAAAGACAGACATCGAACAGAAGATGTCCTTCCGATTCCTCACCTAACTCCGGCTACATGAAACGAAATTTGAAATGAAAAAATGAACGAGATTATATTTATCAAAAATGAAAAGTTTGAACAAATAAATGCTATGTGGAAATTTGGAAAAAAATATCAATATATATATTTTCTCTAGAACGGATCATTTGAAAAAGGCCTGAGCGGCGTGCTCGTCGCGAACAGGAAATCCGAGGGGGAGCGTCTGGAAAAATAGTTTTCCCATCGGAATTTTGTATTTTCGACTGAAATTTAAAGTTGAATTTCGGGAAAGTCTAGATTTTCAGGTTATCTGAAAACGGGAAAAAACTAAGGAAAAAAGATTAAAGCTTCTATTTTCGCTGAATTTTCGATTTATCCTTGGTAAAGGATATATATTAATAGCCTTAATGTCAGATTCCGTGTGAAAAAATAATTTTTCAGTGGAATTTTGTAGTTTCGACTGAAGTTTATGATTGAAGTTCGGGAAAAGCCTAGATTTTTCTGATTTTTTTCTGAAAAGCGGTTAAGGATCTAGAGCTCCTAGTTCAGTTATTTTTTTCGTATTTATCCTATTTTAGATCACTTTTTTTGATGTCCTGAAAAACGTCAGATTTTGGGTCAATTTTTGTGAATTTCAATGGAAAATAATGATTTTACAGGAATCGAAAATAAGTCAAAAATTGACGAAAATTTCGACTCCAATAAACTTTTATCAAATGAAGATCATCTACAGCGAGAAATTGACGTTTTTTTCTTTCGTAAATCTATTTTTTTAGTCAATTTGAGCCCGAAAATGTTCGATTTTCAACAAAATTGTGCATTTTTGAATTCCCCTGTGATTATTTTCTATAACAAAATTTCTAAATAACATTTTTTCTGATTTTTCTAAAAATTAAAAGAACTTTTTTTTTCTGAAGCACCAGAAACAAACTCTGCATCAAACTTGGAATGGCCGATGATCGGCGAGGGTAAATGTTGACCGCCGGAGAACATTTCCCGCAAGTGTTTCACCCTTTGGGATTGCTGGAAGTATTTTAATTATTCAAAAATAATATGGGGCAATTATCACGTTTACAGTGAACAAGGGTGTGCTGGTGGCGATTTCCGAAGAAGTATCACTTTCGGATAAATCGTTTGAGAAGGATTCTGGAAAAAAAGGATTTTGAGTTCAGAACTTGTCAGGGGAAGTCATTTTACTCGGCCAGAACACTTCTTGATGTACCAGGTGAAGATCCTGAAAGTCTCAATCTGCACAACTTCCTAGTTTTCGAGAAATAAGGACCTAAAGCCCCAAAATAGACCATTTTATGGGTTTTCTTAAACTTATAGGCGTCTTTTCTCAAAAACGAGGAAGTTGTGCAGGTTGAAACTTTCAGGGTCGTCACCTAGTACAACAAGAAGCATTCTGGCCAACTTGCAGAAAAATCCCAACCAGAAAAATCCCAAGTAAAATGACCTCCCTTGTGAGGAAAATGACTAGATTCCGGATTTTTTTCCTTTCATGGGGATTAAAAAATCTTTCGGGTTTTGGAATTCAGGAAGTCGTTTAGGCATTCAGTGCAAGCCAGAAAGTAAAACGTCAAAAAAAAAAAATTTTAGTGAAAGGTAGAGCAAAAAAAGCAGTTTATAGGATTCAGCTATATTTTCTTTTTGAAGTTTCCTTTTTTTTAAACATTTTTCCATAATCAATACTACTTTTTGAAGTAAAAAGTCGACAATTAAATATCATATTTTTTTCCCATTATCGTGTCGAAAACTTCGAAAAAACAGTTTTTTTTTTTTTGGAGATTTGGTCCCAGATTAGCTATAGTGCGTTCCGTGGGCACACTTTAGAAGAAAAGAAAAAAAAATTATAAATTTTTGCTCAAAGAAACTGTTAAAAACACAGCAAAACAGGTCTTGAAACGAAGGTGCTCAATTTTGATCTGATTACGGTACTTTTGGCGGAAAGAAAAAAAGTGACAAGCTTGGGCTATAGTGAGTGAAAAAATGAAAGAGATAGCAAATTATCGGAAAAAAAAATTATCGTAAAATCAACAGTCTGTATTTCTGTACCAATTTAAAGGAGCATACTCATGAAATTATCAACACGAAGAGCCGTTTTTAGTGTTAATTCATGTCTTGCGAGTCCTATGTAGACTTCTTGAACTATAAAGATTAAATACTGTAAAAACAAGGAAATCCACAATGGCAAGTTCAAAACTCCGAAATTTTTTCATGATCGACGAAAATTCAACAATTCCATAAACAAAGAACCATTAGGAAACCTGAAAAAAGGCTCTCCAAATCGGGGGCTTGAGTAGTTTCGTCGGCCGCGGGAAAAATGTCGGCCTCCTTCTCCAGCTGCTTCAATTTATACTTCTTCTTTTTGATCCGAATCATTTCGCGATGTTCCAGGAGTTGTTTCAGACGTCGACGTTCCTCTTCCATCCTCACAAGTCTTGAAATAAAGTCATTCAGAACTTGGTGGTGAAAAAAAGCTCTCAAAAAACTTCTGCTTCGTCTCCTCTTGGCGGATCTTGCACACTTCGTACTCTTGAAGGGTGTCTTTCAAGTTGGATTTCGAAACTCTGCAATCATTATCCTAAACTTTCGAAAAAATCAAATCTCACCCTCAAAGATTCCACTTGTCGATTATATTCCACCTTTCGCCCTCTCCAGAAATTCTTTCTCCTTGGCTTCCTGACTTTCAGAAGATATTCAGAAAAAAGAAAGTCCAAAAACTTTTGCGAATTTTCCTCTTGTGCAAGTGATTGCGATTCTTGGACTGAAATTCCATCGTCAGCTGCAATTTTTTCACCAGCTCGCCCACGTACTCCTTCGGGTCGCGGAACAAATCCTTAAAACTTCTGCATGAATTGAAAAGAAATATATGTGTCGGACTAGCATGTCCGGTCGCATGGTTCTGCTTATCTCGAGAGCTTGGCACTTCTTCTTGCATAGTGGGCAAACTTTCGTCGGATTTTTCACAGCTGAAATAAAATAATTCGAAGAATAGTCTGCGTATCAGCATACCATCCAGATAACAATCGGGACAAGTCAGATGACCACAAGAGGTAAGCCACAGTTTTATTTGCGATTGTCGTCTGAAGCACGTGTTACAGTGCATCCAATCCATGAAAAACCTGAAAAAGAGTATTTTCAACTGAAATAATATATTTTCGAATTAGTATTCCGATTATTTCAAATCAAAGACATTCACCTATAAAATTCTTGATGGTTATCAAGCATGTAACAATCCGAAAAAAAAATATATATATATATATACATATAAACTAATGCCGTGCTCAAAGCTATTTCGACGATGAAATATTTTCTATGACTCTCCAAAATTCGTTATCTTTTTCTTTCTCTAAGATCTTTTTTGGATTTTGTGGTTTCGCTTTGAACACTGCAGAAGGAATGAAAAAAAATTATGAAGGGACTTGAAAAAAGAATTTAAAGGAGCATTATTATGCGAGATAAACTGGTCCTACAACGGTAATTTGCATGTTGGTGAATTGTCCGCGCAAAAATCAGTTGTTTTTTTTGATTTTTCTTCGGCTTTTTTTTCTGTTCTTCTTTTCTTTTTTCGGTTTTTCTTCGTTGCTTGCTCATTCAAGAAAAGGACCTTGTTTAAAAACGCAAAAATAGGTAATGGGCATCCCAAAGTTGCTTCACAACGTTTCTAATTTATTTTTGGAGCTATCTTCTTGCGTCTTGAAACAGGATCCGTTTTGCACGGTGAAAACGCAATCAGTTTTTTATTAGGCGTTCGATGAAAGGATGGACTTAGTCTTGAAACGAAACTTGTATGCTCCGAAACGGGAAAAAGTCAATTTACGAATAAAAATTTTGTTTCGAGGCGTTTTCGATTTAAATTCATTTTTCTGAATTTTTTTCATGCTCGGACATAAGTGTTAACTATTTAATTAAAAAAACAAGTAATATTGTTCGATCTTTTTTTGCAATTTCTAATGTAGTGTTTGAAGTAATTTACGCGTAATATAGATTTTTCAAGTACTTATCTTTTTCATTCTCTAACGCCTATTTTTTGCCCGAGTATAGTCTGTTCATTGTTTTGAAATGTCAGGTAGTTGGCAAAGTTCTGTCCCTATCGGCGTGATAAGTCAATCAGAGTGCGACCACTCCACAGAGCTTTCTCGAAGGACGTCACGTTGCTTGACATTCAGAATCTGAACAGATCAATACATTTTTCTTTCTGTGGTGCGAAAAGGGAACATTTTCTCTTAATTTTTCATTTTTTTTTCAGGCGCCCCAATCTATTTGAAAGAACTAACAATGAGGTATATAATATTGCATCAAGCTATTTTTAATAAACCAGTTTCAGCGATGACGGATGGGGAACACCATCGGCGGCTGCGCCTCCTTCATTCGATCGAAGTAAGTTTTAATAGTTTCAATCTTTTTTGGTTTTCACATGGTTTTTCTTCATTTTTCAAATTTCTTTTTAAGAAGAAACGGCTCCTGCCAACGTGGGTCGATTTCCATCAAGCGACCTCAGTTCTTTTGGTGCTAAGCCAGCTGTCGGGGGCTTCTTGAGCCAGTCCAACGGCGCTACTAACGGAATCGGAAAACCGAGCGGCTTCGGAGGCGCTGGCTTTGGCAGACCAAATGACAACGAAGCCAACAGAAATTTTTCTAATGGAATCACTAACAAGACGAATGAAGGTTTTGGCCAAACGAACCCAAACGGCGGAGCCCAAGCGAATCCAGGCGGCTTTGGAGGGCTAGCAAATCAAGGTGGCTTCGGAGGACAAGCCAGTAGAGGCGGCTTCGGAGGACAAGCTAGTGCAGGAGGTCTTGGAGGGCAAGCGAGTGCCGGCGGCCTCGGAGGACAAGTCAATGGAGGCGGTTTCGGAGGACAAGCCAACGCGAGTGGCCTCGGAGGACAAGCGAATCCAGGCGGCTTTGGAGGACAAGGGAATGCTGGAGGTCAAGCCAATACTGGTGGCTTTGGAGGACAAGCGAATTCCGGTGGCTTCGGCGGCCAAGCCAACGCGAGTGGCCTCGGAGGACAAGCGAATGCCGGCGGCTTCGGAGGGCTAGCAAATCCAGGAGGTCTCGGGGGACAAACGAATGCCGGCGGCTTCGGAGGGCAAGCCAATCCAGGAGGTCTCGGAGGACAAACGAATGTCGGCGGCTTCGGAGGGCAAGCCCATCCAGGAGGTCTCGGAGGACAAGCCAATGGAGGCGGCTTCGGTGGAAACTCTAACGCTAGTGCCGGGGCCTTCGGACAATCTAATGAGGGTGCCGGCTTCGGCAAATCGAACAGTTCCGATGAACCATCGAAAGTCGGTCCTTCTGAGGGTCAAACGAACACTGGCGGGCTCGGAAATCAGTTTGGTGGCTTCGGCGCGCCGTCTAGAGCTGGTGGCTTCGGAGGCGGAGGTTTCGGCGGCCAAGCCAAGGCAGGCGGATATGATCAGCCGAGCGGAGGCTACGGCCAATAAATCTGAATCGGCTGGAGGTTTCGGCTCCGGTTTCGGTGGCGGATCGAAATCTGGCGGATTCGGCGGTTTTGGAGGTTTTCCTGATCGCAGAGGGTTGGATGAAGAAAATGGAGGTTTACTTTTCTCAGATACACTTCTAAATTCATATTTTTTCTTGAGGCGGTGGTGGAGGTAGAACGTGCCACAATTGTAAACAAGAGGGTCATTTCTCTCGTGAGTGCCCAGAGCCCAGAAAGCCACAAGGAGGTATCTCATTTCTTTTCTTTTTTTAGCTCAATATGAAATTTTTTTTTTCAGCGTGTTTTAATTGCCAACAAGTTGGACACAACTCCCGCGATTGTCCCGAACGTCAGTGAAGATATTTTTTTGCTCATTTAATTTCAGTTTACATTTTCCTCTCAGCTACAAAACTCTTCCCTTCGATGCGTGCGATATTATATCTGCCTGCGCCTTTAATATATTTTAGGCAAATAAAAGACGCAGGCAGAGAAACATCCCGCGCGCTTCGAACGGAATGTCTATCTATCTCTGCAAGTTGGCGCGGAACGGCTTATACTGATTCTTGAGAAACAATATTCAATTATTTCAGCGCGCACTCAAAACAATGGCGGCGGGAACTCTGGTTTCGCAAGAGGCGCTACCGGCGGATTCGGCAATGAAGGCGGCGGAAGTGGCTTTGGAAACGGCAATGGGTTCGAAGCTCTCGGAGGAGGAGGAGAGTCTGGTGGATACAATCGATATTTCCGTAAAAACAACATCCAAATTTGCATAAAATGAAGAAGTTTCAGGCGACGGCGGTGAGAATGCTCCTCAAAAGTGCTTCAATTGCCGTCAAGAAGGTCATCGTTCGGCTGAATGCACAGAGCAACCGAGTCCGTCTTTCCATAATCTAAATGAACATTTTCCAAAAAAAACTTTTTCATAATGAAATTTTACGCGTTTTTGATAATTTTCCCATTCAACTTTAGCATTCTCGAGTAATTCTTGACTCTAAAGAGGAAGGCATTAAAATGATGAAAAGTTTCCCATTTTATAGAAACAGTTTGATCGAACTCAAATTTGAAGAAATCGCGACAAACTTTTTTTTTCAGAAGAAAAAAAGTTTTATCATGCTTTCAGAATAATGTCCAAGTACAAAAAGTTTTTAAGTTGACGGTTCCTTCAAAACATTTGCCAGTCTAAATTTTTGTCTCATAATTTACGGTGAAACTCTTTCAAACCATCCACTTGGCAATCTGCCGGCCAGTGCCTGAGAAAGATTTTGATGATTTATTTCAGGAGGTTGTTTTAATTGCAACGAGCAAGGACACCGGTCGTCCGAGTGCCCTCAGCCGCCCAAGGAACAAGATATTAGTTAGAACAAAAATATTGAAACCATTTTTCATAACTTTTTCAGACAAGCCACCTGCGTCGACGTTCATCCCGGAAGAAGACTCACTCGAGGCTCTGTTCAAGCTGAAGATCGACGAAGGCTTGATGTTCAACAACTTTTTCAATGCTAAAGTTGAAGTCACTCCACCAATGTCCTATAAAACGATCATGTACGTTTTGAGCTTGGAGTAAACTAGTCGATTCCTACTTTTTGCAGGTCGTTCAATGATGCAAATCTTCCTCAGAGAGTGCTGGACAACGTTATTCATGCTGGCTACACCAGAACCACTCCGGTTCAACAGCACTCCATGGCGCTCATCGACGCCAGTCCGTTCACTTTGATCTTTGCGGAAATAATCATTGAATTCAGAATACGATCTCATGGCTTGTGCTCAGACTGGCTCTGGAAAAACGGGTTAGTATTTTAGAAGTTTCTTGGGAAACGAGTTGCAACTTCAGTTTTCCGGTCCTTCAAAAAGACTTTTTTCAGAATTCTTACAAAAACTCTTACTAGGGAACGTTTTGCCATAATTTTCGTGTTTTACGAACTTTGAAGCTTCATAACTCAAACTAAATGTATTGTGAGAATTTAAAAAAAAAGTGTTCCTTAGTCAATCAAAAAGACGCGGTTTTGAAGCAAAAAAGGGGGGAAAATTTAACTCTGAATGCGGAATCTGATTTTTCCCCGTCAAAAATGATTTTTAGCTGCATTCCTACTTCCCATCATGAGCGACTTAATCCAGAGTGATGAATTGAATTCGGCAGGCGAAGGAGGATGTTATCCGAGGTGTAAATCATAAGTTTCAATACAACGTACTGCTTTCAGGTGCCTCATTGTGACTCCTACGCGCGAGCTGGCCGACCAGATCTACAACGAAGGAAGAAAGTTTGCCTTTAACACGGTCATCACGATCAAACCAGTTTATGGAGGGACCCAAGTCATGTATTCGAAGAATTCTCTGCAACAAGTTTTGGTCACATCATCGAATAGATGAAACTGAATTTTTTCCAGGGATCGTCCATTATCGTGGGTACCGTCGGTAGATTGATGCACTTTATCGAGGAAGGCATCATTCACCTCGATAAAGTTTCAAATTCTCCAAATCGCAAATAACCTGGCCGACTCAGGTCAAGTACGTGGTTCTGGATGAAGCCGACCGCATGATCGACGCTATGGGCTTTGAGAATGAAATTCGTAAAATTATGGAGCATCCGACGATGCCATCCAAGAAGCTGAGGCAGATGCTCATGTTCAGGTATAGTAGGATATAATTTTCTCGATACAACTTTCTTTCAGTGCCACCTATCCGGAAACGGTCCAGAAAGTGGCAAAAGACTTCCTGAAGGACGACTACGTGATGATCGCCATTGACAAGATCGGAGCGGCGAACAAATGCGTCCTTCAGGTAAAAAGGACATAATTGCAGTTGAAACTTCAAGCTTAAATGTAATGAGTCCTTGATTAGGTGATCAATTTTTAACTTAATAACTTACTTGAGAAAACGAATGTGAGGATCCTGAATGGAAGCTAAAAAGGTTCCACTAAAAGCTCCAAAGAATGACGTGAAATAGCTTTTGAGCTCGTTTTTCACAGAATCAGCGGATTCTTCTTGAATCTTTTTAGTTGCTTCCCAGCTTCCTTTTTTGTTAAAGGATGTGAAAAAGATGCAAAAACGAGATAAAAAAAGATTTACTAGGGACCCTCACAAGGTCTTTTTCTAGAAAAGTTTGGGGAGCTTTTCCCTTTTTCCGAGTTTAAGCTTTAAGACGGTTATTTTTTTAATTCTTTGGGATTGCAAATTTTAATATTTGACGCATAAACTTTCAATCCATAATTTTTAATAACAGGAATTCATATATTGCACCCGTGGAGAGAAAAAAGAAAAGTTCTTGGAACTTTTGGGCGTCGACATTCAGAACTACTCGACCAGTCGCGGTTTGTGGAAATTGAAGTCACTTTGCAAGAAAATAATTTCTCAGAGTGCGACATTTATAAGAAGAAGACCATTGTGTTTGTCAGCCAAAAAAAGTTTGCTGACACACTTGGCGGCATACTCTCCCAGACTGATATCCCATCGATAACGGTAAGGGAGTTTTCCTTTTGTTGGATGTAAAATTTGAATTCTAGATCCACGGAGATCGTCTGCAAGCCCAGCGTTCCGACGCCATGCGTCAGTTCAGAAGCGGAGCCAAGCCGGTAGATATTCATTTCTTATTTTTCTATCGTAATTTTGTGTCGTTTAGGTTCTCATTGCTACTGCTGTCGCTGAGCGTGGTCTCGATATCAAAGGAGTTGACCATGTCATTAATTACGATCTTCCGCAGAGTGTGGATGATTATGTTCACCGAATTGGAAGGTTTAGGAACTATTTTCAAACTTGAAAAAGTAATTAATCAACGTTTGTTTCAGAAAAAGCTAACCAACTATGATTATTATTTGATAAATACGACATTTGCATATTTCAGAACTGGTCGCGTTGGTAACGCTGGTCGTGCCACTTCTCTTGTGACGGACGAAGATCGCGCGATTCTTCCTGCCCTGAGACAGCTTCTTGTCGACGCTGAGCAGGTCAGCTTCATAGTTTGAAAGCCTATTCTCATTCATCTGGGTCCAGATCGTACCGGACTTTATGGATGACGGAACCGGCGGGTGCCGCAACGGATTCTCGGGCTACAGCGTCGATTCCCAGAAGGCGGCCAACGAGGAGGAGTGGTGATCAACCCAGTGATTATCCTATTGCACGAGTTGCCCCATTGTCCGTTTTATTCTTTTTGTTTGATTTCTTTCCGCTCGACGCAATAAACGATGTTTATCTGCGTCTATTTTCTCTGTTAACCGAAAATTGTGAATTCAATGCGAATATTTTTATTGGTTCTGTTCATTTTTCTGTGATTACGAAAGACGGTGAGAGAACTTTATTTCTGTATTCTAATAAAAGTTTTAGTATAACTTTTTTCGCAAAACCATGGGGAAGCTTTAAAATTTTTAAAGATTTTTTCAACTGTTAATAGCTATTGTTGACCAGTAGGATCTGTTACGCTAATACTTCATAATTTTGGGTTCTACTGCCGATCACCCGATGTTTTATAACGTTTCGGGTCTGGACCTAAACGGGGTCTATGCGCGGCTAATGATTGCATTTCGAGTGGTATTCGGCCTACTGAATCGGCCTGAAGAAGGTCCGAGCTTGAAGTATATGCTTCTTTACAATATTCAAGAGCAGGAAAATCAGGAATTCACAATAGATCAAAGAAAAGCTTTTATTTATTGAAACCGAGTAAGAAAATGGAGCCGCTAGAAAAAAAAAAAGTGAGGACACGGTGAGCCCAAATAACTCTAGGCGGTCGACACTTGCATTGGACAGAACTCTTCCAATAGGTCCTGAAAGTTAGCTTTCAAAAGAACACTGTCGAAAAAACGAAGAAACACCTCTCTGCGAACTTTGCAGTGAAGTCTATTCTTTCTCGATTTCGCTTCGTTTCGCTGAACTTTTTTTATAATATGGCGTTTTTTTCAGTGGAAGAAACTTAAAAACTGAAATTGAAGGGGGCGGGGTCAAAACCACCGCCGTTCCCATGTGACGTCATGGTGAACAAGCGTAAACAACAGGAAATTTTAAAGGCGCATGTTCAATGGGTCTTGAGACGAATCGCCTTCTCATTTAAAAAAACGCAATTTTTATGTTTCATTTTTTTAAAAAGCATATGCCATGTTCAAAGTAAACTCAAAACAGCCGCCAGAGAATGAAAAATATAACTGATCTTCGGAAATTCAGAGATAATTTTGAATTTCGCGAAAATTACTTTGAACACGGCATGTGCGAGAGCGTCGCATTGCATGCACACGACACACTACACTTTACGGAAAAATTAGGATGTCGTCAAAACGCTGTGGTAACATGTTTTTCGAAAGAATCGAGTAAATTTTCTTCCAGAACTTTTTTCATGTTTAAATATTGAATTTTTTTCAATTTCGCAACTTTTTTTGAGCTGAAAGAAACATTTCGCAACTCACATTAAGCTCCTCGTCCTCCTCGCCAACCGTTGCCACCTTCGCTTTGTCTTTCTACAGATTAGTTATTGAAAAGGGAAAAGAAAAAGAAAACTACCATTTCTTTAAGCAAATTTTCGAGGAAATCAACAATCTGTAAAAGATTCTCAATTGTTTCCCAGAATTCCAGATTCAGAGGACAACCTCATTGGCATTCGGCCTTTCGATAAAAGTGTAGCCCCAAATACGTTCTTCGGTGAATTTGACCAACGAATCCGGCGTTCGGCTCGGCAGCTTGTTCGTGATTCCGCACAGAATCTGCATAGGGGAAGTAATAAATGATAAGTTGGAGACAAATATAGCATTTTGTAGAGCTCTTTCTTGCCTGTCGAACGGTGAGCTTGATAAAGTACAGAACTTCCTAGTTTTGGAGAGAAAACAATTCAAAGTCGGAAAGAGAAAAGTGAGTTCCCGCCAAAATGGCCCTTTGCAGTAAAGTTGCTCTATGGACAACACGCTTCGACATTTTTTGGATTTTCGCTTTTTTCTTCGTTCCTTTTTGCTTTCTATTTTTTCTCTTGTCAAGTTATTTTCGTCATGAGAGCTTACTATATATGAAAAAAATATATTGATCGCAAAATGATCATTTTAAACAGATTCCGATTGCGAAATCGAAACTTTCCGTTTCCTTTATTATCCGTGTGGGCTTTTTGTTCGCCTAAATCATTTTTCAGAGCAGAAACCCTCCATTTCGAGTAGATATTCGGTTATTTCTCACAAAATGCGAGTCTATTTCGTGCACGGCTACTGTAAACATTTTTTTCCGTATCCAAGCATTTTTTTAAAAAAATTAAAAAAATCACTTTTTTTCTTTAAAAAAAGCTCATGTCTGTGCATTTTTGAGTAGACCGTTCGATTCGCAATGAGAAGCTCTACAAGATACCCTGTTTTTTACTGCCTCTATGCCTTTAATGACTCTAATGAAAAAGAACCAACATTCTCGCGAATTTCATCCGATGGAAGGTTTTCGTATGGGATCGTTCCGCCACTGAATATTTCAAAAAGAAGATTCTGAAAATCGAAATTTTTCCAGGGAAACAACTCTGAACGCAACTCCAAAGGTGTAACAGTCGCTCTTGGCGATGAACACGAAGCAGATCAAACTTTCCGGAGCAACGTATCTTGTCGGCAGCCTTTCAGCCTTTCTCATCCGGTAGTAGCATCCTTTGACAGATAATTCAAAATCAGAGATTTTCACCTTCAAATTAGGATTCTTTTTTTCCCCCTGAATTTCGAAACATTTCCTTTCCTCGTCAATAGACAACTTCTAGCGGAGATGTTGCGATGTATAATCTTTTGGCTATGAATGTAAGCCAGGCCTTGAGCTGCATCTAACGCGAACTGTACGAGATGATGAAGGCTTGTGTACTCGAATTTCTCCAAGAGAAAAAGGTCCAAAGAGCCGTCTGTAAAATGCAACGACTCGATTTCCTTTGTGTGTGTGTGTGCTTACTAAAGAGCTTTTTGTTATTATTTACAGACCAAAAAAAAGATCTCGTTTTCGAGTTATGAAGCTTCATAGTTCGTAAAATACGCAAATTAGGACAAAAAAAGCGCTCTTTCGGGCTTTTAAAGTGTCCTAACTCGAAAACAAAATCTAGTGCGAGACATTTTTCTTGTTCTTCTTGTTCAGGAGGTCCTAAAGTTCGTTTCAGCAAAGTTTCATCATAAGCTTCCGCCATGAAAAACGTAAAAACTCAGGAGATCTTCGACGCACAAGCGTAAAAAAACGGAATTTTAAAGGCGCATGAATAACTTCGAACACGGCATGTGCGAGAGCGCCGCAGTGCATACACACAACACATTACACTTTACGGAAAAAATACGATACAAAAGTCAGACTTTTTTTCTTCATTACAAAGCTCACCGGGCAAGTATTGAAGCAATAACATGAAAGGATGATTGTCGAGGCACCATCCATACATTTGGACAACGTTCGGATGGCTCAAATTCAGCAAAATACGGCCCTCTTCGATCATTTTTCGACTCAGTTCAGCCGAGTTCGTTCTTCCTTGCTTGACCTAGAAAAGGTATCCTCTTCTTCAAATCAAGGTATTTTAATAATTAAAACGGACTGCTTTCCCAACGGCTTGTTCGTTCCAGAAACCCGGGTAATTGATGGCCGCAAGGAAAACGTCGCCGTAGATGCCACTACCCAGCTGAAAATTTGAGTTGACTTCAAAACGTTTTGAATCGAGTTCTAGCCTTCTTTTTGCGCTCAATATAACGTGGCCTGAACTCGAAATTCCTGCGAGGGACCGCGTAACGGAGCTGGGCGGCGAGTTTCCACTGGAATCGATCCGTTTTTCCGAACTTTCTGGTTTTCACCTTTTCGCCATGAAAAACGTAGAAACCGAGGAGATCTTCGACTGATTCGAAGCAATAGTCATCTTCGATCGAAAAATAGCCGCGCTTGTCTTTCTCAACGACGTGGGTCCTGACACGAATCACAGGGTCTGGGTCTTCCTCGGCTGAAATTTTGTTCCATCATTTGAATTTTAATAAACATTTTACGGACCCTCCTTCGGCATTCCTGGCCTCCTCCACCGTTTATCATGCCTCAAAGGCTCTCCAACGCATATCAGGATGTTTGTCTGACCGCGAACTGAAGTTTGAAGACGTTTCAAAAACTTGGAAAAGAAAAACCGTCCTCAAGTCGGATGAGATATTGGCCGTCGTGACGGATCGCACAACGAGCTTCAAAATCTCCAATGTATCTGAATAGAATCGTTAGGAAGGAGCGAAGAAGAAGCGGACCCATGGTATCCCTTCCACGGTTTCAGGTATTCTGCCGGATGCGTCGGAACAGTCTCAGGAGCCTTATTCGGCTCGATAAGTTCGTGCATCTCAGACTCTGTAGAGAGTTCTTCACGTTTTAGTGGCCACTATAGAGGTCTAAGCGCTACTACTAGACCACTAAAAATTCTAATGGCCACTTTAGGGGTCAATGGATCAACATAACTGGTCTAATCTGTTTGTTTTGAAATTATCAAATTTACTGGAAGGAATACGGGATGAACAACTACTGAAGTGGCAACTAAAACGGAATATAGTGACCACTGTAGAGGCCTGTGACCACTCTAGTGTCCTCCCCAAGTAGTCCTTGGCGAGCCTCTATAGTGGCCACCAAAAATTCTCATTCCAAAATCGAACCATCTTCACGAACAATCCTCCTTGGTGGGACAAAGTCCGTTGGTGCATCAGTCACAGTAACATTCGGAGCGTCCGGTTTTTCTAAACCTTTTTCCATTCTCTCTGAAAAAAATCAGTTTAGATCCCTGGGTCATCATTGAAACTCCAAAACTATAACGTCAATTTTTCCCGACTTGAAAGGCGAAGAAGGCGGGACGCGTATGGTTCGTATCAATCGCCAGCGTTTATTCGGTGAGCTCGTTTATCGCTCTTTGCATTTTTAACTATTCATTGATTTTTTCAAAAGCGCATCAAAAAATAGTAGAATAGATACAAAAAGCCGTGACACAGTGGGGCACGGCGTTTTTTGAAAATTATTTTGAACACGGCATGTGCGAGAGCGCCGTGGTGCATGCACACGACACACTACACTTTACGGAAAACATATTGGCGTGGCGTCGTCAAAAAACTCCGTCAGGGTTGGAATTGAGCTTTTGCCAAGAACCGCGTACGCGCACGTCACGCACACTTCTCCGCCTCCTTCGCCTTTCAAGTCATGATGGATCGACTATGGTGAATGAAAAAATAGTTTTTTTTTTCGAAGGTTGCTATATCTCAAGCCTCTCTGGATGTATTAATATATAAATGTATAAACTTTCATAGTTCCAAACCTATTGTCGCTTGCTCCTTCTTCTCCTCCCCAGCATCGCCTCGACCAAACCACCTTCGCAACATGAAATAAACCGGACTTGTGATGAAAGCACTTTTTTTTCTTTGATCGTTTAAATTTTTTTAATTCGATTCACGTTTTTGTTCGACATTCCGCGATAACGCAGCAAAAAAAGCGTGAAATTTTTTTTTAACGAAAGAGGAAGCTGTTTTGTACATGTATGTCAAAATTTATTATCCAGTTCCACATATTTTGCAACTACAACAAAATGAAAGTTGAAATCTAAAAAAAAGCCACTTTTTCTATCGCGAAAGGGGGCGTGGCTTTGCGGTGCCTAGCTTTACTTGATGAATATAGACTCACTAGATGGATTTTTCTTCCATTTTTGAAGGAAATTGGCATTCATACCAATAGGTCTCATTCCCACATAAAAAAAGTTGAAGTTTATAACCACTCCCATTTTTTTATAAATTAATTTTTTTGAACATGAACTCAATTTTTTTCTTGTTTCTTAATGAATCGGTCCGTAAAACTGGACTGAGACTATTCTGCAAGTTGAATCTCTTCATGTATTTCATAACTACTAGCTTCCACAACTAGATAAAGTTTCAAAAAGATTGAATTTTGTACAAAGAAGTTGCGTTAAAAAAATGTTTTTTTCGGAACTGAAGCGAATATTTCAAGCTCTATTCAATTCGAAGAGAAAAGGGATCGCTTCAGAAAACTTTGGATTGTATCGCATATTTGAAAAATCCCGGCGTTTTTTTTTTGACGACGCCACGACCATAATTTTTTCGTAAAGTGTAGTGTGTCGTGTGCATGCACCGCGGCGCTCTCGAACATACCGTGTTCAAATTTTCGTGAAATTCAAAATCGTTTCTCATGGCGTTTTTTTGACGATGCAACGTCCAGAATTTTTCCGTAAAGTGTAGTGTGTCGTGTGCATGCACCGTGGCCCACTCGAACATACCGTGTTCAAATTTTCGCGAAATTAAAAATAATTTCTGAATTCGAAGATCAGTTATATTTTTCACTCTCTGGCGGCTATTTGAGTTCCCTTTGAACACGGCGTGAGCTTTAAAAAAATGAAACAGAAAAATTGCGGTTTTTTGATGAGAAATCGATTCGTCTCATGACCCATTGAACATGCGCCTTTAAAATTTCCTGTTTTTGAGCTTTTTTCATATGACGTCACATGGGAACGGCAGAGTTTTTGACTCCACTCCCATAATTTTTGATTTTGCATTTTCTTCCATAAACAAAAAAACATCATTTTTCAAAGCAATAATGTTATTTTGAGCCCTTTTCGATATTGGCTACTTTGGTGTCTCAAGAAATCATGGAAAAGTCTCTATTACTTGAATATTTGCCACTCGGACAGAATAAACACTTTCTTTGAAAAGTTGAATTTTGCGAAAAGGGGAGGGGGGTAATATTTCTGTACCTTTACCTGCCTATTTGATTCGACATTTTCCGGTTGGAGGCCGAGAAATTGACCGGTTGGGTCGGCGGCGGCGTGACCGATCAGATGGGCGGTTTGAAATGGATCAAAAACGAGGCGAATTCTCGCCTTTCCGCACAAGATGCCGAAGCAAGAGTTCGACAACCTGGACTTGTTGGCCGCCTTGATCTGCTTCGTCCTTTTCTTCCTTTTCGTCTTCGTCACCTCCGTCACCTGCATCAACTACTGCTGCATTCACGATCACGACGAGTTGACTGTTTTGGAAGAAGTTGGTCCTTTTTGTACCTTTTCCCCTTTGTTTTTTACGGATTTTCAAAGACTAAAGGCGAAAAAAATGGAAGAAATGTAATCTTTCCTTCCAATTATACAGACTAAATGAATGAAGCCAGCGAAATTCCTTTTTTTCAAGAAAATAAATTTTTTTATTTTTTTAAAAATAGCTTAATTTTTTTCAAAAGTGCTCCTATTAACATAGAATATGTATCAAAAAAACTAATTAATTTTTCTTGATTTTTTTCAGATAATTTGTATGAAAATAGCTTTTTTTCATAGAGCTTCTTATGTTTTTTTAAAGCCGCAAAAAGCTTTCCATTTCCTAAAATAACCCTGGAAACAGCTCTTCGCCTCAAGACCTTTATTAAAAATCCGCTCATGCTCCTTTAAAAAAATTAGACTCGGATTTTTCCTTCAAAACAATTTTTTTCTGATTTTTTTAAGCAAAAGTTATTGAAATATTCACAAAAAAATTTTTCTCCTGCTAATTTATTTCTGTAGTTCTTTCACAATATCTTGCTTTTTTTGAAATTTAAATATTCTGAGAAAAATTTTTTTCTCCAAATTTTTTTGTTGATAAACTTACTATTTTTTTCAATTCTTAAGGTCTGAAATCTATGGGAAAAAAAGTTGAAAATGGCCGAAAATTTAGATGAAATTGATACTAGTCTTTGAAAAAAATGAAGAAAAAAATGAAAAAAATCTGCATGAATTTTGAAAAAAATTTTTTTGCAACTTTATGAAAAAAATTTAACTCATTTCTACACGCCGAGTGGTCGGTCTCCTCTTCCGCTCTCGTTTTGAGTGTTAATAATCCGTCGTCCGCAAGCCCTGGACAAGCTGGACGTCGTACTGCTCCTACATGGCGAAGCACCTGTTTGTTGGGACGCTCAACGTGAGAACATTGCTCTCCAACGACAGACTCGTAGCCCTCGAGAACGCGGTCAGGTTGGTGAACTTTGACATCATAGGCCTCTGCGAAATTCGCCGGGCCGGCACTGGTAGCCTCGTCTTGAATGACACCAAGCACATACTCTACTACCACGGAACATCATCTCAAGCAGGAGTAGGGTTCCTTGTGCACAAGGACTTGGCTACCAGTGTTGAGTTCACACCTGTTAACGATCGCCTCGCTTTCATCGATGTCAAGCTCAAGAAAGAACGTATAAGAATTTTCCAAGTGTACGCTCCAACCACGGATTACGCCGATGAGGTATATTCAATGTTCCTAGAGGACCTAGAGAAGGCTCTGAGTCACCTCCAACGTCGTGATCGGCACCCGGGGGCGGACGTGACTTATTCCTTGACTTTAGGTGACTTCTATGCAAAAGTTGGCAGTAAGATCGACACCGAATCCTCTCTCGGTTGCCATGGCGTTGGAGTCCGTAATAACCGTGGGGAAACTCTTTTAGAGTTCTGCGAGGCGAATGGGCTGAGGATCTGGAACACCTTCTTCAAAAAGCGTGTTAACAGAAAGTGGTCCTGGAAATCTCCTGATGGCATCACACACAATTCAATAGACTACGTCCTCGCGGACCGTCGTTGCCCGATTTACGACGTCGATGTCATTGCCAATTTCCAGTATAACACCGACCACCGCCTCATACGAGCAAAAATGAAGCTGAGCTCACGTCACGTGAATAAACGCGCAACCTCTAAGCGTGTTTTTCACAAATCTCTCTTCGCGTATGCCGTCGAACAAATATCCAACGAACACAGACCGCATACGTATGAAAGATTGAGAAACGTTATGAGCAGAGCTTCAAAAATTGCAACGACCTACGAACCGATCCCTTGTCGGTTCTCCACGAAGACTCAAGGGCTCTTCAAGAAACGTCGTCTCCTTATGTCGAAAACCAACACGCCTTCTGGTCGACTCGAGTTCTGCTTAACTAACAAAGCACTCCGCATCTCGATGAAGGATAGAAGATGTCGCGGAAACTGTTCAGAAGTTTTATAATACTCTCTACACCTCGTTGGACAGTTCTCCAGCCCTGATCTTACCATCTCAAGAGGACTTCGCTCCGATACTGGATGAAGAAGTTCGTGCGGCGTTGAAGAAAGCTAAAAGGAACAAGGCTCCTGGGCCGGATATGATCACTCTGGAGATGCTTCTCGCATGTGAAGATATCGTCGTTCCACACCTAGTGACGATGTTCAACGAAAGCCTCACGAATGAAAGAGCTCCACAATCTATGCCGGACTCTGTCGTGCGACTGCTCCACAAGAAAGGAAACTGCCTGGACATAGGAAACTACCGACCAGTAGCACTATTGTCCGTCGTGTACAAATTGTTCACCTCGATACTTCGAAGAAGAGCTACGCGTGAACTAGAGGCTGCTCAACCCATCGAGCAAACTGGTTTCCGATCCGGATTCTCGACATCGGAAAACACCCTGGTCGTGACCGAGATGATCCAGAAGTCTCAGGAATACAAGTTTCCCTTGTACCTGATGTTCGTCGACTACAAGAAAGCCTTCGAATCTGTGGAGTTCGGCTCTCTCTGGACGGCTCTCAGCGAGTTTGGAGTCCATTCGAAGATCGTTATGACTCTGAAAAACATCTACGAAGAAGCAGAAGTCTCTGTCAGAATTCGAGGACAAGATGTACCAGTTCGAATACAGAAAGGAGTGCGTCAAGGGGACACAATTTCCCCAGACTTGTTCAACGCCACCCTCGAGCACATTTTTCGAAGGCTTAACTGGGAGAGCTATGGATTTTCTGTGAACAAAACGACTTTGACGCACCTTCGTTTTGCGGATGACGTGGTACTGTTTGCATCCAGTGCGCAGAAGATCCAAGAAATGGCTAACGAGTTGGCGAAAGAAAGCAAGAAGGCCGGCTTGGAAATCAACTTCGCGAAAACGTTCATCATGGCTAATCGAGCCCAAAGAAATGTCGAGATTAGAAATCGATTGCTTCTGCTCGCCGTCATCATTTTTTGTTTATACGGAAACGTGGCTTAATAATAGTGATGAAATTTCTTTACTTACTCATTTTGAAAATTTTTCTGCGTTTAGTCTTTGTCGTCCAAACAATAGGCAAGGCGGTGGGGTATTAATTTTGTGTCCTTCTACGTATATCAGTGAAGTTGTTGGCAGTATGTCAATTAGTTCGATAGAGGTTATATCTGTAAAAATAATGCATCCAATTTCAAAGCAAACATGGGTTTTGACGGGATTATACAGACCTCCTGGATGGGATGCGAGTTTTGCTGGACATTTCGAGACCTATTTAAATAATATCACAGTTAAAGTAGGAGATCTATGTCACATCATTGGAGGTGATTTCAATCTTCCAGATATAAAGTGGGATTTTTCTTAGAGCCGATAATGGCATGTCGAGAAGTTTTTTTACAATGTGTATCACAGTTTGGCTTTTTCGCAATTAGTAAAAAGAACCTACGCGGGGTTCTAGCATTTTTAGACCTAGTTCTAACTAATAACGGATCTATAGTCTCAGATGTAAAAAAATATCACAACCCTTATCAGATCACTGTTCTATCACGTGCCAGCTCAACTTAAAAAAACTTCAAACTTAAAGGTTTTCCCGCCAAAAAGTAATTTCAGATTACAAAAAAATGCTGATTTCGCGTCTTTAAATAATGCATTAGCTTGGATAGACTGGAATTATCGGTTCAGCACATGTCGTACAGTAGATGAAATGTATGAAAAAGTTCATTTCTATACTTGAGCCACTCTGCAATCATTTCATACCAAAAAAATTATAGAACCGTTCAAATTCCCGCAATACCTGATAAGAATGAGAAGAAAAAGTCGAAAGATGCTATATTGATTTTTAAAAAAATCCTCGTCTCCACAAAAAGAGCAAAAAAATATAGGCAGATCCTTAAATTGTATAAGACCAGCGTCCAAAAACTACAAAGTTTCAGAAGAAGAACGAGTACTAAACGGATCTAAAAAAACAGTAAAGCATTTTTGGTCTTATGTTAAGAGGAAAACCACTGTTTCTATGCAGCCAAAATCTCTATGTTTCGAAGGTCGCTCCATTCAAAAAAAGTGAGGAGATCGCGACCATTTTTTTAATTCATATTTCAGTTCGGTCTACCGTATTGATGACAATAAAAAAATTTCAGCGTCCCTTCGGTTACTAGTACAGTTTTTGGAGGACGTTTGCGTAGATGAACATGTGGTTTATAAATGTATGAAAAAAATCTAAAAGTTTAAGCTCTTCAGGCCCAGACGGACTTTCGAGTAAATTATGTAAAAAAATTAGCAGTTCCTTTAGCGCGCCCGCTCTCAATGATTTTTCAGAAAGTCATTAGATAGCTCCTCGTTACCTCTTCTTTTGGAAAAAAATCTATTGTTTCTCCAGTATTCAAAAAAAGGAAACCCTTCCGCCGCTGAAAATTATAGGCCCGTCTCTTTAACCTGTGTGCCATGCCGAATTTTTCGAATCAATTGTAGTGAGAGCTTTAAGAAATCATCTTTGGCGTAGCAAAATTTTTTTCTAAAAACTCAGTTCGGATTTTTTTGAACAATCGGAGTGCAATAACTCAGTTACTGGAAAAAAACAAAGATATTTTTTTGAAGAAGTTTACAATAAAAAAACAATGTTGACTGTATTTACTTGGATATATCAAAGGCTTTTTGACACAGTCAGTCACCGTAGACTTTTAACCATACTTGAAGCCTACGGATGTAAAGGAAAACTTGGTAACTGGATTAGAGCTTATTTGACTAACAGGACTCAAAAAAAGTAAAAAGTAAATGATAAATTTTTCGGGAGATATTGAAGTCATTTCTGGGGTTCCACAGGGAAGCTGTTTAGGTCCTTTAATGTTTCTTGTTTACATTAACGATTTGGATAAAGCACTTAAATATAGTAAACTGTTGATTTACGCGGATGATTGTAAAGTAATGATTAGCAGTTCTGTTCCAGGATATCAAAACAAGCTACAAGAGGATCTCCATTCCATTGAAAATTTTCTTGCAGATAGACAACTCATACTTTCAGCAAATAAAAGTCTCCATGTTAGTTATGGTAAACGAGTTCGAAGTGTTGCGAGTTACGAGCTTAATGGTACAACAGTGAATAACGAGGATTGTGTGAAAGATCTCGGAGTTATTTTTTCATCTAACCTCAAAATGCATAATAATATTGAAGTTATCGTCAAAAAAACTATGCGTATTATAAACAACCTATTCCGCTGTTTTAGCTTCTCGAAACAAAAACTTCTTGACATGCTATAAGGCCAAGGTACTTCCCATTCTAGAGTATGGTTCGGAACTAATGTGTCCATTGACAAAGTCAGATATTGATCGATTAGAATCGGTCCAGAGGCGTTTCACGAAGCGCCTTTCCCCAAGAATGGAATATAATGAACGGTTAAAACTTTTAGGTCTTCAACCTCTTTGGTTTAGGCGTTTAGTTAAGGATCTGGTATTATCACATCAGTTTTTGCATAATAAGTGCTGGTCAGACTCTCCCATCCAGGTACATAACATCTTTGACCGTCCCAGTCAGCTCAGAGGAAATGGTTTTAAATTAATAAAAACGAAACCTTCACTGGTTTTCTTCAATTTCTTATCACATCGCATTACTAATGTTTGGAATGACATTGAACATGAATTATTGGCAGAGGAAGACAAGAAAAAAATTTAAGGACATGTTTTTTTAGTGTATGCAGAAGATGTTGGCGTCGAGCATATTCTTTCAAGTGTTCACAGATTTGTGCCATGATCAACTTGGTTTTAAATATCTACTTATTATGGTTCTATGTTTCTTTTTCTTACACAAAAAAACTTCTTTTTCTTCACAGGTGGGGTTAGTTAATCCACCTAGTGGTCTTTTTTTCCCTCCCTGCAACATCACCATACCATCCCGATGTTGCGAAAAAAATAAACAAATTGAATT